CTATGGATACTAAACAGACAGAAATATTTAAATTCGTAACTAATCCATACTTATAGATAAAATTGAAGTGTCTGTTTGTAATATTCTAATAATCATTGTTTATTGCATGTACTTACATAAATATAAATATGTACGGTACATACACCAAAATAACATTTTTTACAATTTAGACAGACAATGTCTGTTTGTTCCGGCTAATCTCTGAAATGCCTTCACCGATTTTGACGGGACTTTAATTGGCAGGTAGCTGATGTAATAAGGAGTAACTTAGGCTACTTTTATTTTAGAAAAATAAAGTTATATTCCACGCGGACGAAGTCGCGGGTGCAGCTAGTTTATAAATACAAACGTTTGTGAACCCGCAACCAACGGAAGTAAAGCGGTGTGCCAAACTGCTAGATTACATGTCACTAAGATGATAACACCAAGCAATTAATTTATCATTATGATTTTTTCCCAATCCATATACCCAATTTACTATGTAGTAATATTTAAATAATTACTGGCATTTCTTTCTAACGAGTAATAGATAATAATAAAGAAAAGTAATAAGAAAAATTCTTTCTATCAGGAAAGGAATTTTCTTAAATTAACCAAAATATTTTAAAATGTATGCTATACGCATACTATTTGAAATATTTTGCTTTGCACTCGTAAATTAGGATAATCATTCTATATACTAATCTAGGATGTGGTTTATCAATGTACCAAATTTCATTAAAATCCATTAAGCGGTTTAAGCGTGACTCATCCAAAATATATTTGTAAATTTACACACATATAATATTGGTGAGATAATTCCATATCACATAAAAAAAACAATCATCTTTTCATAAAAATAGCATATGTAAATAAGCAGTCGAATGTTATTCGCATCTTTTGTTATTGGACATTTTATCTCACACATTTCGCGAGGTCACAATCTCACAAGCATAAAATCGAGGGGTCATCTCTCGGATAACTTCCATCCATTGTATCTGCATTCCATTCTGGAGAGTCGTGATATAAACACCATCGGACAGGTTACAGTAAAAAACGATTTATATGTACGTAAGTGAGTTGCAGTGAATGACGTGAAAAGTGAATGAAAATGGACAATTGGATAAATCAGCTTTTTCATACGCCCACGTTTAGTAAACCGAAGGTATGTGATTACTTTAAATCGTGCTCTAACTGAGATACTTAAGTTACCTGAATGAAATCTACATCACACATATGTCTAATGTTGTAATTATTCAATGTCAATGTAAGTACTTTTGCAGTTCAACTACCTGCAGTTAAACCCAATTGTGCTATAAAGTGTTGCAAAGTTCTTAATGGAACTTCAGTATACAGTTTATACTATACCATTCAAATAAATCCACTACAAACAGTATTCTATTATCTGTTTCTATATTAGGAAATGAATAATTTAATTATTTATAGATTTTCAATGTAAATATAATAATTGTTACACAAGCTTTAAAGATCTAGTTACTGTTATGAATTATTATTGCTTTTTACAAATACCACCGAAAGTTAGTCCAACGTATGCAAAGTCAGTGTAAGTTAGCAGAGCGGTTAGCAGTTATATATACGTATACGTTACCCCGGCTTCGCACGGGTCTATCTATTACAAAAACAAACCGCTTCAAAATCCGTTGCGTAGTTTTAAAGATTTAAGCATACATAGGGACAGACAGCGACAGCGACTTTGTTTTATACTATGTAATGATGTATTCGTGTTACAGAAAATAAATAAAAGTAAATAATATACAATAGCAACTTTTTTGCTTTTTTTAAGTTATAGACACAGTATTTAGACGTCCGGTCGTCGCTAACATAGATAATGTTAATTTGGGTACGAAATTATATTTGAGAAAATACAAGTTAAATAGTCTTTTATCTGATGTAATCATATATATACCAGAGGTAGACTTTGTACAAAGTTCTAATTACATAAAAAAAGTACACAATGTGCCGTATAAAGATGCTAGGGAAACCTAGGAAATACACTAATACATATCAGATTTATTGTATCTGAGTGGGATGTCAACTAGTCTCTGAAACCGGCGTGTATTTGACACTCTAATCTCCTTATCTATACCGTAAGGGGTCCGGGGTGAAGATCCATATACCTATATGGATTTTATACGAAATACTTGGTATAGTCATGTTATGCGGAGCAGCGAGAACCGTGTCTTAAAGAAAGTATATATACATAACAACAGCGTATATCCATTCAGGATGGAAAGGGAGAGGACAACAAAAAAAAAAGAGGATGGATTGCAGGAGATGATATGTATAAATGGAGAGTATGAGACCCAAATAATAGGATCAAGCAAGGTAATGATGATGACAAGGAAATTACAATTGGGCTACAACAAATAAACTCGTTTATATTGGCTGTAGTGAAAAATGTTTCCTATTCAGATTCGAATTCGAACAAAATACAAATAAATGGTATTAAACACATACACTACACTAACACAGTCATTAACAGCAACACAATCGCAAATAACAACAACAATAGTCATTTGTAACGGACATTGGCTTCTGTTACACCAAAAAAGCTGTACACTCAAGCTAACAGTGGTACATAGATGATATATGGCAAAAAGGCTACCACTGGCACACAGCTGCTCACACCTACCGCGCATTAAACTAACGAGCTGCCCTAATGGCAGACGTTAGGGCTGCGCCACGAAAAACCTTCAAATCAAATAAATTACACCCGACCCAGTTTTAACATGTGTCGTATTAGTCAACTGACAAAAGCGCTTATCTGTGTGAATGGAGGCATAATATACACGATGGTAATGCTTGTTTGTTACGGTTTCCACTCAGGTTGGCGTATGTATGCGAATAAGTGTAATTTAAGTGTCCCCATTATAAAATACATTAAATGGAATACTGATATAATCAGTAACTACCCATGAAATTATGAAAAGTAAATAATACAATAGAAATATAACTATAAAAAGTAATAAAATTTTCATAATATTTTCCCTAAGTATTGAACAAAGTCTTGTAATATGCAAATAATCATATTATAAGTTACTAACATAGTTTTATAAGTTTTTTACTGTTAGTAAAAAACTTATACACCAATACTACTATATACATCTATATATATATAAACTTATTAACAATATGGATGTAATCCGAATTAAAATTAAAATAAATAAATAGTATAAAACAAAGTCGCTGTCTGTTCCTATGTCCTTTAAAAAACGGATTTTGAAGCGATTTTTTTAATTGATAGAGTGATTCAAGAGGAAGTTTTATATATATAATACATGTACACCCGTGCTAAGCCGGAGCGAGTAGTTATGAATATAACTTGAAAAATACTATTTCTGATAAATACCATGTCTTTAACATCAAATAATAAAACACTAAATAGATATTGGATTAGGTACATTAAATGTTCCTACGTAACCATTGTAATCATTGGACATTTGATAGTTATTTAAATAATTATTGCTTACTATATATATATTTATATTTCCTTAATAGTTCTGCTATAAATGAGACTGTGGAAATGTAAAAAAGAGCTTTTATTACAAAATTAACAAAACAATTCTCAAATAAAGTAGTAATACACGTTTCAAACAATAATAATTACACTGGTATAGAAAATATGGGATACAAAGATTAAAAATATATAAAAATCGTTATTTTCAATAGACGGGCTGTAGGTTACCTACGTACTTTCGCAATATCTCTATACACAGAAAAAAATATGACGCCCCAAATGCCGTAAAACAGGGCCGTATGTGAAATATTGTCGACAGCTGACATTCAAAAAGCCGTCGTGTCAGGTTATTAAAACAGGCTTAAAAATAAGCACATGTAGTAACTGTGCTGAAATTTTTATAATGTTAAATACTATGAGCCTTTTATGGGCCTAAAATTGTACAATTATTATAGTTGGAATAAAGGCATAAAATATTGACAGCCCTGAACCTCCACTAACGATCTTAGGTATGCTTTATTCTTATTGAACAATTAGCACGTGTTTATGTTCCATTCGAACAATTAGGGAGCTACACAGCAAAGCGTACCTACTTACATTCTTATAAATATAAATTATAATATAATGTTTAATGTCAATACCTATCACATTGTATAAAACTATGGGTTTTATGTGTCACACGTTTCAAATGTTTATATTAATAAGTAACTTCATAATGTTATGGAGTGTTAGTTGAAGTTATAATTGATTTTTTTTAATATTTGTGTAAAATGCCAAAGTACATGAAGGTGTAATTGCTGACAGTTACATTTAAAAGCTTGACATCAAATTTTTTACTTATAATTATTTGTATATGCCTATATAATTTAAAACGAGAATTACAAATTTGAACAATAATTTGCACACACAAGTCTCACTGGTCGATTTAAAAAAATCGACCAGTGAGGCTTGTTTGCCTATATGCTATTTAAATTTAAAGTTTTTATTTACAATATATGATTGAATAAACTTTTATTAAAAATTCTTAATACCAGAGATAGAAGAGGATACCAAATAACAATAGTCAAGGATACGAAATTTTACATAAATAATTTTGTACTAAAAATAATTTTAATATTTCTAACCATTTTATCAGATACAATTTAGCAGTGGAAACGACAAAAACCGGTGCGCTGTGCCTCTGTGCTACGGAAATCCGTAACTAATTAAAATTCTTCGTGAATGAATAACTGCATTGCACCGCCGTTGCGTTGTGGAAAATTTTGTAAATAAATATTATCAGCATAGCAACTTTATTTTAAAAACTTCGTTTTACGAGGGTTGGTAACTCATAATTTACAAACATCTATGCTATGTTGGCTTATAATTTTCACGCCAAATCTATGAAGATTACGCAAAGTCCATCAAAATCCATTAATTAACTTGAAATATTAACGAGCTACTGAAAATCTAAAGTTCAAGCCTTAAAATTACGAAGTACGTAATAAGACTAATAGGTTTGGAAGTCTTTTGAACTTTTCTAGAGTTATCGTAAATTTCACAGGCGCAGCAGGGAAACCAAAAATGCGGGAGTGGTAGCAGAGCTAGCGGCGCGTCAAGCACAACTACGAGCGAATCTACTTCTACGGCCGCGCGGGCCAGTGATATCAAACCAGTTGAATGTAACCTATGTCACCGAAAATTTAAAAATATACCTGCTCTCAATGGGCATATGCGCCTGCACGGCGGATACTTTAAAAAGGTAAAGTAACACAGCCAAAAGATATCAAAATAACTTTCTTCTCTACAAATATAATAACCCTTAAGATAACCAATAAGCAAGTAGTATTAATGAAAAACTGTTTTTAGGATTCTGACAACAAAAAATTGGACAAAAAGGAATCAACTGGCCCACCTTTACAAACAGCTTCGGTATCCGTACGTGCCCTCATTGAAGAAAAAATCATTAGTCGCCGAGGAGCCACAGTAACCTCAACACCTACAAGTAAGCACAGATGGAATACAGTTATAAAAACGAGATTACAAAAATTAAATATATGTGACCGTACAATTTTTTCCATTTATTACAATTAATAAAAATATTTTTTCAATCAAGGTGGTTCTACGGATACAATAGCTTCCCGTGCCGGTTTCGTAGCTCCAGCTCCACCTCCACTATCAACAATTCGCTCCTCCACGGCATCACCAGCATCCCCTGCAACAACCACTCAATTTGTATCACCACGCGCACCGCCCGTTGTCACTGTTGCAACTAATGTCACTGCCAATATGACTATAGCTCAAAGAGACTCTACACTAATAGAATTATTAAAGAAAGGAAATACAAAGGTACATAATTTGATTATTTTGTCAAATAATTATGCAAGTTTGAACGAATGCTGTATCCATTACATTTGTTTACAGGTTGTCAAACGTTCAGCGTCAGATCCCGGCCAATCATCGCCACAACAAGAATTCACTTTCCGCCCAGAGCTATTTGGCGTATCGTTCAACTCTGATGATGGCTATTTCTCACCAGCTCTCAACGATGATACTTTTCAGTTTACCGCTACACCTGAGCAACTAGAAGAGCTTGCATCATTGGAAGATTATGCAACAGTAGCTGCCTCAATACGTGAACGCTCCCCAATCACATTTCCATCCAGTCGAAGACTCGCTGCAGTATTAAATTCGCCTCTACCCGAATCATTAGCAGATTTTGGTGCTTGTCACGGTGGATCCCCAGTACCATCTCCGGGCATTGCTTACTCAGCCACTTCTCCAGGATTATCATATACAACAGGCGATTCACCTGGCTTGGCATACGCAGCTGCATCGCCGGTCGGGAGTTACTCTACACAACCGGAATCTTCACCCGGGTTAGCATACCCAACGCCTCCTGCGTCTCATGATGCTCAGTCACCTGCGCATACAGTACCACGGGCATCATCGCCCTTATCAGCTGCCTTCTTCACCGCTACAATGTCTAGCCAAGAAGAGGTAACTTAAGTCATAAAATACATAGTCATATTATCGTACTAAATTTTTTTTATAATAAATACATATATCAAAAATTCAACAGGTCGAGGAAGCTTTAGAAGAGGTATTACCTGAGGAATGTCGATCACTAGACGCTTATGCCTTAGAGCCTTCGCCAACCCCACGACGTATCATGCTCAACTCGGAAGATCCTCTTTTATCAAGCAATCCACGCGACTTCTCACATCAGAGGCCTCCACGTCGCCATAATCGAATAACAACTTCTACAATATCCTCTGCCATGCATCAGTGGCAACACGATACGTCATCACTTCAAGTATAAAAACTTTATATTGTTTAAAAATTCATATATTAAACTTTAAAAAAAATATTTACAGATTAACTAATAAATATTTCAGGTGTGTGTTGAAGGTCGTGAAACAGTGCCTGCAGTTTTTCTGAGTCCAAGCAGTGTTCCTGCGTCTCCACAACGTCGTAAAAGAAGAGCATCACCAGCAGGGCCATATCGTTCGCGTATGCGTCGAACTGTCAACCATTTTACACCTCAACCTATTTTGCCACCGGAACGTGACGGTTCTGGTTTGTTGTCAGAACTGATTACTGGTAAATTGATCTTCACATTCTATCCATATTTTAATAGTAAATAGCTAGAATATATAAATAAAAATCACTAAACTATTACTTCACAGGTATACCAAACTCTGAATCTGAAGTATTGTCACATTTGAATGAGCAACGACATCCACAAATAAACATTGGGCGGGACCATCAAGCAGAAATACCTGAACTGTATAACGATCGTGTCGACCTCCATCGAGGTCCGGAACAACTACTCTGGGACCCGGGCATTAATGATTGCTTAGATGACAATGAGGGTGAGGCTTATAACATATTATACTATAATTATTAATATCTTTAAGTAATAATATTTTAAAATAAATATTTAATATATACATGAACTCTTCGTAAGAAATGGAACTTGTATGGGTACAAACACCCGGTTACGACAGCTGAAGTAATCCATTTAAAATATGCCGTGCTGACTCCAAATAATCAAAATCGCCAGAGCGATAGAAGAATATATGATATATTAAGTATATATATAGCAATATACTTGAAATAGGAGTACCCGTAGCATAGTAAACATGTGTGAAACTTTTGGTTTCAGTGCGCATGTTTATGGAGTTAGCAATGTGTGCCGCTATGCCCGTGGGGGGGCATACTCGGGAATTCGCTCTGCAAACATTGGGTGAATGCGGAGGCGATATTAGGGCAGCAACGCTTCGCCTGATGTCGCGTCCTGCAGCACCTACTCAACACGAATCCCGATGGGCACCCGATGAAGTCGAAGCCTTCTTAGCTGGTCTAAGTCACTATGATAAAGACTTTTACAGGATTGCGCAACTGGTAAGCTCCAGTAAACTTATTCAGTCAGTAAAAAAAGTGGGTATATAGTATAATATCACTATATAAAATTCCACTATGCAGCTATTGTATGTGCGTAACTTTTATTACTTGAAATGTAACAAATTTTTTTTAGACGTCTCAAATAAAATAAGTATCAAATATATTTATAGATATTGAATATATTAAATTCTTACCAATTAATTTTATCGTTTGTAATTTTTCAGGTACGGACAAAAGATTCTAAACAATGCATACAGTTTTATTACTTCTGGAAGAAGGTGACCAAAGACTACAAAACAGTGTATTTGCGTAGCTGGAACACGGAAGCACAGGCCGCCTCAACACAAGTAAGCAACGCTTCAAATTCTGGACTGCAGCATTTTGTCTTCAGACTTGCTGAAGAATAAATGGGAATGGTTTATAGATTCTTAATTTTCGCGACTTGTCTACATTCAGGGTACAGTAGGCCAAGTTTCGACGCACAGCACAGCTCCATGTACATCATCGCCGACATCGTACGAAGGCGAGGAGTTCCCTTGCAAAATCTGCGGGAAGTAAGTGACAAGACGCGGTGCACGTCAGCATACCGCTTCCAAATGTCGGCATCGACAGCAAACTCGCAAAAGCAATTTACGTGTAACACATTTACATGACCTATCAAAATAACGTATTTAAGTTTCACATAAATTGCCTTTCGTATATGCATTAAAATAAAAGATAATGGTATCTATATTTACAGCTTAGTAAAACTAACTGAAAAATAAACGAAACTATGTTATAAGTTAAAATAAGCGTACTGATCCAGTAAACTGTTATTTATACTGTTACTATAATTAATAACGTTAACATTTTCGAATTAAAGTGTTCAAAGTATTCGGCCGATTTTCTGGATCAGTACCCGGGATTCAGTGTTATTGATGTTGATTGCATGTCAAGTTAATATTTACATTACTTCAACTTATAGTAACTGTTTATTGGATATTATTATAATGTAATATTTATTCACTGTGACAAGGTCTAAGAGATAACTACCAGAGTTTTACTGTTAAAATACTACATTCATAAAAATAAAACAAAAGTTCAATATTTACATTATATAGAATTAAAATTGCCTCTATCATAGGTAGCTAGGTAGAGCCTACAAATGTTCGGTAGCCTCAAAAAGATTTTGTTATGTTGAATAAATTATAATTATATAACATTGATCATTGTAAATATAAATATAACGTATTTTTACTAAATTATATTAAGACAGTGAATTTATGTCCATTGCATAAGAATTTTATGGAATATCTATATTTTATTTATTGTACTTATTGTAAGGTAATTTGACATGGTTTTGTGGATTAATGTTGTATGTATATATATATATTTTATAGTACTAACGCTTAACGCTTTGCTTTGAAGCACTTCAGCCTATGTTTTCATTAATTTTAATTATGTTTTTTACGCTTACTTCTCCATTTTTCTTTTGCATATTCTAATAGTGTACCCTGTTATGTTTCAGAGTATTTAACAAAGTAAAAAGTCGTAGTGCGCACATGAAGTCGCATCGGCCAATAGACGCTGAGCCCAAACGGCCAAAACTCGAAAAGCCTTATGAAAAGGTCGAGAGATCTGATGAGAGGCCCTACGCGACAGCTGATTACCAAAGCAAACTACCCGCACAGTAACCGACTCCTCGCTCACTCATTCCACCCGCGCACCTCTGTGACCCTCTCACCACTCGACTAATCGACGTAAACAATAATCACGAATCTATTCGCGTGTTCAGTCAGTGTTCAGCTTTATAAGCGTTAGCGGAAGACTACGCGGTCGTCCCCGTCTACACTTGTGCCCCGCCCTCTCCCAAACATTTGCTTGGAATTGGACAAAATGCTGAATCGTTTAAGCATTTACTATGATTACAAAATAGATTTATAGATTAAAATTAAAGTGATCTAGAAGAGAGCGATGTAGTGACTAGTAGCTAGAAAAGTTAGCTTTGGGTATACTGACGGATATTAGACAAAAAGTACTAATTGTTTCGAAATTCTCGTAATGCTAAGCTTGAAGAGAGCGCATAAAGATATTTTGTATACCTAACGATTGATAGATAGATAGGTAGTTCTTCGTAAAGTTTTTATATGACAGACTTCTTAATGTGACTTGCAAGTGTGATGTTGTAAATAAAAATAAAAAAACAGTAGTTCGTTGTTAACGCTACGGTTCAGATGGGCGTGCTCTACTCCATATAATATTAATCTATAATAAGTATTACAACTATATAGTTATCTACGTGTGATACATATAACGTGTAGTAACTACACTACCTCGTTTCTAATTTATTGTGAGCTCAGCTCGCTATATACATTTGCTTGTTTGCTCATTAAAGTGTTCTTATTTTGTAGTTTTCTTTTTTTCTATTATTTCACACTTTTAGATAAAATTTTAATGCGCACTTCAAATTCTAGCGTGGAATCTGTTGTAAGTAGATAATGATATTATGTAAGCGGAAATCTATCTATTTTCCGTACCCACTAGTCACATATCGATGTTATTTGTATTGCACAGAAATTAGATAAATTTATTTGAAACTTCTGTGAGTTTGAAGGTTTCACTTAGGCCTTATAATAATAAAAATACTCATATACTGTTGTTTTATGTGAATAGATCATCTAAACACAATGCAAACTGAGCAATTCACGTTAAACAAGTAGTTATTAGTCAGAAATATTGTCCAATTTAATTTATGCAAATGACCCATACGCATGTTCATGTATTGGACAATAATTCTAATTACCTACTGACAGTCTTTTTTACAAACTCAAAGGGCAGCTCTTAGTATAAACTACTAATTTTAATAATATCAATGCATATGCAACGAAACCAATGCACTTAAAAATATAGATATACATTCTATTTAATCAGTCAAAAAAATATTAATATAGCGCTTAATATAATTAATTACTTATAATATATTGACATTTAGCTTCATGCATAAATAGATAATAAGTAAAAAATACTTATTTATCCGTCCGAATCAATATTATTAAGATACAAATTCTTATTGTAGTAAGAAAAGGTACAAAAATCCGTTATTTATAATTTTTACAAATATACTTAGTCTATTGCCTTAACCTTACGCCTATGCGTAAAAGTCTTAAAAGAGCTGCCTAAAACGTATAAAATATCCTAACATTTGAAACCGAAAACTTCACAGAAGTATACGAAATAACAAAACGGAGGGATGATATTTTTTTACACAAATATTATTGAAATGCTCAAATATTCTATATTTTATGTTGGTAATATTATTATGTAGTTCCTTGTTAATTGTTCTCAATATGCTATTATTTGATACTTAAATGTAGATTAATTTTTAATGTACATTTTTTTCTATATACGTACTTATTAAATGTGTACTAAATGTGTACCTACGTGTTGTGATATATGTACGGTTTATTAATTCAACCTAATCTGTCTATGATTTGAATGAAACGTACTCACTATCGAGCAATAAATGTGATTGCTCAAGCGTACCTTCTATTACAAATTGGTAAGTATTACCTACGTTAGCTCATTGCTACTAACATTCTTTAAAAGTTTTCTATCACGTTCGAACAATCGAATAGATATAAAATGTGATTTTCATAAGGACTCTGTTTAAAAGAATGTTCAGAAGCAATAGGCCCTCATGTATATATTCCACTGCTCCCAAAGTCATTCATCTCCCATTGTGACAAATTTTCACGGTTGTGATGTTTTAGATCCAACTCATTTATTGTCTTCCGACTTAGCTATGTGTGTACTTTATTAATTTTGGGGCAGTATTCCTTGAAAAAGACATGTTAAATGTTATTTAATTAACCCTTTATTGTTTAATGTTATTAACAAATCCCTTTTAAGATTAACGTTTAAATATCGATGTAAAAGCGTGTGACGCTGTCAGTATTATGATTGTATTAAACCAATGGTTTAATGAAGAAATTATTGTAAGTGTCATCAACATATTGAGAAAATACAACTATTATATATTGTGCCAAAACCACAATTATTACTTACGTGAAAAATTTGTAAATGAAATATGAATCTCTGAAATACGAGATAGTCGTGATTTTGTTTGTTATTTTGCCATTTGATCTATGTACAGTATGCCTAGCATATGTATTTTACATCGAGTTCTGTCGCGTAACAAATCTTACTTTTTTTATGTTTTTTACGAGTAATTTTACGGCCTAATGCATTTGCTATTTGTCCTACGATATATGTACAATTAGCTATTGTACATCGTTAAGCATACTGCATATACAGAAGTTTTTCAGCATATATATAGCACAATTTGAGTAATGTATGTACATGACGGATGTATATATATTACTAAAAGTATATATTAACGCATAATTTCCTTAAAATTAAATACTCAATATGTTGTGACATTATTTTTATCTTATAAAAAATGTAGTATATCTATATATTTATTCTTTTAAAATATGTTCTTACAACGTGATTCATTTTCCTTCCATGAGTACCTGAACAGACCTTTGACACTTGTATTTTCTTTAGTGTCACAAAACTGCTCTAGATTCTATTACGTGTAAGAATAATAAAGTTAAATGCTATGATACTATTCGTACATCACTAACTTGTGTGATTATTTGGTTGTGTTCTATCTTAACATTTAACATTTGTAGTAAAATTTTTCTAACGGTAAAAATATAAATTAATTTATCAACACGCCAGATATGTTGCCAAACCTGATGTAGGAATTACGACATTTAGATGAGAAATAATAATAATAAACTCATTAGGAAAATATAATCTTTCTTAGGATTAATTAAACAGTGTCTTCAAAAACAATTGTAAACCCCAGTTAAGTACACAAGCCAAATATTGCAATGGGGCGGTTATTTAGATCATAATAATGAAAAAACATCTTACAATTAGTCAAATATAGTTCTATCGTACAGATAAATCGTTTATATTATTTCGCAAGATCAGAGCAAACAAATTTATTTTCATAATAAATAAAATATACCAATAACTTACAATCATGTAAATATTAAATATATTTTCAAATTAAGTTTATTGTACCGGAGATAGTTCTATTTCAGAAATTACAATTTATTCCCTCCAGATAATTTGTAACAATACTCTAGCTATTAAGACTGAAAGGTACTCTCTAAATTCTTTAACTAAGTTGTCTTTGTAAATGTTACATCCTATTCTATGTTATTAATTTGTCGTTTATTATTGTTAGTATTTCATGGTGTCACTAACCCATTCCATGTGCCAAATCGTCATACTAGTCAGGGTATAGCTTTATAAATTATACCCTAATTATTTAACCAAATATAAATAGCGAGAGGTGAATGTGTAGTATACGCGCTCGGTCGTCGGGCGTGGTCCTTAGGATTCATTAGAAAATAACTATCTACTGTAACTTATATAAAAATCACAGAAACACTAAATTTTATTATAAATTGTAACTTAAGATCGAAAATTAAACAACTTTATTTCAACTTAAATATAGAAGTGCCTTACAATTTTAGTTTTTATACTATCTATTTCATTTATGTCGAGACATAAAGCTCTGGGAATCGCATTTATTTGAAATTCACTGTCTGCTCTGCCCGTTCAGAACCGATGAAAAGTGAATCGGATTATATTTCATTATACTTATATAAGAGATATTTTTCAGAGGTATATTAAAACTTGGCCTTCAACAGTTATTTCAAATATATCTTAAAATACTTATAAATATTTAAATAGATTTATTGAGGAATGTGTACCTATACCCTGTTTCAATATTTATCAATGATATATTAAACTGAGCGATAGTCGATCTACAAAATAAAATAATGTCAATTGTACGAAAATTCTATCATGTAAGAAGAGAAATCTACTTAATACAAATATTATAATGTAATTTAACAGCAAAAGGATAACAGTGATGTTTATGAATGTTATATCCCTTATGTTCGCTTGTAAAGTCTAATTTTCCGTAGTCCCGTTATGGCACATAGTGTATATGTAAGTACTTCTGTATTTGTGTCAACATTTAAGATGTGAAAATATGTTACTATAGTATTAATATTTTATAAGTCTAAATGGATATTATATTCTTCTAATTTTGTATCGAATAATGAGTGTAGGCACAAGCGAGCGACCCAGCGTCGTCGCACCTCCACTTCGATGTATTTGCGTACCTAATACGCATTGAACTTGTATGATACTGTAGATGGTAACATGCGTGCCAACCGCACGATAATTGATATTACACTCTGTGTTGTGATTTTGAACGTTCTGTAAATTACAAAAGTCTTTGAAATACTATGGAAACATTTGTAGACACCTTTTTAGATTAGCACAATTCTTCGCGTAGACACGTTAGATCAAGAAAATTGCTAAGGCATGTAGATTAAACATTATAATAGGTAATCAATGGAAGGTGTAAGTGTGCGTATGAATAGATTCATTGTTATATATTCGATCAATGTGATTCGTATGAACAACGAGTAACTCGAGCCTGTCCCCTCCCCCGCTGGGCGACTCTTCACAACTTCGCATATCCTTGAAACAATAAGTAATAAAATAAAACTCTATTATATATATTGATAAATTTATTAGGGTAACTAATTTTTTAAGACAATGACTATTACGTGATCTTTTAGATTGTCTTTATTAATAAATATATGGTGAAGGTTTTGTCAATTTGTTTTTATTTTTATACCCTTACCCCTACCCTTAAATTTAATAATTCCAATGTAATTATATTTTTTATTATGATGTGTCATTAGTCATTAGCTTAGTCGTAAACTTAGATCAATACTGAGGGATAAAGTTTACATTAGTTTATAACCACAATATGTGCATTTATAACAAGTGAGTGAATATAAAAGTGAAACAATTTTTTATAATTTCCATCCGTTTATTAAGAACATTGTAAATCACAATGAATACTTATCTACAGATCGATAAAACTCTGTTACTAACACGAAAACAAAATAGTGCTGGACAACAATAAAAATAAAATTAATAATATGAAAAATATTACAAACATCCGTCGAACAATATATTTACTTCAATTTAATTTATACTTCAAATAGTTGTGAAATATTGAAAGCAGTCAACTGACATTGCCGAAAATAACAAAACGTTACTGTTCCTAGGACACGAGAGAAAAATATTGCACTTTCTTTGGAGCATTCAACACTCGAGCGAGGAAGATGACTTACGCATTACTATCTCACCTAACCACACTAGCTACTCAAATCCACAGATAATAAAAATTTGCTGTCGTGCATTTAACAACTTCTTAACACAATAATCCACGAAAATATAATCGTGATAACTTTTGATTATAGTCAGTAACTCTTTTTTATATGTGTGGTAAATTTCAAAATCATTGCGGGGTCGTTATGAAGGATATAAATCATATCGAAATCATAAAGTATGGTTATCTTGAGACTTTTTATTAAAACCAGGAAAAGTAGAAACACTTTCTAAACCTATTATATAACGCTCACGTTATTATAATAAAATTTCAGACTTATGGAAATGTAAGCTATATTAATCTTTTTGAATATTAGAATAAATAAAACTGTCAATTTCACAGAATTAACAGTACAGTGTCCCGAATGCACCATAATTATTTGGGACATAATATTTTTTTTCGATAATAGTTTAGTAAAGGATATCTTCAAGATTGACAGCACAACAGTATTCGTCTCATACTCATATAGGAACAGTAAAGTATAGCTGAGTACAAATTAGAAGGCTATATCAAATGAATTATAAACTTTGGTAATTACATTTATATACATACAATAACAAAAAATATTTATTATTGCATTTATTTGACGACGAACAAAACATACTTTACATTAGTGATAACAAACTAAAATGTGAATAAGTACTGATGTGAAGCGTAGTGCGAACACATGGTGTAATTATTTTGCAGTTCAAATACTTCAATAGTGACCGACTAACGTCAATCTCGAATGTTGCAGCCGTTTTTAGATACACTTGAAAACCTAAATCTTCGCGTGGGTACATATAACCCCCATACGAATGGAAGTCTTGAATAAGTTAAAAAATTACTAACCTTGAACAATTTTAAATAACCTTCCGTTTTAATTGATTACATCGCTCTATTTTTGTATCCATAATTTTTCGAAATACTTGATATATTTAATACTCTATTTAACAGATGACGAATTTAATTTTTTAAAGAGTGATTGATTACTCTATCTATATATTAACTAGGTAACTTCAACTAAACTAGGCAACCAATTTATTACCAATTTATATTTTGTCTACTAGTTTATGATGAGATTATTTACATTCCGACCATACCTCAATCAGTCCTACAGGTCAGTGACCATAACAAAGTTGTTTATTATGCATTGTCAAAAATTGAGCTGTGTAATCAAACGTCTCGTTTACAGAATTTCTGAATTTGAAAAGTATGTGAGCGTAAATAGTGACGCTTCTAGTGCATTCTGCGAGTTTAAGGGAAAACAATTAGTTAAATAAATATATACGTGCTTAGCTCCTGCTACGTACACCAAAAAAATATGATATAACTTTGAAAGTGAGACCGATACCACGTAACTAGCTGTATAACGTACATATACAGTATTCATATGGCCCTACAGTATGCAACTTCTCTACTGAGACTTCATATATCTGTAAACGAAACCTAACACGAATTTAGTTTGAGGACGTTTTAACAAAATGTATATGTAAAAAAAAACCGATACTAATACATATAACAAACAATGTTAAAAATATTCAGTAAATGCTATTTATTATATAAATGGACGTAGCAATTATAAATTTACACTCATCAAACACTGTTTTGGAACGACATAACATGAGACGCGGCACAATTATTTTATTAGTGTGGCGTGAGAATTTGTCCATTGAATAATACAGATCTTTATAAAATTTATTTATCTGATGTTTCTATACAAACATTAGGCTGGATTAATTACATAAGAGGTGAAACTTTACTATATATAATCGGGACTAAGTTTTAAATAAGTAAATATACAATATGACAATTATATTCAAAATATTGTCTTAATATTATTTTATTTTATTGCATGACAATAATTTGACTATTGTATCACGTCTTACAAAATTACCACCGATACTCATTAAATTATTTACATATTACTTTTGGAAAAACTCTTATTTAAGTATCATTCAACTTCACATACTCTTATTAGCAATTATTATATATGACATGAATTGATTATTAAATTCCCTGTTTTCTCGATACGTCAACGTTAGAAATATCGGTGGCAATCTCATTGTGGGAACACACCAGCTGTATTTTACTCATGTCATGCACGCAGTGCAAACCAATTTGAACTAAACCACCTACGTAATAATAAACCATTTATCTAATGGACTAAATACAGAATTGGTGTCAGTCATTTATTATTTTCTACGAGTGGTAAAAGTGCAGTGTTTAAACAAACTTGTTCTCGTTTCATAAATCACACAATTATTTTAGGCTGCTATATTTCTTGCATATACAGACTTGTGAATATTGTAGGTTTTATTATTATTAACTCCATAGATTCTCGAACTAACTTTCGATTATTTTAGTTGAAAGTGAGTGAAATATATATACAAATACTATACAGTTCAAACACTTAAAATTGAGAACAAGAGTGACTTCTAAAACCCAATTGTGTGACGACTAATTCAGTCGACGAGACGATTACTAAAAAAAACGATGGCAGAGCCTCCAATATAACTATTATTTCGAACATGACTGAACACATATTTATTATATACTTTTTCAAAACATCAAAATTACTTACAGTCCAGTATTCTCATGGTATTAGTTGCAATGCAATATTACCACTCATAGACAAATATTATACGGTGTATCGACGAGACGGTCACTGTAGTCGCCCAACCTTCTTTCCTTTCACCACATTCGGCTTGTTCTTTAATAGGCCTTTTCTTCTCTTCGACGTCTGAAATAGTATTTAAAGAGAGTAGTGTAAAGTAATAACAATACTGAATGCAATTGTGTTATTAAGGATAATTCAAAAACTACAGGCTAGGTCATGTACAAAAATACGTGGCACGAGCACATGAAATTAAATAAACTAAAGATTTATCAAAATCTGTTCACGTAGAAAATATTTATAGGGTTACACACACAGAAAAAGGCATAACAATGGAAATGAAAATCTCCTGTTTTTTTAAAACGCGAATGAAAAATCTATTAATATAAATGTTATTTGCATGCACCGTTTATTTCGCCATTATTTTATTTTTTCACTGAGTTACTTCATTGTACATCACACACGCTGAGTGTATTTTTAAACCATTGCAGTAAAATTACAAATAAAAAATGTTTTGCTTACATCTGTCTATACTATACTATCTGTCTTAGTACCTAATTGAATGAAGGTAAAGTTAAGAAAATCATGCAAATATTTATATTTAAAGTGTACCACATATAAAGTACATCCATTTTTTTATAACAAAAATAAATAAAAAATACGTTAATTAAGAACAATTATGTATAAATTGGTTCATGGATGCAACATTTACTTAAGTAAACCCTATTTAATTTAAGTGTACTGTGGATCAGACAATTAATCTAATATTTCAATTATCAATAGCTTCTAGGTTTCAATAATAAATAAAGTAAAGCTCTGTTTAAAGAAGTGATTTCATTTAACGTATACAGATAGAACATACCCTATATATATATAGGATATGCATATTATTAAAAACATAGGATGCAACAAATAATAAATATAAAGTTAGAAAATAAAATAATAAACGTAATCACAGTAATAAATAAATTAACACAGAAATACAAATACATTACGGAACAACTCTATAACATGCTAATTTATCCCTAAATATAAATCTTCTATTTAATATTTTAGTTACTTATATTATATTAGGCATAATTAGGAATTATAATTATATAACGGGAAATAAAAATAAACAACTAGTAAACAATTTATTGTTTTAGTATTAATATATAAGTAAGAATCTTATAAAAAAATAATGATATACCGAGACTGTGGAATGCGTAAGCTTACAATAAAAACCATATTCTTGTCCAAGTTATAGTAAAATAGATACCGTTACAGCATGTGTTTATTAAAACAAATGTGTAAGGAATGCAGTCAATCTGATGTCTTCAATAAAGAATCATACAGTCAGCACAAAAATAAACCCATCTCGCGTACACATTCCGTGCAAGCGGCGTTGTAATCAGTCTACATAATTGGGATGTATAGATGACAGTGATTATGACATTTTGACAAACATGCATTGTAACAAGCTTGGCACGCTACCTACGTGTCTAACCACAGCACAATGTTACTATACCATTGTTCCAGCTCCCTGTGCCAGCTGTAAGACGATACAATTTTATATTCATTTTTGTATAGAAATAAAATTATAAAATAGTCATTTTGATTTATTTTTTTTTAATTGGAAATTTAAGTATAAAAATCTGTAAACATACATCTGTGACATATATAAAATATTACAACAGTGTACTATATACATTTATTTATACAGTAATATGTACATTTTTTAGTAATTAACTTGCTAGAAAAAAATTGTCTTGTTTGTGTGTGTAAAGTGTAAATGGACAGAATGAAAATACACAGATAATTCTCGTAAATAAATAATTATATGGAGATGACTAAAAATGTAGCTCACATTCTGCCTATGTTAATATTTTCAGACATTAACTATAACCTAAGCAAATTGCCATTAAATAATTATAGGATAAAATGCAAATATTCTTACCTTTTTCGTGATCATATTAGTAGTGGAGATTTTTCTCTTTGATAGTGGCAAACGTGGACGATTGAACTCATCAGGTTTTTTAACCCTACAACAAACCATCAGTCTTATTCTAGCGGTCCATCCCGACTTCGTCCGGATTGAACGAAACACATAAAATAATATAGGTTATGTCCATTCAGAATAAAAAAAATTTTTGAACATATGAATTTTTTTATATGCATTACGGGGGGAGGTTATTGAGATTGTTAAATGAGAACTAGTAATCTACTTCCACGCGATCCGGCTGGTAACCAACACAGGAACACTTGAAATTTACACTCTCTTTTTATAAATTCTGTAAACGGTCTCATTAACGGGTTCTAGTGGTATAATTTCGTTGCACAGAGTTTCGACTTGGTAGACATTTTTACTTAATACTTACACGTTATAGACATGTAAGCGAATAAAATACCTGTATATCCTAACGAGCCAGTGCTCGGTTGTATAGGCCTCCTCGAGGTAGGTAAGCTTGAACCCTCGGTTGCCAGGCAGCGCGCCGCGGGTGCGATCGTACCCCGGCGGACTTCCGCCACTGTCATACCTAAAAAATAAAAAATGAATTAAAAACCTATAACAAAAAGACAATCGCTGCTAGCATAGAAGTTGCGCATACAAACATTTTATATCCTGTAGACTGTAGACGTTTAAAAATTAATTGTAAATGTCAAGTATTTGTGGATTTTGAAAACTAAATCGTATTATTACCATCATTTAGTTTAAATTGAATTTACCAGTTAAATAGTTCATTCCAATACTTATAAATTACTGTATTAGTTACTTATAAGTAGTATAAACTTATAATGTTTATAATTATACTAAATTTAAATATAATAATTATATTAATTATTAAAAATGTATACTAACCTATAATATGATAGCTTATACATTAGACAATTTAACATTGTTTTAGATGCTTCTGAATCTACTCTGTATTCACCCCTCTCTGTGAAATAATCAGCTTCCTGTAAGAAATAAAGATAGTACTGCATTAAAAAGTATATATTTTTATCTTACTTATTATAAAACATTAAAAGATGATTTCTATAAGAATGTATAACATTTTTCTACAAGAGACTTTGTACATTAAAGAATTTTGAGGTAGATTTCCTAATAGGACGTAATATTATTGTCTTCCTTAGTTATTCAAATATTTCAAATAAACGTAACATAATTAATGTTAACTAATCACTTATTTATTCTACTGTCATTTGGAATATACATTTGTCCTAGAAGTATCAGCAAGAAACATGTCTGTTGCTTATTTAAAAATATCTTGTTGAAAACGTATAACATATAACTTACATGTATATCCTTGGGGTGCTCACCCTCCGCGATCCTGACCATCCATATAAACTTATTTATATCGTCTCCCGAATAGCCTATTGCGCCTCCAAATATCACTAGCACGTAATCAACGTCCAGCGCCGTCATAATCTGGTATGCGGCACTTTCGTTGCTTGCCATTGCTTTACCAACGAGAGCTATGTGAGAATTATTCCACGTATTGTTGTCCACTAGCGTTGTTCTGTTGCCCATGCCGGCGATCTGTTAATATGGTCATTTTTTAAGAGGAAAATTTTTGACAAACTCATGGAATGGCCTATTTCTAGCTAGCTTTATAAGCCCTGTTTTTTTAAACAAAATACATGGTAAAAAGAAATGAAACTAGTTTTATAATATAAATTGATCTTTTAGTGGTTGTTAGAAAGTGGCCACATGACTCCTATTTTTTATTTCCGTATATTATATGGTATCATGGCAAAACTAAACATATTTTGACGATTGTAACTTATAGAATTCACTCCCTTGTACTAGACTCCCATAAAACTATTGTCATGATTGATTGAGCCCTAGAGAATAGTAAAAGTCCAACTAACTAAAATGTTTAAGAAACTCACTTCAATATTTATAATATTAATTAAAACGAAATAATTTATTGTGACACTTTTTCTATTGAACCATACCTGATATCCGTAATCCCACCAGGACATAATTCTGGCATCCTCTGCTGTGTTCTGAGATAACCAACCATATGCTTCTCTAAAGTCGTCCAAAATTCTACGAGATCTATTAAGAATAATACAGGAATACATTACTTTTTAATATTACTTCATATATTTATTTATTTATTATGTCAACACAATTGTTAATTTTTAATAATACGTAATTTCTTTCTATAATTAAGGGTTCATTTATCTTTTTGCTCTTTCTATAATACTAGCGAAGATAATAAAATAAAATAATTAAGTATGAAACTTATTAATTTAATCTGTAAAGCCATTTTCCTTTGTTCAATAAATAGATTAATTATCCTGTTTATAACATGAGTATGTTAATAATATTTAAATTCCCTGGCACTTACCCGTCATTACCGTAACTTGCAAGTACAATACTAGGACTGGAGTATGCATTTGAAGTGGCCCAAGTGGAATGGACGGAGAACAGCATCAGCAAGATCATGAAAGCTATCAAAGTCCCCGAACGCACGTTCATACCAAGACCAATGTCGACTGGAGCAGCCGGATCGTATGTACGCTTCTTAAATTTACTGGCCTGTAAAGTTACGACTCAGTATAAACAAATTTTATGAATAATACTTAAAATTGACTAAATATTAATGGCAAACCGGCATCACCATACTCTTGGTAAATCTTAGGTTAAGATCGTAGCGAATTAACATACTAGGACAGGATACATTGCTAAAATATTTCCATTTATTGTATATACAATGTCAACAGTTACTTTCTTAAATTGGTTGCAAAATGATTTAGTCTACTTATCTTCAAACAACATAAAAAAAAAGAATCAATTTGGAATATTTCTAGCGTTCTACGTTACGATTTATCTTTTTATAATCTATAAGCGGTTTTTTGTGACAAAACCTTTAACTGTCCGTTTGAAAAAATCCATTAATAAAGTAGACTACATAATACAATACCTTGTCATACAAATTCTTAGGTTCCTCGGCTTCTACTGGCGGTGGGGGTATATCATCCTCTCGGAGCGCCAAGTCAAACAAGATGGAGAATGCAATTCCAGACAGGACGCAGACAACTGGCGTCAGTGTGAGCATCAAACGAACCATCACGCCGGCAAAGTATACAGCGCTTATTGCGTAGAGAGCGACTAGAATTATTTTGATTGATAAATTTACCTTAGAAGACAACACGTATCCTTGTAGGTCATATACGGAGGTATTAACAACCAATTTTAATATTTAAGTATCAAATATTATATCAGCTACAACAGCCCTTTTCATGTAGGTATATATATATACAGGTATATATAAATCGTCACACAAACTATTTTATGAAGACTATATATAGGCTCCTCTGTCTTCTAGCTGCCCAACAAGCTTTCTTTGCAAGTTGTGTTCCGGTCTGAAGAATGCACAATAGCAGTAATATTGACGAATAAAAAGGCTTTGCAGTCCTGATTATCAAGATGGGATAGCCATTACACATGATAGGCTATCACCTTGTTGATGGTTCAGACATATGAAAACAATTAAACAGTTCACGTTTACTCATGTAACGCTAAAATAAAAAAATATAGAAAGTTTGTTTTTAAATTGCTCTTACCAAGTTTATTGTTGCGAAATCAATGCCACTTTAAACCATACTATTGAAAGGAAATGTTTTAAATGGTATAAAAATAAAACGAGTTAAATGCACGAATTGTCTAACCTGTTTTTCAACAATATATCATATAGCAAAACAGAACTTATTTTAGCAATTTATATTCTTGTAACCTCTACGGCAGACTTAATAATTGCACTGATGTTCACTCCTTTAGTAAACCTATTAAGATCGACTCGATCCTTCCCGTCTGTCATGTTGACCTCGAAATCGCTTTTTTGCACTCAATACTAGAATTAATGCAAATAACTCAAATATAATAAGATGACCTAATATGTGTAAACATATTTTTTGTACTCACAAAATTTGATTGCAATATTGGTATATGCAATATATTTTAATTAGCTATAGATATGTCTGTAAGCATGGAGGTATAAATGCTGAATAAATAATTTAATCTATTATAATTTGCAGTCTATAAATTAAGTGGATTTTGTAAAGCGATTTAGCCATTAATTAGCGAGTAGCATGATTATTATATTAGTATCATAGATAGAATTACTTAATTCTATTGAAAAGACGGAGAATTGATTGTTATATGTACCTATTTTTATAAAAATTGTGGTTTCAAGATATATAAATAGAATAATTAAGTTAAGGATTATTATTAAACACATTGCACTATTTCAATTAATTAACTACGAACAATGTCTAAAACTAATAAATACTATTTAAACTGGAGCAGTCGTAATTAAAAAGTGTTATCATGAAGTCGGTTTTATGAGGTTTCTTTCCTCATAAAATCACCGTTTGTTTGAAAAAAAAAACAGTAATAATCCTATAATGTAAAGTATGTTTGAGAATTACGACATTGCTTACCGAAAACCCGTTCGTCGTTGATATTTTTGATGCAATACCACAAACCGACGGGGAATGTGCATACGAGGACATGGAGATCAAAAAAGAACGACGACCATGTTGTTGGTTGATGTTCCGACACGGACGCTATGATCGGAATATGGATTTTAGCGTATGCAGTGTCCCACAAGGAATAGAAACTGAAAGAAACAATTCCACTTTAAAGACCTGTCCACAATTCAAAATAAATTTAGTCGAATAGGATAAGTTAACTGATATCTAATTTATGTTGTTAGTAGTTACTCAAGGGCTAATTAAAAAATAATACTTCTTCAATTTATGATTAAAGGACCCCAATATGTAATGTTAGACATTTCACTCTCCTGTAGTCCAATGAATATTAATAGAAACTATCTATTTGAGATGAGAATTTAAGTTCGTATTTGTAATTTCAGAATCGTCCCATTATAATTTTAAAATGAGCTTTGATAATTATTTTTGCAATTTTAATGAACAAAACACCGACATCATTTATGATAAATATTTATAGAGTTGATGTCGATGTTTTCAACAAAAAAAAAGTTAATTTATTGGCACTTTATATCTCGCAAACTAGGGAATTCAGTGTTAAAATTTATATCATTCACTATTAAAATTTATACCAACCGTCCACTCCAAGGAGCAATAACCCCCATATATGTTAATAGCACGACTACAATGAAGACCAAAGCAGCAGCGATCAATCCACCCACTATGAGCAGCTGCTTCCATTGACCCTTAGGGTTCAAACTATGTAGGTACTTCAGAGCACCGACAGCCATTAATAATGCAAAAACACCTATGGGATAACAAATGTTTACATACCTTGAAGTAAAAAAAAAAGTTATTTCAACCCCTGGAATAAATATCGCTAAAAAATCTTTCACTACATCAGCTTTAATAGCAAGTCATTAAAGAACATATAATGTTTTTCATACTCCATACTAGAATATTCAAATCTTGACAATATTTGAATAATTTTCAATGAATCAAGTTAAATAACAGTTGCCTGGATTTTTGTATTTATTAGTTAAATATATTTATTAGTTATTAAGTAACAGAAAAAGAAAGTAAATTACACTTAGATGATGATAATAAAAAAGTAAGAAATATGACATTTTGAATAATAATAATATTACACTATATAAAAATAAAAAAGATGAGAAATATTAAGATTGAGATATAAAAAACCTTACCAGATGCAGCCATATGTTCACTGGTACGAATTGGTTGGAAGCCGACAAAAGGTATTTGCATGGAGAGCAATAAACCAACAATATAAAAGACATTGTAGCTGACAAACAATCGCTGTGAGAAACGTCCCATTATCAACAGCACAAAGACGTGAAGTGGTATTAAGTTGATAATGAACACATACCCACCCCATGCTGATACCTAAAAGAACAATGTTCATAGGTTTAAAATCAAAAATTGTTATTAAAGTACCCACATTTGCCTTCCACATGTGTACATTGACAGAGGTTATATAATATATGCAGATACATGTAAACCTTCCAACAGGGTTGATTGGTGGTAATAAGTGGCAGAGAATAGTGACAACATTTCCTTATGATGAGATGCAACCAAGTGACCCGACTTTATGCTCATCTTATTATCTTACACTATCAATGTACAAGCCCACCAACACCCTTACCATTAGCGCAGGCAGAAACACTGTTCATTTATCATTAATTAAAAAAAGAAAAATTATAAATGTAGGTGACATTAAAAAATAATTTTGCATGATATAGAAGTAATCAGAGAAACTAACAGAAAAAACTAAGAGATTATATTTTATTATTAGAGTAACAAGGATGTAATAAGATACATGATAGCATGAAATGATTAAACATTATGTAAAAAATATCTGAATCCAGTAGCATATTTTAATTACACACTCACCATGTAGAAATATGATAGTGCAGTACAAATGGACCAGAATATAGAACCACTTTTGACACTCTTCAGCCACAAGTAATATGTGAACTGCAGAGCAAATATTGCAATACCCTCATTGTCATAGCTTCCTGCTACAGATCTACTGCTGTAGCCCGGCACAACAGCTATGAAACATGCTGCAAATAACCCAGCACCACGAGACCACAGTTCAGATGTCAACAGATATGTGGCTATAGCTGTTAGCCCACTAAAATATAAAAAAGTAAAGCATTATTATTTTAACCTATTCATTCATTCATAATTTAAAAACCACACTCATTTTGGTGGAGCATATTCCGCAATCTTCCATCATGCTCTTTAAATGTTGATAGGATATGATTTAAACTGTTTTAACTAATACATTTAAATTCCTTAATGTAGACAAAATGAAAATGTTATTGAATGTGGTTTATGCATGAAGGATATATAAGAAAACCTCTTATAGGGATCTTCCATCAATATAGTAGTACTGAACACAATGATTGTTATATGTTTATGTGTGGTAATCTCAAAAAAGGTTTAAGCATTTTAGGTATTGTCATTATTATTACATTATTTAAACTTAAAGTATTCTATTTATATTATTCCAATTAGTTCTCTTTTAGTATGCCTCAAGAGCAACAAGGAGCCTGTTTTCCATAACAAGTTGTATTAATAGAGTGTAAATAGCCTGCCACATATTTGTTCCACCGATTGCAATTTACATTGTTATTAATATTTAAATACAAACATATTTGACAGATATCCATGTATCTGTCTAGTTCTAAAAAATACCCTTGTTATATTTCAATGTTAGTTAATATTATATTATGATATCATTTATTATTAGATAAGTAATTATATAATCAATAAAATAAAAAAAAACACTGATTCTGAGCTATTATAATTTTGTGCAATATCATAAATAAATTCTATAAAATCTACTAATTCCAATAATAATAAATAAGTAAAACATTATTATTCTTATATGTATGTAAGGCCATTTTCTCATAATAAACTATAATCATGGAGACCACACCCCCTAGTCCGCCATAACTGTGTTACACTTTGGCAAACAAATATAGATTACATTATAATAATCAACTAATCAATCACCCAGTGTAATTTATAACAATATAAAAAGTTTGTAGTTATTGGTTGCAATTTGTTGTTCTTTAATTTATTGTAAAGTATTGGATATGTATTGCTAAGTATTAGATATAGTATAGAACTACACAAACCTGAATACAGGTGCCAAAAATACACAAATATCACGAATATGAATTGGAATATTTAATGTGTGTAATATCCAATGTATTGTGCCAGAAGTAATCATCAATCCGGGGTATACAGTACCACCGACAATGCGTCCTAAAGGGTACCATGCCCTTTCATCGAACCAGTTCAGAAAATTGTAAAACCCATGTTGTACCATATACGCGGTAGAGCGATAGTTGAACCTGAAACACGTATGCAGTTAACACGCGCAATCTTCAAACTTGATGATTAATGGAGCTATTGCGTATTAAACACAAACAAAACTTACCATGGATCAAACTCATGGATAATACTTTCAAAACGTATAACAGCGAATAACCGGGACGCAAAGCCGGACAACCAAGCTAATGATAGCACGGTAACTGTGATAAGGGTGCTGAAGCCGGCAGTATTTTTGAATACTCCCTTACTACGGCCGTTAGCAGATTTAGCAACGGCGGCGGTTGGCATCTTGGTATCTGTTATCACTAAGAACTATCCTAAAAAATCACAATAATTGTATTTTCATACATTAGTTTCAGCAATTCGATTTTATGAAAATTAACTATATGAGGTGACTGACTGACGGACACGTCTCTGTTAAATTTAGTTGCCAGTATTGAAATCTGCGAGGTGAGGTTCAAGGAACAACAGAATATTAATAACGTAATAATTTTATTACACTAATTTATTACAGACTTAAGTTTAGATATGTATCTCTTGTTCTTGAGATTTTTTGGTGAATTTAAATATTTGCAGAAAAGGGTATTATATCAATCAGATAATCCATAAAAATTTGTTCCGATGGAACCAATGGTTCTCGTCGCATTATTTTTTGTCTTGTTTGCACTTCGATGAAACCTTAATTATAGTTTTCAAAAATTATTTTAATTGCATTTTGTCAATTGCATTAAATATTAATTTAATTTGTATTTGATTGAATAATAGGTAGTTACTAGTTAGTGAACATTACATTGTTATTAGAGATCGACTCGAAATATGATTTAGTCTATTTTCGTTTAGTTTTGTTTGACAGTTGACATTTTGTTGACGTTGACATTGTTGACAACATCCTATTGTATTGTATTGTAAATAAAATGAATTTCTCTTCTCGTCTAATATATATTTTCATTAAATATTAAATCTTAACGACTGGAATATTATATTTTTTTAGTATCTGAATAATAAATTAGTATAATGTCTGATTATCATGAAATTGTAAACTTAAACGTGGGTGGTACCAGGTACATAAATTAATCTTTTACTTTATAGTAGAAAGTATACATTTATACGAAGGATAGTTTCCTGTTTTTACCTTTTCACATAATAAAAATCTCGTCGGTACTTAGTTCTATGTAACAAATATTTTATACATTATATTACACCAATAATAGTTTACACTTTTCCAATAATACACTATAAATAAAATAGATTTAATGAATATGAAAGTTTGTAACAGTTATTGTCCTAAATTTCGTTTATGTGCATATTTACTAAACAATCTTGGTAAGTCTTTTTATTAAAATAATTCTGCATAACATTGCAAAACTAACACCTATGTAAAATAAAATTCTGATTTACGTAAAGTTTATTAAAATATTCCATTGATTAATAATTAAACAGTGCTTATTTACTCTAATTCTATTTGTCTGTTGTTTTATCTATATCATAAAAATCTTTCGATATATTTTATAGCATTATAATTAGTAATTTTATTAACTATTATATATAAATTTACAGATTTGCTACTTCCTGGCATACATTGACATGGGTGCCTGACACTTTTTTCTCAGCATTATTGAGTGGTCGAATACCCACTGTTAGAGATGAGACTGGAGCTATTTTTATAGACAGAGATCCAAAACTATTTGGACTTATTTTAAATTTTCTACGGACTAGGGATATAGATTTAAACAATGTTAACATAAGAGCACTTAGACATGAGTGTGATTATTTTGGTATAATGCCATTGAGTAGAAGGTTGGCTCTCTGCGATGAAATGAATCATTCTTCCTGTGGAGATGTGCTATTTTATGGATATTTGCCACCACCATGTAAGATTTAATTTTTATATATTAATAATTGTTAATAAATTATCATTCCACTTTTCAAACATATTCGTTTATTCATTATCATAATTATAAGTGCCTAATGATTTAAAAAAAAATATTTCTTTATGTACAAATTTCTAGTTCATTTAAATAACTTTACTGTACTCTAAAGGTACACATATTTATCCACACAAGATTTTGATAAAATCTGTATACTTATCACTCAAAACAGTTAGAGCGCCGTATTAGCCTAGTTTCGTTTATTGAAATATGAGGTCATATCTGGAAGATCGCGGAAAGTGGCAAGAGCTCCACCGACAAGAGCGTAGCTCTTAAATTATGAATGAATGAATCTCGGAAATGTCATGTGACATAGTGTTTTAGTGCGAATTTGAAACCAAAAGAAATAAAATTCATGTTTTCTCTATCAAATAAAGCTTATTTTAAAAATTAGATAATTATAGGGGGTTTTAAATTAGTCTACAAAAATTATAAAATATATTTAAAAAAATTGTCAAGTTGCAATTGTCTTAGTAAGGAAGTCTGAGTTATTGTAGAATTGGCATTCTACAATAACTCAGACTTCCTTTACTGTCCTTATTTGTTTCAACTATAACCATGATGGCTACAAATCCTAGACAATTATTTAAATATTATGTTTGCACTGTAGCCTACAACAGTGGTGCACAACCTTCAATTGTGGATCCCATTTTTTTTTATTTTCAGGACTGACCTGAGGTTTTTATTGAATAATCAACGCAGTTCAAATGAAACTATTTCTGAAATTTCCTTTTATTAGAGGTTTTTACACAACACACAACCCACGGATTATATATCTAACAATACATATATAGAATTTTTCATAGTTAAAAAAATATTAGTTGTTACTTCTTTTTTTTTATAGTAAACACACCATTACCAAACAACAGTAATAGTAGAAATGGTAATGGGTCAAGAAAAAATTCTACAGCATCAAGTTCAGAAGCACCAACCAACAGAACTCATTCTAGAAACTCATCTCTTGATCTGCGCGCTGTTGGGAGGATACCATCTCAAGATCAACTAAGGTGCAAACTATTTTTGCCTCATATTTTATTTCTGTTAATTGTAATTATCTAACAGAACTAATTAAAAAGTTCTTGACCTAGTAGAGAGGTGGACACCACCTAACTTGCAATTTAGTACTTTAATTTATAGAAGAAACAGATGGAAATATTCATAACTATTTATATTTACACCTATTTTTTTGTAATATTAAAGTGTTATTAACTATTTTTGTTACGTAGGACTCTGTTAGAATTTATGGCTTCTAAATAATAATAAAATTTGATAATAAATTTTATGGAACTATTGTAAATGTTTATTTTGATAATTATAAGTGTAATGTATTATGTAAAAAAAATAATCTCTAGACTAAAATAATTTTTCTTTGTAGCCGTTGTGGCAGAGGTCACTCTCGAGCCGCATCTTTAGGCAATGCAGATGGCCATAAAGGCCTACGGCCACCGGAAGGTAATTACAATATATTTATTATTATGTTACTCTTGGTAGCTCACTAGTTAAAATTGGACCATATTTTATTTTAAATAGTTTAGGTTTTAATTTATAATATATATATAAATTAAAATCTAAACCTATATTTATATCATCATATGTGTGTGCAAGGTGCATGATAGTGTGTGTAATATTTTCTTCCACTTTAATATAAATAATAACAATAAAAATCCAGGGCAATTCACACAGCACCGCCTAGTCCCACTCTAAGCAGAGCTTGTGTTATGGATACTAGACAATGATACTACTTAGATACTTTTTTTTGTAAATACATACATAATGAAAAAACACCCAGACCAATTCAAATAATCCTACTTATGAATACAAATGTTTGCATCATGTGATGAATAGAACCTGTGACCATCGGAAATAAAGTGGTTTTTTTTTTACTGGTAGACCACCGGCCGCATCCGATTATAAAACTTCAAGTATTAATTATATTACTATTAATTTTTTTCTGGTTGCTATTGATGTATTTTATTATTATTCTAGATTTAACATTCTTTGTATACTGATTTATATTAAATATTAAAATTTTCAGTCAACACTTGGGCGGACTCTATGAAAGTTCAAATTATTAAGGCACACCACAATTGGGTTGCTGTTGCATATACACATTTTGTTACAGGATATAGGTAAATAACCAATCATATGTAATATTAGTTCTGATTATAACAAAATCTGAGTGATCAGATTTTGTTATAATATATATGTTTGAAACATAATATGGGTGCTACACCCATGGGTTTCCACCCACGGTACTCCTCATGGTACACCCTAAATAAATTAAATATAATTTAAATAACATAATTAATAATAAAATTTCTAAGTTAGCTAGGTAATAACTCAATTTTCAGATTAACTGACTCGTGTGGGTGGTACGTTGTATTCCAATCGCCTGTTCAAGATTCTGTCATTGAGAGAATAGCACTAAACGCCAAAACAGGCGGTAGCGCTAACTCAAGCGGTAACAACTCCGCCGGAACTGACGTCATGCTCGGTATCACTAGCGGACCACTTGTAAAATTATGGGCGTTTTCAACACATACAGAACCTGTTAGAAGAACTTTGATTGGTTAGTACTGTACTCGATCAATTATATAGGACATTTTGTTTTATTTTCAACAGATTATATATCAACTACAACTTTCGAAACTCTTAATCAGCCTTTACTTTTCTTATTAATTTACTGGGTTTACTCTAAGTAAACAGTGGCTTCCACTGTCTGTACGCGTAAATATGTTTTAAATAACGTAACATATTGTAATCCAGTTTTCAGCAATAAATAAAGGTATTCATCAAGCTTTTTGTTTGTATTTGCCGGTTCTTTTATATATTATACATTATTATGTATGAAATCCAAGACGGTTGTCTGTTGACATTTGTGAATATATTTCAATTGTTTTTTATGATGTTTTTAAATATTTATGTACAAAACAGGTTGTAAACACTTTTCTTCTTTTAATATTTCATTTTTTTTCTAGAAAAGAAAAGAAATTAAAGTATATTGCAATCCTATTTGATATATCAAATAAAGGATGCTTATATATATAAGATATCTGATTTGTGTAGGTACATTCAATTTGGGAGTCCGAGTGGAGCACCTTCTGTTCGTGGGCCCGCAACTAGTGGCGCTGAGCGGCGCCGCGAGTCGCAGCAAAGCGGGCGTGTGGCACACCAGCACGCAGCACTGGCAGACGCAAGACGTCGCACATCTTACAACATACGACACCGCCGGCTCGTTCCTACTTCTGGGTACCGCCACTGGTGCCATCAACTATATTGGTATATATGCTTTTTTTTGTATCTATAACACAATTTTTATAATGTGTTCTACCAGGGAGAGTAGGCTTTAGACGTTGGGAACATTAAGTATTTTATTGCTTCATTCCAACATATATGTAAACTATTAGTGTCTATAAATCTACCTACCCCTTTCACTATGTCGGAAATTAACTATATTTTGTTACGTTTGTTATTTGATACATTTACTTAGTTTTAATATTTCTTTATTAATTGAATAATCAATAATATATACTTTTCGAAGAGAATGACATACTGCGCCGACCCCAAATAATGGGATAAAGGCAAGGCAATGATGATATACTTTTCGATTTATTTTCCATGAAGTTTCATTTTTAACTTAAAAAAATAGCGGTGCTTGCCGCCTACCATCATTTTCTATAAGTATTTAAAGCTAAACAATTTATAAATTTATTTCATCATTCTATAATGTTAAAAAAATATCCTTTTATTCCAGACATGCAAAAGTTTCCACTTCGGATGAAGGATAATGATTTACTTGTCACACAATTGTATAAGGATCCAAATCAAGAGCCTATTTCTGCTATATCTGTATATCTTACACCGAAAACAAGTAAGTCTCCTTACGATCTTTTTATTACTAATTTATTTATTTTGAATATTTAAGATCTGTATGATGTTAGTATTTGGTTAGTAAAATATGAACATAAAGAAATTTATTCATATGTCCATTCCCACTTCCAGTTGCACTGGGTCCATAGCAGTGACATGAAGTCAAATGACTCTGGAGTGGATAATCAGGCATTGCTCTGATGATTAGGCTTTTGACGCTCCTGCGGAACCTATGCAATATTTACTAGAAACCAAACATTCAATATAGCGGAGACAAGTTGTATTCTCATTCTATCGCCACGCGTAAATTTTCTTTTATATTATTATACTAGCTGACCCGGCAAATATTGTTTTAGCCCTTACTTACTTACCCTTACTTCTATAGATTAGAATATATACACGTAATGTATTAAATACTTATGGAACTCGTAAATTAATTACAACCCGTGAAATTAATTCAAAGAGAATAGCCATTTCATTCTCAATAAAAAAAATCGCGATGACACACCGCGATTGCTTAAGTAATTTCGGAGTTTGTCTCCACAATATCTATTCTCACTGTAATTAGCGTGTAATATATTTTTAATAGATTTATGCGGTAACTGGATCGAGATCGCATACGGTACTAGATACGGGTCAGTACGAGTGATCGTACAACACCCAGAGACAGTCGGCCACGGTCCGCAGTTATTCCAGACCTTCACTGTTCACCAGAGTCCTATTACTAAAGTATGTATAAAGTAAAATTGTACTTATAATACTTTACTTATGCTTATTTATACTTACAATATGAATATGGATAATCATTTTATGTACGTCGAATAGGAAACAAGCTGACAGCCCACCTAATAGTAAGATGTCCAGTCGCTCCAATTTGCATTTTGTGTACCTGTAAAGTTTTAGGATGAACATTATATCTAAGGATTATATATTAATTGTATATTGTGTATAGGTTTCCCTATCAGAGAAGTACTTGATCTCAGTATGCAGTGAGTACAACCATGTGAGATCGTGGCGAGTGACGCGTTTCCGCGGTATGATCTCCACGCAGCCGGGCACTACGCCCAAGGCTGCCTTCAAGGTGCTCGCGCTGGAGGCTCCCACTGCGCAGGCACACAATGACTGTGGTCAGTAATGTTACATATTACTAGAATTTCTCATATCAATGTTAAAATAATATTAGATATGTGAAAGTTTCTGTCTGTCTCTGTTTTATCTTCTTACGACTAAACGAATGAACGGTTCTTTATGAAATAGGTAGTGAAAGTTTATGCAGACGAAGTCGCGATTAATAACAATGAGAATAATAATACTTTGTGTCGTTTATGTAGGTAGCATTTAGCAAATAAAGTATTATTAAGATGTACTAGTAGGATGTTTAGAATATGTTGTCGAAATAAATATTATTTTTTAATTACTACACTACACTTTATAATATTAATTATATATAATTTTCAGGACCATATGGTGAACAAGACGAAGAACAAATATTCATACAGAAAATAGTTCCCGATAGTGACACATTATTTGTTAGACTAGCTTCCAATGGAAAAAGGTACAATATTATTTTTTTGCAATACTCTGTTTTTTATAATTTTAAGACAAATTTAACATTAACTATTATATTTGTTTGGGTGTTTTCTATTTAATATATTAAGTATGTACTCACTAGTATTTACTAAAAAATATATAAATTTTTCAGTTGCTTTGTACTATATCTTGTATGTATATATACAAGTTCTGTTTATTTTGTGATTAGGGCTATTCACACAGCGCTACTGTGTGATTTGCCCTAGTTTATTATGCGTAATGGTAACTATATCTGGTGCTCGCTTTAAATAACTAATATTGTTTGTTCAGGGTGTGCACGATCCAGTCGGTGGACGGGTCGGCGGTGTCGTGCTTCGTGGTGGCGGAGTGTGAGGGCGCGCTGCGGCCGCGACGGTTGCTGCTGGCAGGTCACCGCTCCGGAGCCACGCAGATGTGGGACCTCACTGCACCCATAGATCGTGCTGCGAAGCCTGCCGCTCCACATTCCGGTCAGTCACCAGAGATAAACTTTTTATCATTTCATATATTTACCGTGCGAAATCTGGATCCATCGTATGGCAGAGGGAAACTCAGAGCAGTTTTCAGGACTTGTGACCCGGATATAGGTTGAAGGGGCCCCTTGCCGACATACGTCTACACACACCTTCATCGCTCGCCAAATCTGGTAGGAGCCTGCTAGTACAGCTTTAGATACACGTTCTATTATAGAAGTTACTGCAGTTCATAAAACTTTTAAAGATATTACCGAAAAAAACTTATTCCGTAATTACCAAGATCGACTTTAAGTAAACCTCTCAGTGTGGGTAGCTTGATATGTAAGCTGTGTTTTGATTTGTAAGGATAGACATGACAGTTAAATTACTGATACAAAGTAAAGGTGTCGTCAGCAATGAAAACGCCTGGGAGATAAATGGGAAGCGATGTCTCACCTGTGTCTGCCCTCAAAAGTTTGATGTAAGCTGTGTTTTGTTTGAATTATGAGATATGAAAGTGAAATTACAAGATATGAATACATAATATCTTAGGCCCAAATATTAGCAACCCAAAAAAGGACTCACTATATATTGACATTCTACTTTGTAATGGTCATAGTGCTGTTTATACGTATATACGTCTTTCTATGTAGTGGTCTGGCTTGTTTGGTATTCTCACTAATATGTCAGTAGTAGTAGTAGTAGTATAGTTGTATAACATAAAAATAAACTACAGGTGAAGGCGAGGAGTCACCAGAAAAGGACGGAGGACCAAGCCCCGACGAGCTGGTCCGCCTGCTGTCAACATGTGATTTGGACGCGCAGCCTGCGCAGCCCGCGCCGCACTCGCCGAACAGACCGCTGGCGCCATGAACACCGCCCGCGCCCAACTGCGGCTCGTTGCTCTCTATATGCTCACTCCTCTTTTACTAAATATTGTTACTCCTGAAGCCTTAGAGTAACTACGTTTAGTATTTACTCCTGGATGGGTCTAGGAGTATTGATTCTATATTATCAACAGTATAAAAACCAGGCAAGTATAAATACATGCGGTCCTGTAAAGGAAGTAGAAGACTGGTCCTAATAAATTTATCGTAATAGGCTAATTGACCTGAGTTACATCCTATCATCGTCCACTGATGCCCCGCTAGCGCAGGCGGCATTACGTCTTTATCGATAAAAAGGAGATATGGCGTGGTTTTTTCTTTATTAATAAAAAATTTATGTATTTCCCGCCTTCTAATCCTTGACTTATGCACTTTTACAGTGCTGGGTGTATATTATACAAAAGTTAATTAGTAAAAAGAATCCCTTTTATGCACTTTTGTTTCTGCCCTATAGTTATTAAATAAACATTATTTAGAACAAGATATTGCCCGCTTGTTTGAACTTTTAATATGTGATGAGCATGATTTACTCTTATCATTCAGTATTGTAGTGCTAATAAAGACCATTCATAAACAGTATACAAAAAATATAGTCACAATAAAACCTGTGTCAAATTTTTTTTTTAATAGGTACTCTATACGATTATTCAATCTATACCAATATTATGTACTTATTCATTATATACCCGAAAAACAATAATACTCGCAAAGATCTTTCGTACTCGTTTGTTCTGGTCGGCTTTGTATTTTGTATAATCTTTATTTTATTATGTTCTATGTTTACATCGCCTTTTACGAATAATCGTGAAGATGATGATACATTTCTTTCATTCTTGATGGTATTACCAAACGAATGTTATTTTGTACGGCAATGGTCTCGCTACAAATGATGAAGGTATGTTGTTTCCGCCTATGATTTTTTTAAATTCATTATTTAGCACTATAATCGTGAACATGTGTGGATAACTGGCTTTTGTGTATAAGGCCGAATATAGAGTGCATACGGAGTATAAAGACTGATTTCATTTACAAGCTCAATCATTATTTTTAATATTGCTGAAATTCTCATGAAATCGCTTATTTTTTTAAATTTGTATTTACTATATAATTAATATTTGATGAATCTGCTATTTAAGGAAATTGTTCAGTTGGTGCGCTAGGATATATTATAAAAAAAATATTTAAATAGTCTAAAATATTTAACAGCAATATTACCAAGTGTTGCAACATCGACTACGTGTAGATTTATAGGCGTTCACACAGCACTGCAAATTTTCCCAAATGAAAGTCTCGTAAAAATTGTACGAGATTTTCATCCTATGAAATCTGTACTGGACCTTTAGAAGCGAATCTTGTCGAGGAAAAAAAATGTCATAAGTGCATACGATATTCTCGAACCGTCAACTCTATTTACAGATACGTACGTGTCGTGTAAAAATACGCGCACTGTTTGTAAATGATCCTATATATATGATTGTACCTATGTAAATCATAGTTGTTAATGTTTATAATATGTCATTTTTTGTTGTTGTTGTTATAGAAAAATATTGCATTGAAGTGTTATTAATTTCATCTAAATATAGAGAGCTAATTTTTAGATTTTACAAATTGTAATAAAAGGTATAAGGAATCATTTAAAAAAAAATAGTAATATTATTATAAACTTACACTGATACCTAATTGAAGTACTTGTATGATAGATTTCTGTTTGTCAAAGAGAGAAAATTGTTAAATTGGATATATTAAGAAATTATATATCTCCCTCTCTTTTTTATATAATAGACCTTAATAGAATTAAATTTCGAAACGGGCTTTTTATAATCTCTGTTATAATACACATATATTACAATTAATCACCTGGTAAATAGATTTTACATTTTATCTATACATACACTGCATTGCATTAGATCTGCTTTTCACAAATAAAGACTTAAATAATATGTTTCAGGAACCGAATTCTACTGCCTAGTAGCAAATAGGATTCGGCCTAATCAGGTCTAATTAGAAATTAAACTGTAAGTTATACATTGCTTGACACAATGTTTCATTTTGTTCAGTTTTCTCCAGAACCTACATATTAAACGCTTTTACATATTTATTTATTATTAGGGTAATGCTAACACTGCATGATTCTACAAACAATGTATTATAATACATTGTTTATAGCATTCTATATGCAAATGTTTAAAATGATTTAATGAAAATTCTGGGATTCGGACCTCTTGTCATTGAGAATACAAATTAAATAATGGATGTTGGGTAAGACAAGCATTTCCTTCTAAATTGTTTATAAAAAATATTATGTGGCATTTGATTTTGTGATACGAATCATTTGTTATAAAAGTATGTTAATAAATTAAGGTTCATACTACTTAAAATTTCCAGTTGTGGACATTACATTAGCCTAATCATTAAATATATCAACCAAATAACTCATACCTTTCGTAACGTACAGATAACATGAATAAATATTAATAAGAATTATTTTATTTTAAAATGTATAGTATTTCAAATTTCATTATTTGTAATCTCCTTATTTTTTATATGGAATACGTTCATGAATGTACTTTAACAATTGTTAATATACAAGAACCTTTATATTTTTTTGTAAACCTTTGTGTAAGTAAAGGTAGAGTCTAAATTTTGTATATACATATATTATAAAGCAAATAAATTATTTACATACTTTCATTTTTTATTTTATTTTGTAATTTGGAGTAATTCAAAGAATGTACATTTTTGAAGGTGACATTAACTATACAATCAGGAAAATATTTCTTATTGCAAATAAAGAAATTCATATCTCGACATAGCTATTATCTAATTATTGTTTTACAATATATTTTATGCAATAATTATATATTTTTTATAAACGTCTAGCTGAAATGGCAAACAATCGGACGGCTCATTCTGTGGTTAATGGCAACCATCACCAATATACATACATAAACAACACCATGGATTGGAAACACGTCGTCATATGATGCCCGAGGTATCCCTTTATTTGTATCCCGTTGTAGTAGGTGAGACAACAATAGTACCATAGACAACTTTGTACAAAGTCTATATCGGAAAAAGTTCCTAGTCGTATATTTTTTATTTAATTTTTATTACCTTAACTGTAGGATATAACCTTGTATTTTAAAATAAATAAACACCAATAATTATAAATTGTTTATTGTTAATACACTTACATCTATTAAACACAAAATCTTTTTTACTTATGACAATAGTAGTTATTAGTAAGTACTAAATTACTGGATAAAGAACCATGAAGTTAGAAATTTCTGTGTACCTATCATGATTCATCAATTGAATACAATTAAAGACATACTTTCATATAATATTATTGTTCTAGGACTATTGTAAATTTTCAGAGTGTTATACACTTGATTCTTACACAATAATATTTCGATTTTTTTCACCTACATAGTTCAATTATATTCGTCAAATTGTAGAAATCAGCTGGCAAATTAAGTATAAAATATTAATTCACGATCAATTATGATTAAACAAAAACATTCTCCGTTTGAATGTCTGGTAATTAATTAAATAAGGATACTTACTTTGTTATCAAAACAGCACCACTAGCGTTGAAACGGCAATACATAGAATAAATTTTTAGTTCCTAAATCGCTCCACAGCGACTAATATTTTGAAATTAAAGAAAATAATTTGCCATTTATTTACAAAAAAAATAAATTATGCTTGATTAATCTTCATTATTCTCGTAATTTCGTACCATATACTCTATAAACAAATTATTAGTAACTACTTATTATATGAGAAGTATACTACTAATTTATTAATAGAACATAACAAACAGTACATTTTGAGATCTTAGACTGGACATTTATCCACCAATGAAGCAATTATAAAATTGGCCCCTCCAATTAATTTTTAATTACAACCATTGTCAAGGGCTACATTATTTAACGCTGGTGAAAGAATTCTTTTTAAGTACTTGCGTTGAATTATTTGACAGTGGAAGATACCGAAATACCAAATGTTTGCAACAGCGTTACGTAATAAGCCCCAGATTAACACACAGTTCGCTGGTTGTGCTTCAACCTTCTCCATCGAATATTAATAATTAAATAAATTAATCTTAATAAATACCTAAAAACAAAATGATACATCAATTGACTAGTTAGGCATTCTTTACAATCTGCCTATTTGGACCCTGTCAAATAATATATATACGTACAATCTGTATGGCACAGAATAATTTAAGACTTATTTCAATTAAAGACAAGAATTATTTAAAAAAAATTAAGAATATATCCTACTGTTAGTTAAGAAACCCTCAGGTTTTATAAATTGAGTCTAACAAAAAACGTATGTTGTTTTAAGCCGTCATATGCTTGTGTAAAGAGTAGAGGCCGCGGCTTAAAATGGGACTTCAATAAGCTATTATATTTATATAGCCCATCAAAAAATTATGAAATTGTGTGACGTAATTTATATATAGCAAGTGTTTCGAGCACGAAATAATGGGCTGTTATAGTTACTTATAATAATGACGTACACAATATTTTCTACATAACTAAATAATACAGTATTATTTAAGTTATTTACGCCATCTATCCATTACACTTGACTCTTCTCTGATCAGAAGTATTCTATATTTACTATAAAGGAAGCCTTTAATTGTGTTATGCAATAAAATATCCAAATTCGTCCGTCCAAAAAAATGTCCGTGTGCGTGATAAATTATTTTTTATGTTCAGTCGTTTAGCACACAGTTTTACTTCCGATGATCGTAGGGATGTATAGCACTTTGCAAACATTATTCAGGAGTATGTTCTTTGTATCAGTTGGATATTTTCTATGTATATTATATATCTATTTACACAAAAATGTGTTTAAGTATATCTATCAATTATCTAGTAGCCATAACACAAATTCTGCTTACCTTGGGACTAGTTGGCTCTGTGTGAATTGTTCAGAGTTGTTTATTTATTAATAACTAAATAAATCTTTATTTTGGACATGTTTCAATGTACACGAAAATTTTTACCATATTATTAAACGAAGTATGCTAATTAATTTTTAATTAATGTAGAGAAGTTTCTTCTCTCATTATTACAAATCACAAACAGTTCCCTAATTGACCTCGCAAAGGATCTTTTACGTAGCAAAAGCTATGTAAAAACATACCATTATAATAATTTTATTTTTAGTAAACGAATAATGTCAAAGTTCCAAGTGCCAACCATGAGTAGTACTTATAAATACAAAATCCATAAGTTACGAGTATTTTAGTGACTATTAAAATCTCAAATTATACGAAAGATAGCACCAAAACTTTTAACTTGACAGGGAATTCATCCCTAGTCGCTGGAACGTAAGTGGTCTCGGACAGTGCGGTGGAAAACGTCCCTCCGCGTACACTTAGACGCTGGCATGAACTAACTGCCAAGGTTTTCTCGAAAGACTCGTATAGACATAGATCGGGGTATCGGGTTTACATAATGGCATCAGGAATGCTTGTTTGCCACAATCATAGAATTAAAAAAATAAATAGTAACATGTTTATTTATTCCCTTGTGTGCAATGGCACTGCTTCTCAATGTGAGATCATAATATCTACGAATGATACTATTATAGACAATGGGTGGAAAAATAGTAATAGAATTAATTTATCCGAATATAGTCATGCAATAGACGAGTTTACGAAACTTTGTTGTCAGTTATATACTTGTATGTAATGACAGAATGTTCATTCGTAGGCTGTGTTTATAAATTGCTACAAATTTTAAAAAATCTCCATCTTTCAAACCATACAAGATACGAGTATTTAAGTAAACTAGTATTAACAAGATACGAGTATTTAAGTAAACTAGTTAATACTTGCTACAAATTTAAAAAAATCTCCATCTTTCAAACCATACAAGATACGAGTATTTAAGTAAACTAGTTAATACTAGTTTACTTAAATACTCGTATCTTAATATATTGTGTATTAAGTATTAATAATACTAGAAATATATTCCCATAGAATACATAGAAGCAGATACCTTTCCGGAGTCTCTAATGTTAACACAACATACATACAGTCTCAATATTACTATATTTTAAAACAGCACAAAACATTTACGTAATCTATAATCATAAAATGTATTCTGACTTACTTAAAACGCTCGTCTTGAAAGCTGAACTTCGGAACACATTTTATTCTATGTAAGCTATGAGCCGTTTTTATATTTGTATTAAATATTATTACAAATGTTAGTGTTAATGTTATTGTTTAATACTTGTAAATACTTTTGCGATGATACCTATTAATATTGATACTCATTAATACTTCTTTCGGTAACAAAACTAGTGAATAGATCGACAGTATACTGACTGAGACAGCTGTATACTGGTAATTATACTGATTTATAAAAATATTATTAGAATATTAATTGTAATAGTTACATTTTAAATACTCATGGCAACTATAATACTTATAAGAATATTACATTTAAGAAAGTGTTTGTTTGTTTGTAACACTTTATTGCACAATAAATACATTTAAATTATGCTTAAAAAAAAAATATATATATATAAGATGTACAATACTTACATTTCTTCCAGTCAACCTTTGAATGACTGAAAGGAATTTTTACTATATATATAATGACAATAATACGCATTATATAACTATAATATATAACAACTAGAATATTAAATAAATATTTAAGTATAATATATAAATACATATACCTACATATATATAAAATATAAAATAATAATAATAAAATAACAAATGTATAAATAGTAACAGCAGAAATATATAAAAAACAATACATTATATTAATTTAATTATAGCATTCCAAAGTCGAGCAGACTGTAGAAAAAATACTCGTATGCAATTATATTCTGGTGGACGGTCATCAGTCCGAATAAAGAACGGCAAATGTTACGACGGTCGATAATTCATTCAATAGTAATACAAACAATTATCAGTAACTTGTTCCGATAACAGGTTCTTCACAGTAATGTGAGTCGTAGACAACGAATGTGAGACAAATATGCATATATTATTTATGCATTTTTAATCTACTACACAGCTCTCTTTACTTAAACTAGCATGATCACCGTTCTGACATTATATTAATTTAATTATACAGTAGAAAAAATATCTGCAATTATATTCGTGGTTGGAAGTGAATAAAGAACGTCATGCGATAATTCATTCAATAGTAATACAAACAATTATCAGTAACTTGTTCCGATAACGAGTAAAGTCGCGTGTGAGACAAATATGTTTTTTAAATACAACTACTATTACAAATAGGTCATATGTTTTTGTAATTAGTAGGCAGTTGGACTGGAAGAGAAAAACATATTACGCCGACCCGAAATGAAACAAGTTAGCTTTCATAAAGAGAGCTATAGACAAACAGTATAGCAAGATAGTCATGGCAAACAGAAGAGGCATTAACTCCGCCACTTAGACAGGTATAAAAGAAATACATTACGATAAATTATTAGATAACGAACTGCGTCTTATCGATAGATGTTCGTACATTAACTTTCATACTAATAAATATCACTCACAGATAAGCAATGACTGAATTCCTAGTTGCAGTCAAAAGCTTCTACATAATCATCAGCAACAAAAATTGTATAAAAACTTTACTAACTTACATTGTTGTGCAAAATATATTACGTATTTTGGATGTAAATTGGATTTCACTGCCTACATACCTCTTAAGGTCTAATACGCAATGTCGTAGGGTAGGTAGAACCGATCCATACAACCGGTAGAATTATTGGCGTATATATCTAGGTATAAAATAACTAAGATAATATCTATCACCAAGGACTAGTCGCCAGTACATAATGGCTTTTAAACAGACTGTAGTCTGATCAGTCAATTTATAATTAATTAGTAAAAAAGTTATCCTATCTTATACGAGTAGAATTTTATTCATAGTGCATTTGGGTTATATACCTAGTGCAAATAAAAAGAGGCGACTATACATAGAGAAAAGACAAAACCTAGACTAAATTTAATTCACCAAATGGCTTTTTGTTATTAATAATAATTAGCTTGTTTACTATTTCAATTACATAAAAAAAAGAAATTGTTTTATTGTTGGTTTCCTATAATCACAATGTAATTCCAAAATATTATCTACTTTATTTAAATAATTGGCATACGTTATTATGTATTACTTATACTTACTATTCAAGGACAGAATGACGCGGTCACGTCACACTTATCATAATTCCATCTGACAATGAGTGGTGTTAAAATAAATAAAAAAATTGGACAATGACATTAATTCAAGATTCCCAATATAACGTATTATCATATAGGTTAGGACTAGTAATAGGTATAAGCATGACACACCACAAGGCGAATCCTAAAAGAAAGCAGCAAACGATCAACACTCGCTGCAACGGCGGAAACATCATAACCGCTCCGAAATTGGGAAAACCCATATGGTTACAAAATATATGAGCAGTCAGCGGAGCGACGAAATGACCTGAAACAAATAATATACAGTGAAATTATTTAATGCACCTCATAATCTGACTATAGAGTATAGGATATTTGATTATTATTGTCAACCAACGCTAAAATGGACGTTCTCAATTCCACTAGAATATTAACAGACAGAATGCATGTCTATCTGTATACAAAATTTTATCCATAAACCCTTATGTACATACATATAATGTAAGCAAATAGTTGATCTATATTAACTACTATATCAAAATCTAACTAAACAAAAATATCATTAAAGACCAATACACCCATGTTTATGTTTTTGCTTTTTGTTAGAGAGTCGTGTGTTATTTCGTGTGACTGAAATGCTAATAAAATTACCAATGATTGAATTTGCCAAGAAAAATGTTAATTGTCATCTATAAACAACATCTTCACTACATCAACAACATTGTTGATGTAGTGAAATTGAAATAAAAATAATACTAAAACTGAACTCACCTGTTCTCAAAAATAGATACGAAGAATATGCACCAAACAGACTAGTATATGCAAACTGGAATGCTGTAAATAACAAACAATTTATGAAATTTATTAACCATATACATATAAATCTAGCTATTCAATGTTTGTCAGGAATAATCTCTGAAAGTGCTTAACCAATTAAATGTGTATGATCAAATTAAAAAATAGGTTTTATTGCCTTAATATTAGAACTATTGAGTCCCAGCAATGTATAACTAGGTCAGCTAGTATAATCATAATACTAGTTTTCAAACATAGCTTTGTACCTAGGACTTGGACATTTTTATTAACCAAATATATTTACCTTGGAAAAAATAAAAGATGGAACTAGAGACTGGAAAGGATTTAATGTCGCCAAAAGTAGACTATTGTAACAAAAGTAATAACAGGAGAGATAGAAAGAAGTGGAGTAGTTCTCACAGGTTGGGATGAAGTTACAACTCAGTGGAAATGGACATCACACACTAAGGGGAGATATGAGATCTAACTGATTCCCCGTCCCGAAAAAAGAAGACAGTACAAGAGATGGTCTGATGACCTTAGAAAGATTGCCGGCCCACTGTGGCTCCGATTGGCAAAAGATAGGAACACATGGAAAACGCTGGAGGAGGCCTTTGTGTCTAAAGGACACGTTGACTCAGAGACTGATGTGCAGAATTAGAAGTAACATAAAATGTATATATAAGTAACTAATATTTCTTCTATATTTTAAACTTGTAATCAAATATTATGATAGATTGTATTATTTTGTGTCAATTAATAAAGGCTTTGAATTTGAATTTGAATTTGAATTAACCAAAATAAAAAATAAGAGCTAAGACTAGATTTATGTCGAAGTAGACTTTGTAAAAAGTAATCAGTGAAAGTAGTAGTAGCTCAGGATCATCTATCTCTGCCCCCAAAGAGCTATTAGTTGTCCAGAATGAAAATGACAAAGTGGTATCACAGGCATCATATGATGACATGTGTATAATAATGTATACAGGCTACCATTGTTACTGAGCAACATTCTATGCATATAAGTAATCTGTCAGTATGTTTGCTACTTCAATTGCATAACAAATAATTAGTATATATAAAATCACATATACATATGTATTTAGTGTGTTACTATGGAAGTCAATTTATTTTAAAATACTTACATGATACCATAAGTGCCGCTTTAAATTCATATCCAGCCTTCATTTGCTCAAGCATGTGATGAAAATGAGCTGAAAGTATATTTATACATGTATACATAATATAATCTCATCTTTCAAATTCACCTCTCATGTAATTTATTGTATTACATACTTTCACAAGTCAAAAAATGAAAAGTTTGTTACCTAATTTGACACACAGGTAGGACACAAAAAGAAAATTGACCCTCATATAAATAAAATAACATACTACAACATTAGAATAAAAAAGAAATGCTCTTTATTGAAATTGCTTTTGAATAGTCATGTTTTTTATTCTTCCATTCATTCTGTAGGCAGATATAGCACAAGAAGAATAAGTGTAGAGTTGTTCAAGTTTTAATTTTTTTAAATTGTTTGATGCATTCAGACAATTGCTACTAAATAAGATCCAATTTACAAGAGTAAAGTAAATGAATCATAGTGATCAAAATTAAATAGTTCCTACATGTATCACAAGTACAAGTAACATGAACAGATGGCTAGAGACACATTATGATCTCCTGTGATTTTACACATATTACATTATTCTATAAAAATGTTATTAAATAGTTTTGATCATACCAATTCCGAAGAGCAGTGGTCCTACAAATACAGCAGTAATTGGTTCCAAACATTGCAACAGTATTGGCATCATACATGCTCGAAAGACCCACTCTTCACTCAATGGTGCCATTAAATGATTACGCACCCACAACAGATCTTGCCAGCTTGACAACCAATACACAGGTTCTGTAGAAGTAATATGATATTTATAATAACACATTTATGTAATGTAGTCTATTACTACGCTTGAAAATCACTGATAAATATTATTATTATTGTTATTATTAACATTTTTCAAAAATTAATGGTTATATATATGTTATATTAAGTTACCTGCATACAATGTCCACATTCCAGATAAATACTGCATACACAATGGACCCATGAATAAAACAATGGTTAACAACAGTGGAGCAAAAGATGCAGTGACTAATCCTGGTAATCTAAGCCCCAAATGATCATATATATCTCCCTTACTTAGTGTCTCTTTAGTAAGGAAATATCGTGTCAAGAACGGTGCCAGCAACATCATACAAAATACACTGAAGAATCTTCTTTTGATAGTTGAAGGATGATCTCTAATAAACAAATAAATTTAATTAAGTATATAACTAATATATATCAGTAATTAAATCAATATATAACTTTATACATCAAATGTCAAGAATCTAAATATTATACCTGCTCAATTTAGTCCTCCATACATACAAACTTGCAACATAGCACAATGTCATAAATACACAGGCAACTACTGTAACCTTACAGGCATTTTCTTCCATATAATTATTTAATAACATTATGAATCAATATCTGTAAAATTGTATTTATTTATTAATATTAAAACAACCACACCACGAGCCATAAAAATCAATTATAATTATGCATATGAATGCAGCAGTTCGATACACAATTTCATTTACTTTCAATTTCAATCATTTGTCATGAATAGTCAAAATAGAATTGCAGAAAATGTCAATGTCACATTTGGAATATGAGAATTTAAATATGAGAAAGATTGATTGTCAAAGTTATAAGTGTTTGCGTCAGTTGTTAAAGTGAGTGTTCTGTATTTGAAATACGTCTTAATCAAATGACAGTGACATTTACACTAAAGTTTGACAGATCTCCGTTAACATGTATGATTTACTGTATGAATGTTTGATAAATATAAATTACGCGGATTTTGCTGTTGCAGTAATTTAATCGTTTTTAAATTACAAAATATTTATAGTGGTCGTGCACGGTATGGTCATAAATTTTTTATAGAACTGTAACTTTTTTACCATCAATAAAAAAAAACTTTTAGTAGATGGCGTCACCGTCGCCGTCGCCATGTTAATCCGAAATCCGCCATATTTTACTGGAGAGTCGCCCATTCCTTTGGGCAGTCTGATATTTTGTTCTAATTTAATCAAATTATGATTTTTATGAGTTAACGGTTATAATTTTAGTGTCTCTGTGTAGTGATTTATTCCTAGAACTTTCTAACATTCTTCCAATATAAACTGATGTGGTTTATTCTCTTTCCTGTTCGTTTCCCCAATCTAATCTAAACAGAAAATGGCCGACGGTGTTGGTGCGGGTGTCTCCTTTGTTTAGGGCTGAATTCTAGTGAATATAAGTGTTTATAGAAATAATGCCTAGTGCCTCGTTTTCCTCTTCGCGTTCTTACGTCCGTAGATCGCGAAGAAAAGGCGGACATCGGATACCATTACCTTCAAGAACACAATCGAGTAAGTAATCCGGGTCGCCGATGTCGTCCCAATAATTTACCAATCACTAGATACGACATGTCCATAAATGTACAACCTCTGAATTAAACAATAGAATGTGTATGACAAATTATTCTTTAGATCTATACATAATTTATGTAGTCTGCGCACTAATAGGAGTGTTTGGAACCAAGAAATTCTTACAGCTATCTTACAATTTTTTATTATATATTCATTGTTCTCCATACTCACATCGATTATCACGTAAATTCTTTGAGATTCATCATATTATGTCTTTATTAGGATATTGAGCAGCGCATTTCAGTGACATTTTGCGCAATATGGGTATTGATTTGCTAGATGAAACTTATTTTACATAGCATGATGAAACAGCTGTTCTGAAACATGCCTCCATCGTATTGTGTACTTACAGGTAATTACGAAATATATATTTTCTCTTCAATACATATACACATAATATGTGAACTGTAATCATGATACTTTCTATTGAAATGCAAATGTGGCCGCCCTTAATTAGCTTATTGTTTTTTTTTAAATACTCATATGTTAGGTTATTCTATCAGTTTGTTCAAAGCTATTTGGTTTCAGTGTACATGTGATAAATATCATAATAAATATGACAACAAATACATATAAACAAATTTATATGACAAATAATATTTTTAATATGAATGAAACATTCCATAATCAATTGATTTTGTTTTTGTTTTTAAATCTTCACAAAGATATAGACAAACAAAAATTGAAGAGAGATTTCAATACATTAGTATTGTATATTTATTGCATTAGCTTTAATGATTATATTAGTATAGATAGTAATCAGGGTTTAATAAATAGAAATATTGATCAATATTTTTTTTAATGTATAACAACTTTGTTTACCAAACAATACAAAGTGCAAAAAAACATTATATTGTACTGTTTCAAATATTTATTATTTTAATAATTTGTACTTTAATAATTTAGTTGAAGTGTTTATTTTACCTGTTAAAATTATTGAAATTAAGAAAAAACAATAAATAAGTCTATGTTATGTATCTCAACTAATTCTGCATGTTTCAATGACAAAGAGACTCCATTTTAAACTACAAACTCTTTGATTAGGATTAAGTTTAATTAATTGTCTAACAAATTTGTCAGTTGTACTGGTATGATTCATATAACCATCTTCATATAATGTTAAACTGTTCTAGATCCACCTTTCAAATAGGTCATCTGTTTTGGCAGCAAATCAAAAATGTAATTACTTGGTGTAGAAATCACTTTAGGTAAAATGATTGTTTCTTAATATGATTGTGTTATTAAAATCAGTAAATGAGAAAAGCAAAATTTATTGTATTGGCTTTGTAGTCATATTACACATGTCTTCATATTCTCTGCCTTAATTCTAAGCTTTCTTCAAAATAAATAAGTGTAGGTGTTTTATAAATGAAGAATATTATAAAATTGAAAGAAGGTTGAATGTGATGAATCATTGGCAGGTTTGAAAGTAATGTGGTAATATATACTATAGATGTTCTATATTTTAATATTCATAATGATGGCAACAAAGAGTAATAGTCATATTATATTTAAATTTTATTGAGAAATATTGGTTAAATTATTAATATTATTGCTTTAACTTTGTCACAGTAAGCCATTAATATTTTTTTGTTGGTAAAAGTAATGACAAGTTCATTAATATTATTTGAAACACCTATCATTCTGGGAAATAGTGTTAATATGCTATGTGATTTCTTTTGGTGTTATTGACAGTAAGTAATTTAGGCAATATGAATATAATAAACATGTGAACCATATTGTTTGCTATTTAATATTATTTTTAAATGAATATTATGTTCAATCTCAGAGCAACAACAAAATACACATACAAATTTTATTAAAGCAAATGTCTTCCTTTAAATTTTATTTTCAAATTGAACATAGTCATTTCATATAAGGATTTAAGTAATGTCTTGAAAATAAATAAATGTGACTACTTTAATTAAAACCATAATTTTATCATAATTGTGCTCTATATTAGAAATATTTTGTTAAGTGTTCATTGTATTTTATTGCAAAGACTATTACCAGATTCCTATTTTTAGGAAAGTAATAGTTTTAGCTAGGCTAATTCATAACCCAAGATCAGACATCTTCTATGGTTGTAAAACTAAAACCTAACAGATATATGAACACATTTACTACAATTTATCCATTTTGACAATACTGACACTGAAACTAGGTAGTAATAAATCTAATGATACTATTTAATTTAGTGAATTAGTTACAGTTAGTTGATACACAATTATTTTATACATACATGTAAATAATGTGAGTCTCCTTTTGACTGGACTGTTAGACCCTATGTACATGTTATTTGATCAGTTTATTAAATGTATACTTTATATTTAATATTAAATGCAAATTAATACATTCTTTAATATTTAAAGTAAAAAGTCATGACTACAACCAGATTAGTAGGTTCCAAAAATGCAAAGTTAATCAAAATGCAAAATAATTTTCGTCACTTTGTGGTATATACATGTATATTTATATCACTTAGTATAGTTATTTTTATTTTATTATATTTTATTAATATGTATATAAAATATATATTTATTGATTATATTCTGCTATACTTATTCTATTTATATTGTCTGTTGAACTCACGTGCACTACATTACACTTTGTTTATATGGTTTCGCGCAATGTTTACCAAACAAGTAATGGTAGTAATTGCTGAAATGCAAATTACAGGTGAGCCATGTGAATCAGTCCCTTGCCCAAATAACGTGACAGGCGCAATGGCGGCTACGGCCGCATGCGCCGGTCCGAGCGGCAGCGGCGGCGGCGGTGGTTCCCCGCCTGTGCCGGCTGCGGCCGCTGCCACCACCGCCGGCCACCACAGCCCCTATGATCTGCGCCGCAAGTCTCCACCCGCCTACCACGAGCCCGGACCTTCGGGCGCTTGCTCTCTACCCGCTAGGAAGAGGCCCAGAACGTGAGTAATCAGTAGAATGTAATATAAATATAAACATTTGGAATTCAGCTATTTCGTAATGAAAATGTGGTCACAAAAATTGTGTGATGGTGGAGAGTCAAGTTTTTATAACCGCCGTGTATCGTAAATAGTCGTGTAAAATAAATAAGCAAATGTGTTGATTAACTCTATCTACCTCGTAAAAAAATTAGCGTGAAGAAAAACAAACTGGATTACATCATTATTTAAGTGTATTGATAACTATCAGCTTAAACCATGTGATATTTGTTTTTACCGCTGTTAGTCTGTAATCCTTTTGTTATTGTTTTCTAACACAGATAATATACGTTAATATTCTTATTCAATTGAAAATTCATATTCCATACATATGGATGATGTAATACACGTGTTTAGAGTAAATTTTTCAATTCTTAATAATTATTATATTTACAGGACTATACCTAAAGTGTAACAAAAATTTCAGCCTATTTTAAACCATATAAGCTTTTCGAAAAAGCAAATCAATATAGCATTTACCAATTTTCCAATGTATCGACTGCTAATATATTATGTTATGGGCGTAAATTATTAATATTTCAATAAATGTACTTCTCATGCACTATGTTAATGTAGGTATTTTGCTTTACGTAAGGTAAATGTTTGTTACTTTCACTTTCCAAGAATATTCAACTACATACTCCCTGTCTAGATAACGTATAAAACTGGAAAATTAGAGAAATTTACTAGTTTTGTTTTATTTGTACAGAAAATATTTTTTATCATATTTACATATAAACACTTAGGATAAACATCGCGAGTACCTCAATCGCTGTGAAAATTAAGCATGTTTATGTTTTTCTATTTGTTACGAATTGATTGTAATATTTTCACTATTTTGTGATACGTTTTTGTTTATATAAGGTTGTCAAATATGGGAGATATATATTCCGCCTTTTTATCTTTTGAATTTCGCGGCTATGTACAAAGCACTACAGAGCTCGTATCTGGCATTACTATGCATCATTTGAAAGGTCTTGACATAACCTACAAAACGACGCTATGCATGATTAGTTTGGATATTGCGTTCAACAGTTATAGACGTGTAAACATGGAGTTCACTAACGCCCAAATTCGCGCTATTTTAAAGTTTTCCTTCGTTAAAAGCAAGTCCGCTAGAGAAACGTTTCGTGAGATTAATGGTGTTTTGGGGGATGGTACTCTATCACTTCAAACCGTGGAGGAATGGTTTCGACGATTCAGAGCCGCTGAAAACGACACCGTGGATAAGCCAGCCGGCGGAAGACATGTGGCGACGGCAAAAAAACCTTCTGGACCGAATCAACGCCTGTGATATGCTGCTGAAACGGAACGAACTCGACCCATTTTTGAAGGGGATGGTGACTGGCGACGAAAAGTTGATCACATACGACAATATCAAGCGAAAACGGTCGTGGTCGAAGGCCGGTGAATCGTCCCAAACAGTGGCCAAGCCGGGATTGACGGCCAGGAAAGTTTTGCTGTGTGTTTGGTGGGATTGGAAGGGAATCATCCACTATGAGCTGCTCCCATATGGCCAGACGCTTAATTCTACCATCTACTGCGAACAACTGGACCGCTTGAGGCAGGCGATCGACCAGAAGCGTCCAGAATTGGCCAACAGGAAGGGTGTAGTATTCCAACGCTAAACCACACAGTTCGTTGATGACTCGTCAGAAGCTACGGGAGCTCGGATGGGAGGTTTTATCGCATCCACCATATAGCCCGGACATGGCGCCAAGTGATTACTACCTGTTCCTGTCCATGGCGAACGCCCTTGGTGATGTAAAGTTGAACTCAAAAGAGGCTTGTGAAAAGTGGCTGTCCGAGTTCTTCGCAAATAAGGAGGAGGGCTTCTACGAGGGCGGTATTATGAAGTTGCCGTCTAGATGGAAACAGATTATCGAACATAACGGCGCATATTTAAACTAAATCCGATCACTGTAACACTTTTTATAAACACATTGAATAAAGAGCAAAAAAGCGGAAGGGAGATATTTGACAACCGATATAATCTACCAGTACACATTATAATGGATCACGAAATATTTATACTATCTATTCCTACACAGCTCTCTGGCCCAGGGTGTGGATGTGTGCAATGTATCACAGTATCTGCAATATGAGCTCCCGGATGAAGTACTGCTGTGTATTCTGTCCCACCTCACCGAGCGAGACCTGTGCCGCGTCGCACAAGTCTGCAAGAGGTTCAACACAATTGCAAATGATACTGAACTATGGTAAACATCATTTTTTTAAATAAATATAAATACAATATGTATAATTAATTAATTTTCATTCTGGCACTGAGATATATATGAATGACACCGAAGGTCGACAACAATTGAAATTGTGACTTGTTTACATTTTTTTACGGACTGTATAAACTTATGTGATCAAAATTACTAAGGATTTTAATTTTTAAGTTTTGTAATGACAACTGTATTTAACTATAATTTTTGTTTCTTTTCGTTTTTGACAGGAAAAGTTTATATCAGTCAGTGTTTGAATATGATACACCCCTGATGCATCCCGCCTCGTGTCAGTTCGAGTTCGTCCCGGCCGATGAATGCGACGCCGATAATCCGTGGAAAGAGAGCTTCCGGCAGCTATACTACGGAATCCATGTTCGCCCCAACTATCGTCCTAAAAAAGAATCGCGTATCAAACATTTTAATACAATTAGGGTTAGTTTGATTTCTTATGTTAATATACTTCGTTTTGTTTTTGCTGGTGACTTCGTTCACTTTTAAGTTTAATAATAATAAGTGGTAATATTGCAACTAGACAACATCTAATTCATTCCTTATTACATATTCTATTAATTACTACGTTTCTGATGTTACTAGTATCAGTGAACATTTTTGAAGATACAATAATTAAGTCGAACATTGTTTTTTATTGAGTTTTCAATCGAATAGATGTAAGGAAACCTTACCGAGCGACTTTATTTATTAGAATATGTTGTTCTGAAGGCTGCCATTAGAAGCTTCACGGAACTTGATAAAAACATATGAAACCATGTAATATCGCTTTACAAATTCGAGAAAACTTTTATTGTAGTGAACCCCATTCATATATACATGTTGACTGCATATGATATTGAAATCATCTTAATCTTGCATTATCTTTATTTGACAAGAACATTTATACTATGCAGATGTCGGTTGCGTGGCTTTATAATTAACACTCTTAACGCAACTAATATTGGCCACCAGGCGGCTCTCGAGTATGTGGAGGAACGCGCCGGTGTGGGCGGCGTGAGTAGCGCGAGCAGTGCAAGTGGGGCGAGCAGCGCCAGCGGCAGCAGCAGCACGTTGAGTGCCACTTGCGGCGGCGTGTGCGCGGCCGGAGCTTCGGGCGCGACGGCCTGCTCGTGCCGGCGCGCGCAGCCTGCACTCGTGTTTGTGCACGCCGGACACTATCAGGAGGAGTGTCTCGCCATAGAGACCGACGTCCAACTCATTGGTAACTTCCGCTATTTTTTTTTTTTTTTTTGACAAAATTTACTAAGAACTTGCCATGAAGACAATAAAAGAGGAGCTCAACTCCAATACAAAAAGCGCCTTTGTAACTCACTCGAATCTACTAACTGCTTAACTATTAAAACGAGTAAAACAACACTACCTTACGACTAATTAGAAGCTATATTATTTAATGTTTCGCAGTATTCCTAAGGAGCAGATCATCCCACTGGGATGGTCGTTCCCAATCTGTTTACTCAAAAGATCAACTTATGAAAATGGAAAGAGCTTTACAGACAAGAATGCTGCTCTTAAATGATTGATGAATGAAATTTAATCATTTAATTTTTTAAGTAAGGTTGTTTGATCTTTAATATGTTTTAAAATGTATGTCGAAAAGAAAGATACTGACTCCAATTTAATTTAAATAAAAATATTAAAGGATGGCCACATTCATATTTAATCTCAATCAAATCAAACATCTATATAAATATTACCATAACATTTCTTTCAGGTTGTGCCCCAGGAAATGTAGCTGAGTCAGTTATCCTGGAACGTGAGGCGGAGTCAACATTGACGTTCGCCGAGGGTGCGATACGAGCGTATGCCGGACACATGACGCTCAAGTTCTCTCCAGATGCATCCAGTACAATGCAACATCATAAGCACTATTGTTTAGAAGTGTCAGACAATTGCTCGCCTACAGTAGATCATTGCATTATTAGGAGTGCCAGTGTTGGTGAGTCTCTCTTGTTTCTGCTTTAAAATTAAATTTTAATTGTAGTGTCCAATAAGGCATTATTCTATAACAAATATTCTTGGCTGCAGTTATTCTAGAAGAGGGAAGTAAAGTATCCCAATTGTAACCAGGGTAACAAACTGTCTATGACAACATATTTACATCTGTTTACCCATTACGTGAATAACAATGTAATATATAATATTGTTTAGAAGTGTCACACAATAGAATGGGTTTTTTATTGCATGACAATAGAATGGGTACATCATGCCAGTGCTAACGATTTACATGGGCAGAATATCATTGGAGGATAACAAAAAAAGAATGAACTGAGGTTATTAGGATGGTTTCCAGGGGGGAACCGCGTTGAGATCAACCTGACATAGTCCATTCCTAGAAATAATGTCTGTAGTCCACATTACTTACTATCCTCTTCACCCCCTGTGTGCTTGATTAAGCAAATGAAACTGCATGCACTCTGTGGGATAGCCATATATTTATGCCTAAGAGTGCCACATTAAGCATACGTATTCGTATGCCTAACGTGGCACTCTTAGACAAATATATATATAAAATAACATACAAAAAAAATACAATATACAGAACTAAAATGAAATATGCGTATTGAACAGTGGGTGCAGCGGTGTGTGTAAGCGGCGCAGGCGCAACGCCCATCATCAAGCACTGCGACATCAGCGACTGCGAGAATGTGGGACTCTATGTGACTGACTACGCACAGGGCGAGTACCTTGACAATGAGATCTCGCGGAACGCGCTTGCCGGCATCTGGGTCAAGAACTACGCCAGTCCCGTCATGCGTAGGAATCATATACATCACGGCAGAGATGTTGGAATATTCACATTTGAAAATGGGCTGGTAAGTAAATAGTATGTAAAAATATTAAGAAACTATATTTATCTATAATATAATAATTACAATCAGATCAATATTCTGTCTATTCTCTAAAATTGTAATTATAATATATTTTAAATAAATTAAAAAGCTACTTTAATCAATCAAGGGTTTTCGACACTAATTTTATGTAGTAACTGTGAATTGGAAAAAATCACCTGCCTACCTATTTAAAACCAAAAATTCACATATGTAATTTGAAGTATATAAATACAGACAATTTACATGCATGATTTGCTTTACAGGGTTACTTTGAAGCAAATGACATACACAACAACAGAATCGCTGGTTTCGAAGTAAAGGCTGGTGCAAACCCCACAGTAGTTCATTGCGAGATTCATCACGGACAGACTGGCGGTATATACGTCCACGAGTCTGGTATAGGGCAGTTTATAGACAACAAAATACACTCGAATAATTTCGCCGGTGTCTGGATCACATCTAATAGTAACCCGACCATTCGCCGGAATGAGATTTATAATGGTCACCAAGGTGGTGTGTACATATTTGGGGAGGGACGCGGGCTCATAGAGCACAATAATATTTATGGAAACGCTTTAGCTGGTATACAGGTAAGCTTATATATATTATTACTGTAACTTACTGTCTTTTATGTGTATAGAGCTCTGAAGGCCAAGCAAGTACAAGGCTCACGGCCGATATATAATGTTATAATTATTCTGAGTTTCCAGAATACATCACATATACTTACGTATTATTACAACTCAATACTAAACCTGTTCTTAACAGATTAATAATTTATACATAGTATACAGTATAGTTTTATTTGTCGTTTTAGATACGTACTAATAGTGATCCAATAGTAAGACACAATAAAATCCACCATGGACAACATGGCGGAATCTACGTCCATGAGAAGGGCCAAGGGCTCATCGAGGAGAATGAGGTGTACGCCAACACGCTCGCCGGTGTGTGGATCACTACCGGCTCCACGCCTGTACTTCGCCGCAATCGTATACATTCGGGAAAACAGGTAATATAAAATTTAGTGGTCTATCTTATCCCTTCACCTTCCGGAAATAGCGAGTGAAATTCTCGCATAATATGAACGTTTTTAGTTTATCTATGTGCTTTTTAATGGTTATACCTTAAGATGCAGTTAGCGTACCTACAGTATAAAGTTAAGCTTTATTTTTGTGTATATAGCGTTGTGTGAAATGTCGATATTTAATTACGTATGTAATGTGTTTTGTTAATAGAAAAAAGAGCTCAATTCTACTGTTGTTTCCATGTTTCCATTGTTATCTTCCGAGTTAAAAATTCTTTTTTATATAAATGAAATATTGATCTAAATTTTATTATTTCTAGGTTGGGGTATACTTCTATGATAATGGCCATGGTAAATTAGAAGACAACGACATATTCAATCACTTATACTCAGGCGTTCAAATTAGGACAGGTAGCAACCCTGTAATTAGAGGTAACAAAATATGGGGTGGCCAGAATGGGGGTGTACTAGTATACAATGGGGGCCTAGGCCTGTTGGAACAGAATGAGATATTTGATAATGCTATGGCTGGTGTATGGATTAAGACTGATTCCAATCCCACACTCAAAAGGAATAAAATTTTCGATGGCCGGGATGGAGGCATTTGTATCTTCAATGGGGGAAAGGTAAGTTTGTTTTAATGCAGTTACGTTAAATTATTATAAAAAAACATTAAATAACGTACAATTAACACCTACTACTATACAACTAATACCAATATTTAGTAAACATTTGACTTAAATCGTAAATTTGTGCAGGTCATTATTCTTTATTTGCATAGGAATTGAAAAAATGCTACCGGTTAATATATTTCATAAGTTCATTCAAAATTGGTACTATTTTCAATTTATAATTTTATCAACATAAATATTGAATAATGCTTACTATAATATGAAACTGAATGTTTTTAGAATAATGTTTACTTAATACTTGAATGGCCTAAAAACATAAAAACAGACACGAAGACGCAAAAATAAACCTCAAACTAAAAAAGGTCTCTCTCCCGTAATTTACGCGCTGAAAACAGCGTGATATAGCCAGTTTATAATTCTGTACATCTGTGTTAACAGGGTGTGTTGGAAGAAAATGATATATTTCGCAATGCACAAGCGGGCGTATTAATTTCAACCCAGAGTCATCCAGTGCTACGCAGAAATCGAATTTTCGATGGACTCGCCGCCGGCGTCGAGATCACCAATAATGCCACAGCTACTCTTGAGCACAATCAAATTTTTAACAACAGATTTGGAGGTAAAATATGCCTTTTTATTTCAGATGTTTTACTTACCAAGCTTATAGAAAAGTCTTATTTATATCATAGATCGTATTTGGTAGCCTCAACAGTTTTTGGGCAATATAGACCAAAGGTTCAGCATAGCAAAGTGACAATAAGTGAACTTCAATCAATAACTAATGGAGAAGGAATACTAGTGGGATTATAGGAACGTATTATATGGAGATGAAGATTTAGAAAGCATTGGAAGGGAAAATTTACAGGTTGACATTAAAACAATTACAACCAATACACAACTTCGTAAATATACTGAAAGAGCTGTTTTTGTACAGTAGGTATAATGAAAAAAAAATCTATATATCAGTGGCAAATAATATAAAAAATATATATTAAAAAATTGGCAAGTTTTAATATATAATTGATTGCACTCTTAATAAAATGTTGCCTACATTTGGACACATACATTCAAATAATGTATCACATCTTTATTATTAAATGCCTCTTTAATTTACAGGTTTGTGCCTAGCGTCGGGCGTCTCACCTCTTGTGCGTGGCAACAAAATCTTCAGCAACCAAGATGCAGTGGAGAAGGCAGTGGGCGGTGGACAGTGTTTATACAAAATCTCTTCCTACACATCCTTCCCAATGCACGACTTCTATAGGTGAGTCATTCTCTACAATTGGATTTAAATAGACTAGAGCACTACACGGTTATTACAGTGAAAACTTGATCAATTACAAATTGTTGTGGAGAAGCATTTGATTATGCAAAATCCGGATAAATAACTGTATGAGAAAACAATTTTTTGTACAGACATCCAGTCCAGAAAGATAATCTACTACCTTACCTATAAATGTTATGCAAATGCAGTAAAATACAGTATGTTGGTTTGTAGTTATTTATCTGGGGTTTATACATAATGCCACTTAGTTCCAAACAAAAAAATATTCGATTTGTTTTTACTGACAATCTATCTATATATAAGTTATATATAACTCAAAGGTGACTGACATAGTGATCTATCAAAGCACAGCATTGATGCAGGTAGATGTTATGACGTAGGCATCCGGTAAGAAAGGATTTTGATTAATTCTACACCCAAGGCGATAAAATAACGCGAGCGAAGCCGCGGGCAAAAGCTAGTCTAGATACACAACTATAACTGAAGCAATACTTGGGTCTCTGATCTCTGATGACTGTATTAAAATTCACCAATATCTCGAATATGATAGACATGTATTGTATATAACAATTTTATTATCTAATGATAAGTTGCACAACAGAGGTTGATACACATGAGTATGTTATTATAGTAGTAAAAATTTGATAACAATGTTTACATCGTGTTATGTTATCACAAGTTGGTCATCTCGGCAAAAAATGTTTCATTCAAATGACTAAGTTTTGTTATTAATTCTGTTATTTACTTCTACAAATGAAGTGTAGTTTGTACTGATTATTTTATAAATTTTAGCAAACTAACATTAATACAAAAATTAGTGTACAAGTTTTTTTAATATGTACATATTTTATTTTTTTCGTAGTCTGCAATTTTGTACCCGTATAAATTGTTTGTAAATTGATTGTAATAAAATTCTTAACTTTAAATAAAAGTAAAACCCGCCCTGTTTACGGATTCCATTACATACATAATAGCTATTTTTATTTTTTTTGTGTACAGACCGTGATCACTTATACTTTTGTTATATGTATATACATGTTTTTTAAATATCTATGACCACCATTTACTATCTGTTAAATAATTTATACTTTGGTTTTTTTTCTAGGTGCCAGACATGCAACACGACAGACCGTAATGCCATTTGCGTAAATTGCATTAAAACGTGCCATTCCGGACACGACGTAGAATTCATTCGCCATGATAGGTACTGTATCTAAACTAGTACAAAATTTAGACTAAAAAATAAGGTTTATCTAATCTAAAGTACTATCCTTCGTTTTTTAAACAGTGCAAGAATTCACTATATATATTTATTATAAATTTTTTTAGGAAATTTTTAACAAGCAAGCAATAATAAAATTATTAATTAAATGGTAACTAATATTTATTATATGTATATTTATTTGCAGGTTCTTCTGCGACTGCGGCGCGGGTACGCTGTCGAACCAGTGCCAGCTGCAGGGCGAGCCCACGCAGGACACGGACACGCTGTACGACTCGGCGGCGCCCATGGAGTCGCACACGCTGATGGTGAACTGAGCGGTGACCGCTCCACCGCCCCGCCATACCGCCCACCGCCACGCCACACGCCGCGCGTCGGAAATCAGTATTCGTCGGAAACTCCTAACTCGAGCTCAGTGCGCGGACAAAGTCAAGAGGTAACCAGTAACGGTAAAAGTGAAGCCGCAAAACAATGTAATCATACTCATACATTTTCACCAATTATAATTATCAAAAATGTTTTGATATCATTATATAAATAAATATTCTTCGTAATTTACACATTTAAAGCTTCACTTTGATTGTATGTACTGTTGTCTCTTGACTTGTTTCTTGCCTTGTCCAGTTCGAGTCTTTATTTATTTATAGCTTTACTGCCGGCCGACGGCCGCCCGCTGCCAGCCGGCTTTCCCTATGTACGTCGATTTTTAAATCGATAGACAAAAATTTTAAAGTTCATAATCGTATCGGCAGCTCTTTCTCTTAATCTTTTCTAAAAATCTATTCGATTCTTCTTTATTTCTACAATTATCAGGAACTGAAATAATCGAATCCAAGAAACTTATTTTTGTCTATCGGAATAAGAATGGCAACTTTACTTCTATAGTTCACTTATTTTTATTATCTAAAACCCCACATTGTTTAGCACTCGTCGTGATATCGGACGAGTGTTCGAGATTGTGCCGTTCCACATTTTTCATCTTTGTACTTTATATAGCTGAAGGAAAAGTATACATATTTCAGATATCGTAACACTGTTTGTATATGTAGAAGTTTTTTTAATCATTCATCGGTACTTAATAATTACGTATTTTGTCAAGTAGTATCATGCATTCCCAAATTGTAATCATATTATATAATATCGAGAGATCACATTGATATTTAGAATAATGTTATTCATTTTGTAAGATGTAGGAGCGTATAATTATAATATCCGCTATAGTTTCATGATCATGGGGAAGAATATAATTATGTTTATTTACTTTGAACGAAACATTATTTAGTTCGTAAATAGTTCACAATCCAACGGCTGTCGAAGTCAGGATGGCTATTTGTAATATAATTTCTTTTTATCTTTTTGACGACAAGATTACATTTTTATTTTGGGGCATTTATTCCTTAGCTCTCCTGACAATATAATTGATTGTTCAGACGTTTTAGTTAATAAAGATAATTGTCCAAATTAGTTTGTATTATTATGGGGTAGAGTGGCACGCATTGCGCGAGTCGTTGCTGGTATGTGAAGTTAGTGGACGCTAGGCGCGGCGCACTAATTAATCTCTTTTAGGAGTCTGCCTCGCCTAACTATTTTGGCGCTCCAAATGCGCTTTGTAAATATTTATGTCACACAATAATCGAAAATGTAGTAATTAATGTATTTGTATCATTATATTTTTATTATTGATCACATGTATGTTTAATTATGGAATACGTATTTTACGCTCATAAGGGTTGAACGCTGCGCTCTAGCGAGCGTTGCGTAGAGAGAGTGCTGCACGCAAATGCAGCTGTTTAGATAGTTCTGAGATATCAAGAGGCGCAAGTCGCGAGCCGCAAACGCGGCCTGCTAGTGTATATTAAGAGGAAAATTAAGAACGGATGTGCGTATTTAACTGGAAAAGATCTTAGGTACAATTGATATTTTATTATATTGTTAATTTAAATTTGGTATTGATATCGATCGAGAAGCAATGTTAGGAAACTGGGATGAGCCGCAAGTGAGTGGCCAGAGTGCTGATAGTGATAAGTTTAGCCAATAAGCTATGATGAAAGTCTAAATTACTCAGTAATCACTATTAAAAGTTTCGAATTGTTAAATCGTCTCTCCATAGCACGGTATGTTCTGAATCTGCTTTTTTATAATCCGTCTGTGATCATCACTAAGTGAAAATATTTTAGTTGAACGGGCTGAATTATTAGAATTTTATGACTTTATCAAGTAAATTGTCGTGGATCCGTTGCTTTATATATTTGAATGTGAAATTGTTATTTATTATGGAATTATCAATATGATCTTAATTTATTAAATTCAAATCTGATGTTTTGTTTATACATGAAAATACCATTGTAAAAGCCGTGATAATACATCATATAATATTATATATTTGATTTTTATTTACCTCGTTTTAACTTTAACGTGGTCAATTTAAGCTATCTGTGTTGCAGCAGTAGAATAGTGAATACTTTCAAATCAAGCAATTGTGTGCTTTATATATTAAGTAACTAGCTGTGCCCGCGGTTACACCCGCGTTAAATTAAGCCTATGTATTCTGATGCCTGAGCTATATTACTGCAAAGTTTCATCAAAATCCGTTCAGTAGTTGTTGTGTTAAAGTAACAAACATCCATTCAATGAGTTTAAAATATATCTCACAAGTAACGTAACATAAATAATTATATTCAATAATTAACGACGACATATACTGAGAAATTGCATCCTAAAAAGCAAAAAATATTCTCATCTCAATCTGTTATTGCCATATTAGGTCATAAGGCGCTTTATTGTATAGTGTGATGAACTTGTTTTCTTATTTAATTTCTTAAGTAGCAAAAGATGAGTTATGTATATATAACACTCCAGTACCTTATTATTCCATTAGTGTATACCCGTCGTGTATTTTATATTTCGAGCCGATCCAGATACTACAAAAAAAAAAACAAACTTAGCAGTATCGAATCTTATTAGATTAAAAGAATAGAATCGACATCATTATTTTACAGCAATGTTTGATACATAGCGGCTGTGAGGGCTGGACAAATACACAATAATGATTTTTAACGTTTAGTTATCGCAATGAACATAATTATTTATCATAACTTTCCTATATTATCTATATTTTAGATATATTCGCACACTGTGTAATTCATGTGTAAAAGATTGCAGGTATCTAACTGGAAAAATTAAAATTATAAAATTCATTTTAATTTTCCATTAAAACGAAATACGTTAATTAATATAATTTGCTAATGAAATCAACATGATTACAAATTAGATAATATTTACAATGGCCACTGGTTTCGTTTTAATCACATAAATCATACAATACTAAAACCCAAGTAATAGTAGTTTTTTTACTCATACAACAATATATTTGTCTAATGAGCATGATTATAAGGACGTAGTTTTTGTCGTGGAGACCGCCTTCTTGGCGATATATGAACAGCTTTCAAAGGTGTATTAACTTTTCTTGGATCACTGTTACCTAATGGAGTTTTTAAATTTCTTGCCGTGCATAAAGGCTTTTTCATAGTTGGAGTATGAGATAATTTCAATGTTGCATTTTGAGGCGAAACGACTCTTTTCGCAGGAGATATTACTTTCTTATTTGATCGCCAAGAATCTATATCCCCCTTGTTTGGCACACACGCGTTCTCTCGATATGTCCTCAAAGGTAGACTTGGAGCAACATCCATGTTTCTGTTCAATCTAATTGGAACACTTGGTGCTGTATTCAGACAAGTATTGGATTGCACTTTTGGCTTTACATGAGCTATTAATTTTTGGGCTTTTAATTGATGCTGGCCATTTATTCTCGGTCGTCTTGCAAACCCAGTATGTAACATTCTATCATTGTTTTCAGAAGATTTATCAGAACTAGATTCAAAAAGCTTTGCTTTAGCAAGAACAGCACCAGCATTTTGGTGTCGTAGTTTATTGACTGATGGTCTTCCAGTATGATTAGAGCTTTCTACTTCACCAGTTTTATCCATAAAAAAGACTGCAGCATTTTTCCACTTTTGATGCGTGTGACGTTGAGGACTGTGCCTAGTCAATTTCTTAGAAATTTTAGAAGTTATATTTTGGTAGTGCTGAATTTGATCAGAATTATTTGATTTTGAACTAGAGTCCATTGTATTATTCATTGAATTATCTGATACTGTATTATCCCGACTAGTATTCATAGTTATATTCAAAGATCTACGTGGTTGAAGTTTTCCAATAGTTTTATCAGGATTGTAATCACATGCAAAACTTGTTCTTTTACGTAAGTGATACTTCTGACGATTGATTTCAGAATTGTTTTGAGACTTTTCTAACATAGAACAATCCCAATCATTTATTGGTGATGACTTCACTTTTGATACTGCCAAGTCTGGCTTTGCTGTACTAGTTCTGTCTCTATGCTTCAATCCAATATATGGATAAAATCTGTCACTATTGTGACTAGTTTGTGACTGTGCTGATACATTCCATGACTTATGTCTTACAATTTTTGTAATATTTTCTTTTGAACGTCTTCTTATTGAGCCAATTTTCCTTGCACTGGGTGATCGGATTACTTTAGCATCTTCATTCGGTCTAATTTTCAGTTCTCTACTTAACCGTCTAGCAAGATGGTCAGAGTTTGAACAATTCAACATCGCCACTTCTTCCAAGGTTTGCTCATAGGCATTTTGTACATGTTCTAGAGGCTGAACTCTGGGAATTACTTCTGTAAATTCTCTTGATAACCTATTCTCTATGGCTGAAACCCTACTTTTTATTTCTTCATACTCTTGTTTAGAGATTCTAACATAATCCTTTTCCGCTTGCTTCATATCTGGAGATAAATCTATTGTGTCATGAGCACTAAACAAATGTTCCGAAGAAGTTAAAAAGTCTTCACTGCTAATGCTAGTCTCCGAATTTTTTTGAGAGCTAAAATCTGTGTTCATGTTTGGAGTACTTCTGGTATCCATCATACTCAATCGTAGTCTTTTCCGTTCCGTTATGCCCCTGTAAATATAAAGTCACTATATTTACTGAAACCAATTACAATAATATGTATAATGTTGCAATATTTAAAATGTTTGATATTATAGTGTACAATAACAGTTTTCTTACATTTTCATGGGTGTAAAGGTTAACTCTTTCTGAGGCAAGCCTTTTGTTACTTCTTTCCTGTAAACAGAAAAGTTTATTTAGTATTATGACATGATCTCGATGATCGCAGGCGAATCTGCGTCCATCGGAAAAAACATACGTTTGTATTGTGCAAGAAATCGACTTGCACTATACAGACATTTCTATTCATGAATATGATTGTTTATGTTGTTATATGCGTTTTCTATGTACCACCGGAGTCAGAATAGAAATGCTAACCCGAACCCTCGACTACGGCACAATGGCTTCGAGGTATATCGTGTGATTTAGTGGGCAAGAATTCCACACACCTCCTTGCCATACCTCCGGCGAAAAAGGGATAGTCCTCTTTGAACATTTTTCCTACGTAAATAAAAAAAAGGGCTAGTACTCATAACGTAATGTAAACTAAAACCATAATAAAACTGCTTAGATTAGACCCAGATAGCGCTGTGTGAATTGTCCTGGCTTGTTATTATTATTTATTCTATTGTTAATTTTCTTATAATTAGGGATAAAACTCTGTTGATAAGTTAATAATTATAGTGATAATTATTTGTCGAGTTTCAAACACGACAGTCATCAAATTAAATAATAATAAAAGAGCAACACGCAAGTGTCGAGCTCATTCTTCTTCTGATGAGTCTACGTTCTGAATGAGCAGTAGAATAAGAAATCACGACTATATAAAAGTGCATATATTAAGTTTATATGCATAATGATTATTTATATTTCTATTGAAAAAAAAAAAAACAAATATTACTTAATTTTCGCAGAAAATCCTTCGTGAGCGTCAAACTTCCGTTTGGCAGCAGACTTGCTTAGAACTGGAGTTTTGGTATTTTCGCGAACTGTTGCAGGAGTATTCACACTACCAGAGACCATTTTGCGTAAACCGCTCAGCACACCTGAAAATATATATTAGTTAATTATAAATATTTTATTAGTTTGCAAAAGTTTATATGGAAGTTATGGATATTATACAACTGTAGTGTATTCACTGTGGTACTATAGTTAAATATTATAATATGTGAATTCATTATTATAGAATCAAAATATAATATTGATCTAATAATATAAATAATTGGAAGGTAAGTCATGTGGTAATCATAAAAAAACCTATTACAATACTACTATAGCTTGCAGATAACGTATCTTTATGACATGAAAAATTAGTCAATAGGTTCATAAATAGAAAAAATATTCTACATATATTCAATACAATTTATAATTATGATTACATAATACAAACTTAACTACTGTTGAATTGACATTTGTGTATTAACCAAGATGTTAGTGTAATTTGTTAGTACTATAAAAACATTGTATTGAAGTAATCATAAATTTTCACATACGATTGAACGAACCACTTCTTCTTTTCTTTCGCCTTGCTTGATAAACATCGGAATCATCATCCAATTGTGTCATAAGATCCTCAGTTAATAAGCCAATATGTTGCGAGTTTTCGATGAATATCTGTAATAACATATACATATATTACACTAATGGTGCCCGCGACATTGTCTACACACGGAAAGTTTTCGCATCCTCACAATTTACAACAGTATAGCAATGAAGATTATAACAGAGTCGTAAAACTTTTGCTTTACTACCCCAATATACAACCAAGATGTGGTTTAGACAGATTCTACCGACATCAATTTGTTTTAATTTCTGGCTGAGTTTAAGTGAGTGGTAGACAAAAAAAAACTATTTAAAAGTTTTTACATTAAGTTTATTTGAATAAAGATTATTCCTATTTGAAACTAAAATTTTATTGATGGTGGTGGTAGGCTCGTGCGTGCTAACGGTTGGCTTACTCCCTGATACATTGGATTAGAATATAAATAGTGGAATGTGGGCATATCAACTGTTGTGTTCATGATGTCAACAGTTGACAACGCCTGTCACTACCCCATCTAAGATAACAGATCTTTGAAGTGATACATGTTAAACTCAATTATTATAAAAGTTTTGACACAGTGTCCACCATAATGAGCTGCTCAGAAGTTACTTAACAGCAACCATCCAAAATACTTTAAAAATGCACATATTTTGGAGTTTAATAAACAGTGTGTGTTTCTTTATTTTTAGCTATGTCAAATATTTTTGGCTAATTCAATATGGCTAATATTGAGTTGTACTTTCAATGGGCTGCAGATTTGCACTGTCATCTATCAAACAAATGAATTATAATATTGTTACTGATTATGGATAAGCAGACAACAAAAAAAAATAACAGTTGAAATATATATTATATATTTCATGGTTTTCAAAGAACTTTAAAATAAATAAGCTGGTGTACCTTAACAAGTGCAACATGGTGCTCCAGTCGTTGTGCTGATGCAGCAGCTGGCAATGGCATAATGCTGGGAGCCATAACAATTGCCAGATTTGAAGAATCCATTAAGTTCTCTTTGTGATTTGATGCAATGAAGTTTAGTAACTAAAATGTCATAAAACATAATATAAGTGGAAGTTCAAATAAGATGATGGTGGGTCCTACTCTCCGTCTAATTTTTGGAAGTAATTAATGAACATGGGCTCAAAATGTTTAAGACAGCCTTAATTGATGTAAGAATGTCAGCATGAGAGCACTACTGTTAAAAAAAATATTATTTAGTTGTAACCTCCTTATCATTGTATGACTTAATTATAAATTTTATTCATAACAAATTAGTATAGGTTCCACAGAAGACAAAAAACATGTTGATTGCAAAAATCATCTACCAAAATCAGTGCTATCATTGGTGACTACATTTAGATTATTGTTAAGCCTTGTTAAGTTGATTATTGTTATACTGTCCCTATATACATACCTCCATGATATAATGTAAAAGATGAACATGCAGTACAGGCAAAAGCAATAATGTATGCAACAGAGGTGTTAAACCGTCTTCCCCAGCTGAAAGTCGACACCGTAGGAGCAAATCTTGAACCTCAGCACTTATGAGGGGCTCTGGTAGACCCCGCAAATAAAGTTTAAGTACACTAGCTACATCTATAGGATGATGTCCGTCTGATACACAGCCACCAGCATCTAATAAACGCTGAAAAATCATTCCTCTATAAAACTTGGTGCATAAGAAAAATATTGTGCATAAGATAATTCCATAAACATACTGACAATAGATTATTAAAAAAAATTAATCTAGCAAGTTCTCTCAAGTCATGACCCACACTTGAGGGCCTTAATGCTATAAGTTTATTTTCTACCAAATGGAATGAAAACAGTTTATTTATAAATAAATGACATTGTATAGTTAGATACAAGCTGAAACTAGATTTCTCTATGCTATGAGTCTCATTAACTTAATGTGAGTGATATGTATATGGATATCATGGTAATGAGGGTCTGTCACCACCATTCTAGCAGAGCACCATTCTGGCAAGGAACAGTTGCAGGAAAACTTCCTCCATATTGACATCAATATCTATAAACTTACATGCTATTTGACACTGAAAATCAGCGCTGTGGTATACCTTATGCTACAGTAGAGTTTTAAGTTTTAATATAAAGATAATATTAAAATTTATTACAAACCCTAATGATACTAATGTAATGTGAGTTAATGTATTGTATTTTTTTCACCACTGAATAGTAGTGTATATGTTATTGTCATTACACACTCTACACCAGTCCTCTTAAGTTATTAAGTTGACCTATTCAGGTATCAAACAAGACTTGGCATTTACTTTATTCACACACACATAAACTGAAAAAAACTATAATGTTTATTTATGAGCAAAAAAATGCTCTTGATGACATTCTTATATTATATGTACCTATATAATTAAATAAGACATGCTTTATTTATTAACTGTAAGTGAACAATTACCAGTTTTCAGTAGTTAACAATATTTTGTAAACAGTATTGATAAAACCTGTTTTACTAGTTTAATGTAAATATTATATACATATAGAAAAGGCTTTTGTTTCATATTATTAACACAAGGGAGCTTTTGTAATTATTGTAGCAATGATTCCTTAGTACACTTAGGTGGCTAGTTATGTGATGTGAAGCTTAAGAAAATTTCAAAATTTACATTCAACTAACCTTTATATCTTTCTGGCGGTTTTGGGATCCCGCCTTTCGGAACAAACCCTCAATGTGGGCATTAGCTCGCAAGACCGAAGACATTTCCGTAACTACGATTGGCACACTTAATGTACTCCCACAACAAATCACACTACATGATGGCACTTTCACTAGCGGTGCACCAAACAATGTTTTGTGGTCCTAAATCAAATCACAATGCATTTCATTAGTTTATTTTAAATTTAAAACAATAAAAGACATAACCAGCTAGTATACTCACTTTAACATTTTTAAGTATAATTTTCTTCAAACGATGCTTCAATCCGGCCTTTTTTAATTCACCGACAATTATTGATTGCAATTTGCCATGATTTATCCCATCTGATATAAGCATTTTATATTTTTTTACAAATTACAAATAATTATAACACACTCAGTTTCCTCAATTCAAATTCTGCATTATTCGTTAACAACTGTAACGTTTCGTTTTCCCAAATTTCAATACAGTCCTCGAATTCGAAGGAATTAGTAGATATTTATAATACGTCACTTACTGTTTTTTTAAATAATGAAAAATTATATATGTAAAATATGCTCAAATATAATCATTGCATTTCGTGGTACTGAAAATAAAATTGATAAATCTAAGATTATTAATATTAATATATGAAATAAAATGAAACAGTAATGCCTAAAAATTCGTGCATATAACGAAATTTGCAGGGTGTCAATGTCAAGAAATGTCAATGACATTTTCAATTAAAATTTGTCAAGATTTCTTTCAAGACTTAAAAATTTTCAAATTGGATCAAATATTATTGTTATTATTTATTTGATCTGAAATTCAATTTAGAGATTTACTATTTAATTTATTAATGGTTATCATGACAGTATAATATTTATTTTTGCTGAGCTTGATTTCTATGGAAATTTGGATTAAATTACGTTATTAATATTTTATTTCTTATTTTGTGTAACGTCAGTTATCTGCTCTGAATATGATTGAACTCTCAGCAAAATTAACAACGGGGTCAGTTTATTTGGCTGGTGAGGCGTTAGAATGCTGTATTACATTTTGCCATACGACGCAGCCAGAACATAGGAACTCACAAAGTCATAGGTACGTAGTCAATTACTGTACTATGTATTTAATCTAAGATAGAATCTGAACAATCTGTAATCCAAATAACACGTCATCATTATTTAGTAGCATTTATATTATCCGCATTACATTCCGCTCCCCTTTTATGTACAGTTTATTTTAACAAACTTTTTATAGGTGAAAGAATAAATAATATCTGCCTGCTAATTATAATATATACTATATATATATTAATATCATTACATTACAGTAGTATATGTGTAGAATCTTTTACTGGAAAAAAATACTTATATACATACTAAGTTAAGTGCCTATGCACTTAATATTTTATAACATATTATTTTTTCTTTACAGTGATATTCTAGAAAGTTTAGCTTGGGTGTCAGCTCAAATACACTGTTTTTACTCCACATCAGGGAATAGTGGTGAAAAGACTCCAACTATAGGCAGGAAAACTGCTTTGGAGGTAACCTCATGTGATATTGGTGATGTTATATTCCACACAAAACCAAAAATATTATTTTGCGACCTGACCATACCCCTGGGTGAAAGTAAAACATGTAAGTTCAACATATTTGTATTTTTTGGTATGTAAATTACTATAGAAACCACTGTGGTTATATCACATTGTTAAAGGTGCATCAATGAGATATGTATACATCTGCCATGTTCGAATTTGCCACCCAGACCATGGCTCTGTGTTGCTCCCCTCAAGATCCATGGCTGGGGTTAAATAATATAGAAAAGAGGATATATGGATAAATATGAATTGCAAACAAAATCCTACTTATATTTATGAATAACATGTTTATGAATATTTATTTTTTACTTTCATAATATTTTAGTTATTTATGTTTATTTAACATTATGTATATTATAAGCTATTTTAAATTTTATGTGGTCATTATTTATACATGTATATAATAAAAATGATATGACCTTACCAATAGAAAATTTTTTTACTAATTATATATGTTATATATATTATATTCTATTAATTAAAGGCACTGAAAATTATCTGGTAATTATTTATATATATATATGTATAATTTATTTATAACTGGGATACACTTTTATCTAATATGAAATCTTTTTTAGTTTGGTATAGGGAATCAATACCAATTGAGGCACCACCATCATATAGAGGCACATCGGTTAAATATTCCTACAAAATAACAATAGCCACACAGAAAGTGGGCTCTCATATCAAAATGGTCAGAATACCATTTAGAGTCCTACCAATTAGTCCAATTATGAACATGCAGGATCTTGCAGCATTATGTGGCAATGAAACTACAGAAGAACTTCAGCCAACTAATCCATTCTCTGAAGAGAGAAAAGTTGAAACTACATTGTCTATGGCATTACAAGTATTACAGGTAACTGTTTATATTTTTTACTATTTTCAATTTTCTATGATAATAAAGTTTTAAAATTCAATTTGCAAGTAAAACATTAAATAATTATATATATGTTATATATACACAAACTATAATATATAATTATCTGGAGCTGAAAAACTTAATCTATATTTTATTATGCAACTGTTATAATATGTAGATATAAATTGATGAAGCTGATTTATAATTAGGTCTAAAATAAAAAATAATATAGCCATAGTTAAAAGTAACAGAAATCTCTGTTGTCTGTATTACAGTTGAACATATTTTTATATTAAATTATTAAAATCTTCCAATTTATTTACATAAATTAATAAATAGACTGAAAGTAGCAAAAACTCTAGAAAAGCTGTAGTTCTGTTCTCTTATACCTCTGTTATTTCAGAAAATTGTATTATTTATCAATGCACTATAAATAATGAATTTTGATTACAGAATCTTACAGCCAGACGAAGTCCAAACTCATATATGATAACAAATACCAGGGGTAAAGTGGGCAGATTTTGTTTATTTAAATCTGCTTATAAATTAGGAGAAGACATAGTTGGCACTTTTGATTTTTCTGTTGGCACTGTCACATGCATGCAGGTAAGAAATAAGTTAAAAATATTTTTTTAAGCTACTCATAGTGGTTTGCAATATATTTATATGGTTTCACAATCTTAGAAAAATTGCACTGAAGGTTTCCCAAAGTTATTTTTAATACAGGCATGCAATGATGAGTAATGCTTGGGGACAGAGCTATATGGTAAAACAAGTACAGTATGATGGGGGTCAATGTAATTTAAATAATATGAAAAAATGGACTCCACACACAATTATTAAGGCTATACAAAAACATTAGACATTAAATTTTTAGTATAATAATATGTTATAAAATAAATAAAACTCTATAGCTACTAAAGATGAAATAACAAAAATCTTTTTAGGTTTCAGTATCATTACAACCAGAAGAAATTGTGACATCAAAATCGCCATCTAAGAATGTAAATAAGGAAAATAGTAGCAGATCTATGACAGTGGCTCGGTATCATGAAGTCACTTTAGGGCTAACACATTCCCAACTTATATTACCAATACCACTGCACATAACTCCTGCATTTGAAGCAGATGAAGGTAAGTAATAAAAAACATAAACTTATAAATACTGTAGTATATATACATACACTTTTAAAGTGCTTGTTTTAAGATTTTTTTTATTGAAATTTAATTGCTCTTACCCTTTATCACCTACTTTTAAGACAAGTTAACTATCATGTCTCCTCTTAACAGTAAATATTACAAACATTTATGATAAGAATAACATCAATAAATTATATTGTTATTGTAAATAAGTTCTTTATTGATTTAGTTTCACTGAGATGGCGTCTACACTTCGAGTTTGTAACAACCAATGACAAACTATTACCAAACCCTGAGGACAAAGATTGGAATGCACCACTCAATGTACCTATTGAGACAATGGTCTGGAATCTCCCTGTTAAAATCTATTCCACATTACCCAAACAAATACAGCAACATTCTGTGGGAAATGATGCATACACTATGTATATAAAGTGATCTATGTTTGAGGATTTATATGAAACTGCGTGTTGCATGAGACCTAGCAGTGTGCTATTGCACAGGATGAGTGAAATATCAGATAACCCCTATTTGTACTATATTATGAGAGTAATCATGCATTAATACCAAATAGCATACCTTATTTCCTGTGATAAAGAATGAGTTATGCTTTGCAGGGACTTACTTCTCATTGTAATAAAACAGAAAATATAAAATGTAATGTATAAAATATTTAATTAAAATAGACTGCATTATTTGTACATTTGTAATAGAATTAATATAAGTTAGTTAAGTTTTTCATATTTATAACTTATGAAGTTATATATCTACATTAGGTTAGTTCACTCAACTAGTATTTATTTTAATATAAATACTATAATGTTGTATTACAAATGCTTGTACAAAATATGAGTATTATCACAGATAACGTAATATTACATACAGATACCCCATCCCATACAAGAAAATGGTTCCTTCCTAACTCGGGCTATTCTTCGGGCTATTTTATTTCGCCACCGTAGCCGCTAGATGTCGCTAGATCTGAAGCAGTTCGGATTACTAGTGGGTGCTTAGTAACAAAGCATGAAAATAGATGGCAGTCAATTCAGTCTACATGACATCTGTTTTGCAAAGATATGTATATAATATATATGTAGGTAACTGTATCGTGTACCTCATTAGGGACGATTCAAGATTCAATGTAAATGTGTAGGTATAATATCGTTAGCCGACACTCTGCAGATATGGCTTATGTGCCAATGTATATACCTATTATGTTATGGTTTATTTTACATTCCATGCCTATTTTTTTTGATATGTTGTAAACGCTAATATAGCCTGATTTTGATACGTTTATACTCGTACGTATCAAAATCGAGCTATACGATTTTTTATTTCAATCGTTATATGTATGAGACTGATTTTAGCTACAATTAATTTACTGGTATATACCTCATGTATTCTACGATGTACCCCTCTTTTACCTAATGAGAATTCCGCTATATCTTATATATAAATTTTGTATCACAGTGTTAGTTGCCATATTTCTCCAACATTTTGATGAAATTTGATATGTATACTTCCCAGGTCTGAGGTAGGGTTGTTATCTATTTTTTATACCCCTAAGTCATAGGGGTGGCCTACCCCGAAAAAATATTTTTTTGTATTATGGACAATTTTTTATTTATTTATAATGTTACATTGAAAATACATACACGCCTAAATTTTCACCCGTCTTTCACCAACCCCTATTTTTAATAGCGATATTCTTACAAATATTATAAATGCTAAAGTAACTCAGTCTGTCTGTTTGTCTCGCTTTCACGCCAAAACTACTGAACTGATTTAATTGAAATAGACAGATAATGTAGACCCTGAGAAAGGCTACTTTTTAATGCGAAAAAGTATTGAAAGGGGAAATGAAAGGCTATATGAGGATATCGTAATTTTTAAAGTCAGATCTTGTAAGATTAAGTGAACAGGGTCGGTCTAGGTTTTTCATTATTAGAAATGTGTAACGGGGTAACACGTTATTTAGTGCGAAATTGTGTATATTACAATAAAATTTAACGAGAAAATATAATGATATCACTGGGACACTCATTGCCTTACTACTATATCGTCCGTTAGTCGCGAACTTTCTGGAAACACGAGAGGCGCTATCCTATTGGTCGGTCGGCGCGGTTACCGCGCGTAGATGAGTAGATGAAGTACTTAGACGAGTCTCACGGCGCCGCAGCGTAAGTACTTACTATACATACGTAGTATACATATGGGTATTACAAATGTTTTTATTACTAGTAATATTACTCTGTTATCTAAGCAAGTAATGTGTGCTTATTTTGAACTTGATAACATTCTGAATTACTCGTATATCTTTCAATATCTTTAGCGGTATAAACCAGGTTATGTACTACTACTAGTATTGTTAGTGAGGGATAAAGTTGATGAACAAAAATAAAACAATATTCGTATTAAAAATATATTCATCTAATATTTTTGGCATTATTTTTAAGTTTCTTCCAAATATAAGGGGTCTGACATGGGGTGTTATGTACCTACATTAAAAAATACTTTTTGAAATGTATGAAAGAAACGTATTGTATGAAATTTTTGAAATGTGTGAAATGTATGCACCTACATTAAAAGATAATTTTTGAAATGTATGAAAGAAATGTATTGTATGAAATTTTTGAAATGTATGAAATGTAAGGACCTACATTAAAAGATAATTTTTGACATGTATGAAATGTATGAAAGAAATGTATGTACCTACATAAAAAGTTCATTTTTTAAATGTATGAAATGTATGAAAGAAATGTATGTACCTACATTAAAATATAATTTTTGAAATGTATGAGATGTATGAAAACAATGTATGTACCTACATAAAAAGTTCATTTTTGAAATGTATGAAATGTATGAAAGAAATGTATGTACCTACATTAAAAGATAATTTTTGACATGTATGAAATGTATGAAAGAAATGTATTCACCTACATTAAAAGATAATTTTTGACATGTATGAAATGTATGAAAGAAATGTATGTACCTACATTAAAATATAATTTTTGAAATGTATGAGATGTATGAAAGAAATGCATGTACCTACATAAAAAGTTCATTTTTGAAATGTATGAAAGAAATGTATGTACATTAAAATATAATTTTTGAAATGTATGAGATGTATGAAAACAATGTATGTACCTACATAAAAAGTTCATTTTTGAAATGTATGAAATGTATGAAATAAATGTATGTACCTACATTAAAAGATATTTTTGACATGTATGAAATGTATGAAAGAAATGTATGTACCTACATTAAAATATAATTTTTGAAATGTATGCACCGTACAATAACAATACACGTTAAACATCATACCACAGAGTCATACGCATGTTAAAAACAAACTGCTATGATATTAATGAGAAAGGAAAATAAACTTTATGGTATTCGAGTTAGGGTCGATTTCTCTCTTTTTTTAAAACTATTTTAATCTTACCAGTTGCCAGTATTCGAAGACAGCTACGATTCGTACTCGATATTTTAAATTATTATGTAATCGATTTTTCAGTACAAATGTAAATAACCAACGACACTAATAATGTACTACTATATTCCGTTCTTTGAAACGGAATACTGCTATACTTAATACAAAATAATGAAAATTTACTGTTCACAACGACTCATTAAAAGCATCATCGAATAATGCGCTGTAATAAAATCCTGTTATCGATTATTCAAAAAAATCGATAATACATGTATTTATTTTTAATATGACAACACTTCATACATAAGTATTATTGGAAATAGTATTATTTGCTTGTTCGGCTATTTTTAATTTACTTAAACTTTTTTTATATGTTTAATTTACAATAATAATATATTAAGTGCTTATTATTGGAAAATATAAAAAAGACATTTAATTAGGCCGATACAAATGACAACAATGCCATCTATGAAAGCATTTTGAAAACATTGAGCCCCGTATTAGCACTGATTAAAGTGTAATTAAGTACTGGAAAATAACAAAATGAGTAAATATATGAAAATTACTTTTCTAAACGCATTATTTCATTTTAACATGTATATATATTTTTTTAAAAATGGATTAAACTATTTTGAAAACACAGTTTTGTTTTTTAAAACGTTTGCAAAACTATGAAGAATTCCATCGATACCAATCACGCCATCTATATGCAACTTTTAGCAATAATAATGGCTATTTCCTCATTGAGTGCCACTGGTATTATACAATAATTCCTAATTAATACATTTTTCATTATAACAACTGCATTAACTGAATATTAACAAATTAATTATTGTAAATAAAAAGATTATGGTAATAATGAATAGGCACTTTTTTATATAAATAAAACAAGATTAATAATTTTACATTTATTTTTATTCTTCTACTGATTCTTTGTCCCAATCTTTCATTTTTGCCCCCATCATAAAATCATCCCTGCAATAAGATTTTTTTAAATTATTTATTAAAGATAGATTTTATAATCTGTATTAATGACAGATGTAAAAACATATATAACATATAGATTTTAAACTATACCTTAAAGCATTCCATTTAGGTTTATTATCCTCTTCTTTAACATCAGATGTTTTGGTTACCTCATCTACTACTATGGACTTTGTCTGGCCCATAAGAGTATCAAGGAATGCCCTTTTGTCAAACTTTTTTATAATTTTCTCCTTTTTTGTTTCTGGCAGGTCTTTCCTGTTCATTTCTTGATCTAATGATTTTTGCTGATTCCTCACAGCATTAAATAACTGTACCACTCCCTTTGTGGCAATTTTTGAAAGTAGCCGCTCTCTATCTTTCTCTAGTATATTTGGCTTTATTCTAATTGATGATTTTTCATGTTTCTGTAATAAAATTATCATATTTAGCTTTGGCATAAAAATAAGTTACCTAATATAACAATTATACGAAAACTTTTTTCTATAAATAACTACATAATACAACTGTCATCCAATGGTGTACCTAAACTGAGGATGGCTGTATGGGCATGGGTAAATTAAATGAATGGGTGCCTCCTTAATTATTATATTTAAAAATTAGCTAATGTGGTTAGAATCTGGAACTATCAAATTTTGCTCACTCTACTGTTATTATCAACACTAACCAACTTTTTTTCAGGGGGTTCTGATGGTAACACTTCTTTCTTAACTTCTTTTTCTGTCTCATTTCCTTCTCCAATTATTTCAAAAGCTGGTTTTTCCTCATTTGTGCTTTTTATTAATTGAGAATGTTTCTTTGCTCTTGATAGCACTAAAGTTTTTTTATTTTTCGGTTTCGTAGAACCCAGGATCTTTGTAATTGAGTCAGCCCAGCCTTCATTTGTTATTAAAGTTCCATTTTGTGAATTTTCTTCGTTGCTTTCATCTTCTACTTCTTCATTTTCCTCCGTGCTTGAAGAATCGTGATCTGATACTGAAACAATAATTTGATTCTGTAACACCTCTGAATAATGAAAAATTACTACCAAAACTATCAAACACTAACCTGATATTTTTAAAGATGGTTTATTCATGTTTTTAGAGATTACCATAGTTAATTGCTTGTTTTACTAAGTATGTAGGAACAAGTTTTAACTTTCACGAATTATGTTATATTAAAAAATAATATCCAATGTGAATAACAATATCGAAATATATTTTGCGAGCATCAGAAAGAAAACATGATACACAATACGCACATGTTATTATTTACAAAAGTACTCTATGATATGATGTCACGGATGTCAAAAAGTTGTCACTGTGTCCACAGATCTTTGAAAAACGTGACATTGATTCTCATAAATATGTTTTCATGTCTTAGTAAAGTAGTCCGCATTCTAATCCAGTCCTCTGAAGTTGTGTTGTTGTTTCCAGCCAGAGACGACGCGGGGTCAAAGAAGATCATCTCTGTACTTTACTTGCGAATGACCCAGTTAATTTAATTCTTTCAATAAATTATTTGTGAAACTGAAGAGCTATTCTCTGCAGTGAAGCGTGGCACCCGAACACTCCACTCTGGCTCTATCGGTCACACCACTGATTAATCCCCTGTCCCATTTAAATTAGGATTGAAATAACGATCATCTTAGTTGAGGTTCAAATCCCTAGCGGAGTTCTCAGACGTCATGCAAGAGTTGGTCTTCAGCTATTCCAAAGTCCTTAGGCGGGTTTGGTTTGCTTAAGGGTTCTCTGCACTCGCCTCCTTGGTCGTCGCCAGCTAAACAAACTAGTATTAAAAGTAAATCAACTAGGAAGTCAATTTAAATAACGCATCTATTGTCATAGTAGTAGAAAAACATTTCTTACATGATTACATTATAATTGAATGGCGCCATCTATTAATGTAAATTACAACTTGTTCCCCTTTCAACGTCAGTCTGTCATGTTTGTTTCAAGTCATTACGTAAAATGGAACTTGATGTTTTTAAAAATAAAAATACAGCTGATCGAAAGACAGCGACAAAAACTATCAAAAGTATTTGTTTCATTCTCAGTTGTCAGAAAATGGTGGTTTTGATTTAAACATGGCGAATATTGCAAACCCACTACCATATCTTACTAAAAGAGAATATGGAATTTTGCCGGACTTTAGATCTCATTTATTTAAAAACCGACTTAATGCTGCTAAAAACTTATATCGTCGGGATTTGGTGTGCCATTTTGGATGTGTAAACGCTATTGAATTTTCCAATAATGGCGAATTATTGGTATCAGGTATTTTTTTTGCATATTAAGTATATATTAATTTTGCCATAGACCCATAATTACTGATCTACTTGTATCATATATATTTAGGTGTATGTTAAAGAAGTAATTCCCAAAAATTTTGTTTTATGATAGGTATTTACTACATGCAATTCCTAGGATACCTAGAATAGGCGTGTTACCTATTTCCTCAATATTGATTGGTGACCTATTAAAACACTTACTTATAGTACATAGCGTATCGGATAAGTATGATATGTATGTCATGATACCTGCAAAATTATATTGTTTTCGTAAAATATGTATCAAAACAAATATTTACTTTATTTTATAATATGTTTAATAAACTTAATATTGAATTCAATTGCTATAAATATAGTGATTTTGCTAAACTTTATCTAAACTTAATACAGTATCCAATTTAACTTTGTAGCATTGTTTGTGTAGTGGTTGATAAATTACAGTATAATTTTAGATATAGAATCAACAAAAAAATGTCCAGAATACTCCCAGGTATTGCAGCTTTATAGTTTGTATAGTCTAACATTAGAGATTATTACATTAGACAAAATTACTAGTTCTGCAGAACTTTTGTGCTGAATATCTTAATTCTGAATATCTTCTTAAGTTTTCTTTGATATAAACCTCAGAATATGGTATCATTTAATATGGATTAAGAATCATAAATAAGCTTATTTTAATATATGTATTTAATAATATTTTCATACTATTGTAATGTTATAACTGACTTCTACAGATTCACTTCACTCTGACAGAAATATGTCTATAATATCTCTATTTATATGTCTATACCTATCATCCCATATGGATGCGATGTAAGAAGCGAATTCGGGAAACTCAGTATGTGAGACTAAGGTAAGCAAGTTGGAATGTAGGTATGATGACTGGAACAGGAAGAGAACTAGCAGATGTATTAAAAAGAAGACGAATAAATGTGGCATGTTTACAGGAAACTAAATGGAAAGGGTCAAAAGCTAGAGAAATAGGTGATGGATATAAGTTTTATTACTGTGGAGGTGATGGAAATGAAACGGAGTCGGAATTGTGTTAGATAGTAATTTAAAGCAAAGTGTGATGAATGTAAAAAGAGTGAATGATAGAGTAATAGCAATAAAAATAATGTTACAGAACATAATCGTTAATGTGGTTAGTGTATATGCTCCTCAGGCCGGTTGTGACGATAGAATGAAAGAAAAGTTTTGGGAGGAATTTGATACTGTAATGATGGACATTGCCAGTACAGAAGATATTTATATAGGGGGTGACTTTAATGGGCATGTGGGAAGATTGAATAAGCATTATTAGAGAGTGCATGGAAATTGGGGATTTGGAAATCACAACCACGAAGGAGAGGCATTACTAGAGGCAGCTTCTGCTTTTGACTAGGCCATCACCAATACATGGTTTAAAAAGAAACAGGATCATTTAATTACCTACACAAGTGGACACCATAAAACACAGATTGATTATTTCTTAGTCAGGAGAAATAAAATCAATTGTGTCAGAAACTGTAAGGTCCTACCGGGTGAGGATCTGATATCACAACATAGACTGCTAGTACTAGATACAAAAATTAGGATTCAGTATAATAAAAACAAAAACCGACCGCCCCCAAAAATAAGATGGCACATGCTCGAGAGGGATGAGAATGCAATGAAATTTAGAGAACAAGTAAATGATATGATGATGGAAATGAATAATATGGAAGGAAAATCTGTTAACGAATGTTTGAATGGAATGAGAGGTATAGCAAAACATATTGTTGGTGAAACAAAAGGGACTAGAATGATAGAGAAAGATACTTGGTGGTGGAATGAAAGTGTGCAACAAATACTGAAAGAGAAGAAAAGAGTGTTTAAAGAATGGCAAAAGGTCTGTAAAGAGAATGATAATACAAAAGACGAAAAAAAAGGAAGTGTATTTAGGATGCAAAAAGAGGGCAAAGAAAGCTGTTGCAACGGCAAGAGCTGAATTCCAAGATAAACTCTATGCCTCATTAGATACTTCAGAAGGCCAAAAGCAGCTCTTCTGACTAGCAAAAATGAGAGATAAGAATACAAACGATGGAGTATATGTAAAATATATAAAAGATGATAAAGGAAAGGTTCTAATGAAAGAAGATGATATAAAATATCGATGAAAAAATTACTTTGAAAACATAATGAATGAAGAAAATCCATGGAGTAAATCGATAGGAGAGGAAAGAGTGAATATGGGTTTAGTCAAAGAAGTAAGAATGGAAGAAGTAAGACAAGCTGTGCGAAGTATGAAAAGCAGTAAAGCCGTAGGACCTGATGGAATACCAGTGGAAGTATGGAAGTTATTGGGTGAAAATGGATGTAAATGGCTCACTTTATTCTTCAATAAGTTATTGCATGAAGAAACTATTCCTGAAGAATGGTGCCAAAGCGTATTGGCCTATCTGTAAGAATAAGGGTGATGTTCAAGACTGCAGCAATTATCGAGGAATAAAGCTTATGTCACATACTATGAAAGTGTGGGAGAAAATGATAGAGACGCTTGCGAGAGAAGTGTGATATTTCACAAAATCAATTCGGTTTTATGCCTGGTCGAGGCACCACGGATGCCACTTTTGCACTACGCCAGGTGTGCGAAAAATACCGGAGTGTAAATAAACATTTGCACATGGTATTTGTCGATCTCGAAAAGGCATACGACCGAATTCCCCGTCTAGTTTTGTGGTGGGCCCTAAAGAAGAAAGGTGTGCCGGGGAAGTATGTGGATCTAATACGTGCCATGTACATCCGGTCTAATACATACGTCCGATCGGCGGTAGGTGCCTCCGACAAGTTCAGTGTGGCGGTAGGCTTACACCAGGGTTCGGCTCTAAGTAGTACTCCAGAGTAGACTAGATAGATGGCAAGAAAAACTGGAGAGTATTGGCTTGAAGATCAGCAGAACTAAAACTGAATACCTATTCTGCGATTTCGGCGGTCTCTCCAGTTTCAAGCCTATCTGTCTTAACGGTGTAATGCTTTCGGTCTGCTCCGATTTTCGGTACCTCGGTTCAGTTATTCAGAACAATGCCGACATAGACCGCGATGTAAGGCACAAAATTAGTGCGGGATGGATGAACTGGCGACAGGTCTCGGGAACGATATGCGACCCCCGAATGCCCTTGAAACTAAAGGGTAAAGTATATAAATCTATCATAAGACCTGTCATTTTGTATGGATCTGAATGTTGGGCCGTAAAGGGGATGGACGAAAGGCGTGTGCATGTGGCAGAAATGCGAATGTTAAGATGGATGTGTGGGATTACCAGGAATGATAGAATAAAGAATGTGTATATACGAGGAAGTTTGAAAGTTGCGCCGGTTATAGAAAAGTTGCGAGGTAACAGATTGAGTTGGTATGGGCATGTTATGCGGAGGAACGAGGACCATGTCTTATGGAAAGTGTATAATATGAATGTGGATGGATGTAAAGGGAGGGGACGCCCGAAGAAAAGATGGATGGATTGTGTGAAAGATGATATGAATAAAAGAAGAGTATGTTCAGATATGACGACCGATAGAGAGCAGTGGAAGAGAATGACATACTGTGCCGACCCCAAATAATGGGATAAAGGCAAGGCAATGATGATATGTCTATACCTAATTATATAATGCAAAACATTAAAGGTATATATATATATATGTGTGTTGTTTAGGGATATATTTTTGTTTATCTATTGATCTTCTTCTATTCTGTTAAGATGAAAAGTTCGGAGGTAACTTCCCTCACATACTAGGTACTCACTACTATAATCCAAATTACATAAAATGTTTTGATTATAATTGTTTCAGAACTGACAAAAATATTAGGTATAGGATATATATACAAAGAATTGTGAGATATCCCTTACATTATTTTAAAGATGGTTTCTGAACTTCACTGAATTTCTGTAGTGTGTACAATAAATTATCCTTTTTTTTTTTAAAGTATTAAGAAATTTTGAAATTTTGCTAATATATTGATAGATTGCATCAATTGAGTATCTTAATTAGAACCATCATTTGATTATATTTTGTCAATATGTCATAACTTATTATGATTAAATTTGTACTTCATTTTGTTAATCAAAAGAAGAAAAGAAGATTTGTTAAACTTTTCTGGATATTTAATTATATAATAAACTTGAAAGTAAACACTATGGACATTTGTTACTCTTTGACGCAAAAAGTACTGAACTCATTTTGATGAAACTTTACAGTAATATAGCTTATGCAACCGAATAACATATATGTTATTCGCCCTATAGCCTATTTTTTTATTTTTTATTTAACATGGGTGAAACTGCAGGCACAGCTAGTGTATAATATTATTGCCAAATTGAAAAAAAAATAGTACACAGTACACAAATTTGTTTTCTGTGTGATGTCACTCATATCTCTGATAAAAAAACATGAAATTTTAGTCTGTTTATCAAATGTCATGATTTTTAATAATACACACATCAAAAAGTCTTAGCTACACATACAAATTTCAATTTTACTATGTGTTTCCATATTAAATCCTTAGTATTTTCTTGTTTCGATTTGGGTTCAAGTCAAGTTAGGAACTTGACTTGAACCCAAATCGAGACTCATCGCAAAATAAAAGTTTATCCCATTGTTCCCGGGTCCATGTAATGTGTTATACCATTCATTTCGACAGGCGCGATTCCCGTGACGTATCGGTAGGCACCTAATTGGCCGTCGTATTCATGTGTCATGCAGTCGATTTCGCACAGTTTGGCAGCTAACAATAACACCACTTGAATTTTGTAGCCTTACACCTATCTCTTGGGCGGTTAATGAGGTCTTGCAGTCAGTTGTACGAGTATATATCGATCTTGCCGTGTGGTTGTACACCTTCCTCGACCTGGGTGTTGCTCAACAGGGTCTCTCGTGTTAGTTTAACGCTGATGAAGAAGGCAAATAACGCTTCTGTTAACACAAAAATACCGAGATACCTGGGATTGACTTCTTCCCGCTTGTAACATCCCTACAGTTCTTTGCATTTCATCTGCGTTCAAATGACGTCGTTCCATGACTTAAAAAATGTCTCAAATCCAAATTTGTTCAAAACTTTTTCAAATTATTGTTTAAATCATATAATTTATAGGGAATACTAAATTTTAATAAGTATAGAAAACGCTATAAAATTCGAACAAATGCATTCGCTTTTGAATTTGTGAAAATATCTGAAATGATATGAGTATCATTTTTTTACAACCAGCCAGTCAATATCAAAAAAGTTTACATAGGTAGTACCTACTTGGTAAGAAAAGATATAATAATTTGAAATCGTATGTGTTACTTAGACTTTTTTGATGAGTGTATTGTATATACATTTTATGATTATTAGGGGGAGATGATCGGAGGATCATGCTCTGGCAATTTGGGCAGGCAATCCTGAATCGTGGCAAACCAGAGGCCATGAAAGCTATGCACCAGTCTAATATTTTTTGTCTTGGCATTACAAGTGATAGCCAGAAAATATATTCAGGCGGAAATGATGATATTGTAAGTAAACTATTTTGTTGTATATTTCTATAATCTATGAAGTTGAAAAAGTATCCTGTACTACGTATCTATTATAATTAATTACAAATCACAGGTGATAGTGCATGACCTGGAGAGTAAATGTCCTCTTGAAGTGCTTCAACATCAAAGGGCTGTATGCAGTTTAAGCATTGATCCATACAATGAGCGCGTAGTCACAACTGCTGGCAATGATGGCCGTCTTCTACTTTTTGACACCAGACAGTCTGTACATGGTAGGAACTTTTTGGTTTCTAGAATAAATTTATGTTTTTGATTGATATCATTCATCATTGTCTTACTAATATTATAATAGCGAAAGTTTGAGAATCGATGGATGATTTGTTTGTTACACCTTTCTGCAAAAACTACTGAACTGATGCTGATGAAAGTCCACAGTAATGTAGCTTATACATTAGAATAAGACATAGGCTATATATATAGGTGAAACTGCAAGCACAGCTAGTAAGGAACCTATTACTATAAATATTATTATAATAATACAGAGTAATAAATATTACTATTAACATAATATTTTTATGTTAATGTAATTTTAATACCAACTAGTCACACACCTGGACTCTGAAAAATTCGATGTGTATTATTTATATGGAGATTTTTAAATCAGAAATTTAGACTTAGTCATGTCATTTTTTGAAAAATTCTTGTCCTGACTATTTCAGACACCACAAAAAAGAATTAGCTTAAGTCTGAAGTTGCATACTTGGCAACTTCAGATTACTGCTATATGAAGTTTGTAATTTCTACAAATACATTACAAAATTCATATAGTAGTCATAATAACACATTGATAATACATATTCTTGAACTGAAAAATTGTATACCTACTGAATATAATTCAATTGAATTCAATCCTGTTGTAATTAAATTACCTATAAGATTACACATAGAATGTGACTTATGTTATGTATATTTTATTATATAATAAAAACGTTCTACTTTATATAAAGTTTATGTAACTGATTTTTGTCTTCATTAATAATCTAGGCACCCTTTGTTGCAGAGTCCCTTGTGATCTCTAAGAGCAGGAAGTCTTTCCATGGCGTAATGTTTCACCCACATCAAGTAGGCGTGCTGGTATCTGCTAATGCTCGCGATGGTGTCGCACTCTGGGATTTACGATCGCCAAAACAGTAAGTAAAATAAAATAAAAAAATATTAGAGAAGCCCTATGTCTTAGGACTAGCTGTTAAACAGAGGCAGATAAATAGAAATAAACAGGAACAAAATTAACTTGTCTATATAAAATAGTGTAGAGGTAAAATTTGTAAGGTTGTAGTGGGAAATCTCTGGATTAATTGAAAGTTCTTTTAGTGTTACATAGCTCAATTATTCAGGAATGTAATAGAATATAATAGTGAAAAATTAAATTGCGCGTGTCAGCTAGTATTCTATATAAATATTTATGTTTCAACAGTCCTGTACTCCGCTACGTCGGGAACAACGGAACCTGTCAGAACAGCATGAGTGTCCGTTTCAACTCATCCGGCACGCACATACTAGCTTTGCGTCGTCGGCTCGCGCCTGCACTGTATGCGGTACACTCTCCTGAACCGGTGGCAGAATTCTACCACCAGGACTATTACAACTCTTGCACTATGAAAAGCTGCTGCTTTGCTGGCGAGGGTGATCAGTTTGTGATGTCCGGGTCTGATGATTTCAACCTCTATATGTGGAAGATACCTGATGTTGGTACTGATACTAGTGGAAGTGGTTATGGTGAGTATTAATTTTTTTTTGGTAATTTGTTTAATCTTAAGAATATTTGTATATAACAAAGATTTTATATGCATTTCAGATGTAGAGCCACATATAGTTCTCTATGGACACAGGTCTATTGTAAATCAAGTGCGGTACAATCCGCATTATTGCCTCATCGCGTCTTCCGGTGTTGAGAAAATTATAAAGGTTTGTATTAACAAACCTTAAACAGATTACTGTTAATTTATTGAGTTGTTGTTTATGAACCTAAAGTCGTTTCACGTCAGAATGGGAGTCAAAAGTTTACATTGTTCGCAATTGTATTTTTCACAGATTCGAATTTGGAACCTTTACGGCCTTATTACAAAAAGATAAACCTGGTTTAGCACTAGTAATAAACCATTCACCAATGTATTCCTTATTACAAAATGAAGTTTATCTCTAAATCGTGATTCGTCTATGGTCTAAAGTTAGACCTGCGATGCCCCTAGTTTAACAGTGGTCTAAATGCAAAAAGTCAAACTCCATTTTAAAAATTCTATTGTAAGTTGTAGTTTTTGGAAAAATATTTTTACTAAATTAAAAATACATTAACTAAAAATATTTAAAGCAAATTTTACGACAATAAAAATATATAAAAGACGTTATTTGTTATTTTTTCACTCATTTGACTTTGAAATAGTCACCATTCGAACGATCCAATAAAAATATCTCGCCGTTCCTTTTCTCCGTATAGGATTCCTACTTGTAATTTAAAACTGATTTTCAGCCTAATAGTACATTAATAAATATTATATATTATTGAAATAGTTATAATGAAGACATAGATAAATAGAAATAAATTTATTTTTAGTTTATACATTTTTCTTTGAACTAATATTATTTTTGATCTTTTCAGTTTTCTGGTAAAATGGAACGTAATTGTACGGTGACAGACATGAGTGACTGATTTCTGTATGGAATACATAATGACCGATTTAACTGTAGTACTAAGTAGTCCTCTGTTAGATCTGGATCCGTAATAATGTTAGGTTTATTCCAAGTATTAACTTTAGGAACGGTTTAAACCACGACCATTTAGACCACGTTTCGTCCGAGTTTTAACAGATTTTTTGTAATAAGACCGTTAGGGTTTAGAAGTCGGGGTATTAAAAAACTACGCAACTATCATAAATGCTGACTACTATATATACAATGCTGACCCAAAATAATAAGTATTTTTGGGTCGGTATAGTATGCCACCTAGCACTGATCCCTATCGGCCGTCATATCTAAGCTTACTTTTCTACATAACGTCATTCACACAAAGATATTTTTATATATTTTTTGGTCGGCCTCTTTCTTTATAATGTGGTACATTATACAGATATATGAACATGATATATCTGTATAATCTACCACTGGCACAATAAACTCTCATCCTATATTATATATTTATTCTCTTTATTATTCATTGATCATGCCATGGAATATTTTTATAGGTGTGGTCAGCTTTGGAGTACCCAGAAATGCGAGGTACACTGCTGGAGGAAGCGCAGGGCTCCGATAATCCTCGTGAAATATACAGTCACGAAGATTATGTATCGCTCGTACATCACAGTGGACAAGTAAGTATGGTAGAAATGTTGTTGTCATTTCACAAACAATTTCGATAAATCATAAATATAGTTTTGTTATGTAAATATTTTTCTGTGCTTAATAAAGATTTTATAATAATAATACTGTAGATAATCATTTGGGTTCTATATAATTTATACATATTATTATTTAATTATATCATAAGACAGCCTGAAATAAGTGGCGCCAACTTATAAATAAGAACATCGCTCAAGTCATCATTTGGCAACATTACTAATTTGTCAATAATTTTTTTTTAAATATATATAGATATATTTGCATAACTTAGATATACTAGTAAGTAGTAGTAGTAGTAGTGCTACTACTACTACTACTTACTAGTATATCTGAGTTCATTCTATCATCTTCTACTGAAGCGTAACGTAAACCGTCGACGACGGCAGGAGCTTCATTCCTTTAAAAAAAGTGCGTAGACTGTCGTGTATGTACGATTTGTTTTTAAACTTCGTGAATGTTGACCAACAGCATATATCGCATAACTACGCGGAGCAGTCCACAAGCGAGGACCCGCGGATGATGGCGTTCTTTGATTCACTAGTGCAGCGCGAACTAGAGTGTCTTGCCGAGGAGACTGACTCACTTGACGGCTCCAGCTCTGGTGGCTCCGTGCACGACAATGATACTGTGGACTCGTCGGATAGCGATCAAATTGTAGCCGACTTTTTACAGTTACCAACCAAACGAGGTACTTTGGTCTTTTGTACTAACTGAAGCTTTAATTTATTATTTAAGTAGCAGCAGATCATTATATACTTAACCCCTTTATGGATAGTATCTAAAACCTTAATACAAAACATAAAATGATTGAATCTTAAATTACTGTATCGGGAAAAACAATGATCATTTCTTATATAAATAAAGTCAAAATATGAATAGAATAGAATAGAATAGAAAATCATTTATTCAAATAAACTTACATTGAAGCACTTTTGAATAGTCATTACATTTTTTAATCTACCGCTATGTAATGTATGTATGTAAACAACTTCCAGAGTTGAGGATGGTCTATCTTCTTTATGAATTCAAATTTCTTTCAGTATAATTGTATAATATTGATTGATCTACTATTGATTAAGATTTTGGTAATGCTCACATTTCTAAAATAAATTATGTGGTGGTTAGGTGGATCGCCACAAACTACCAGCTCATGAATAATGTGGCTAATATAACTGTTTACAGCCAACCCAAACGGGAGCCGGAGTCAGCGATGTTCAAATAGATTGGCCCGATTGGTTGCATCGCGGTTTTCAAAAAACTTGCGTTCTCAAAAAAGAGGTTCTTTAAGGTTTGTATCTAACCTGTCAGATTTGTACAATTTTAGTTCTCTAATAACTTTCCATGATGATGTTTATACTATAGTTATATTTACACATCTTATTACTGTAGAATCAATGAGCATTTGTGTGAGATATAAATTAATAATGAAACTGTACATTGTTATACTTTTTATGTAAATTTTGATATTTTATGAAAACAGTTGCATATCTTTTATTTTTCGATTTATTTTTTTAGCATCAGACATCGACAACATTTTATGTCACAACACCTGTGCATTTCAGCTGCCACAAAAATAAAATTATTTTGACAACTTGTGACATTATCACATACAAAAATAGTGTATACCATTCATATGCCATTCATAAATTAAGGTCACACGTTAAGGAGGGGGGAGCTGCTCTACAAAGTGTGACAAGGGCTAGGAGAACTCTGCACAGGTCGTATCATTTTAAATGTAATATATCTAAGTACTAATATACAAACTATTAACAAAATATTTCTATTGTTAGTAATTTTTAATAAAATTTTATAACATGGCACTTTACTGTATGGAATGACAATCACAAAAATGTGACTAGCTGTAATAAGGAGGGGGAAAAGATAATGGAATTTATGGGTGGCCCCTTCTGTACACATTTCACTCTCAGTGGAAATGCAGTCTAGTATTGATTGTTGTATGGTCAGGCGGTCATCGAAAGTAGCGATGTCTCGGCGCAGCAAGCAGTCGCGCAGCGGGCTGGGCAAGTCTGGGGGTGCGTGTGCGGGCGCGGGCCCCGCTCGTCGTCGCGCCGCGCCCCGCGCGTCCCCCGGCATCGCGCCCGCCGCCCGCGGGCCCCGCGGGCCCCGTGGGCCCCGCGCCTCCGCGCCCTCCAGCGAGCGCACCGACTCCGACGAGCCCACGCACTGTCTCTTCGGCCACTCCGGCAGGGTCAGTCCGCACACAGATTGATATTAAATTTTGTAACTAGAATGGTCTGGTTATCTATAAATTACGTCACACATTAAGGTTGAGGTGCATTAATTAATTGAATAGAACTAGTCAGATCATCAACAAAGTGTGACAACGGATAGGAGGACTCAGAAATTATGTGTTGCCTTAACATTATAGAATCCACATTTTATCAATATTTTAAATAGAAATGAAAATAATTCAACTGAAACTGTTATTTATTTTTTAATAATTGACTATGCACTAGGAAGAAGCTAGTCTCACAAACATGACCGTAATAAGGAGGTAGTATATGGATTACCCTTTATAACAGCAGAATTAAAGTATATCAAAGAAATAAAAAGTGATCACTATTTCTCCCTACCTTTATCTCGGACTGATTTATATCTTTTTACCCATGTTTAACCTTCATATCTTCACATTTGCATAAAAATGTATATGTGTTTAATTTCAGATAATAAGACCTATACGCCGACGGATGAATTTAACAAGAAGTAGTAAGAGGAAAAACAAAGTCACTAACTATAGAAAACCTATGAATTTACGAAGTAACGGTGAGTATTATTCAAATATTTTTATATAGATTATGTATAGTCTGTTTTTTTATAATGTACCATTCTTATTAACTTCGCAGGCGCAACCATAGCTCAAGACAGCAGCGATAATAATAACTTTAATACTTTCGATAATTTTGAAGAAAATTTATCTCTTCCTAGCACAAGTACAGGTAAGCATTAGGTCCAAGTATACATATGTTTTATCATTTCTTTATTTCTTTCGTTTGTGATAAGATTTATAAAATAATGTATGTTGTATAGGTTACAGGGGCCAAAGTACTTCGGCCCTATTTCGAATAGCGGAAGTCGACTCGGACGACGACCAGTCAGTCGACAGTCGACCTATATCACCTAGGAACCAAAACGGGAACCAAAGTATACCCACAAATCTAATCAGTATAATCCCAACACCAATAAACGGATCTCGAGACTCGTTGGGAGATTCCCTACGCGCCGAACCGGCGGAATCGGAGAGCAATAACTCCTCTCCACCGCCACCACCCGAGAACCGCCGCATAAATTTGAGGAGGGTCAGGCGAAACGGTAGGTTAAGTCTACACCGCTCAGACTCAAGCGAATCGCCGCCTCCCAAAGAGCTCGCAGATCGCGCGACTACATCGCTCGACGAGCGGCTGTCGCCAGGCGTCAGCTATAACAGGACAGTGGCGCGGCTAATGAACGAGACCAATGAGAGCGAGTTGGAAAGTAGTTGTAGTACGGAGGGCAGCGCGTGGCCGACTCCTGAGGCGACGCAGATGCAGCAAGCCACGTGCACGGCCGCGACCCCCGACAGTGGCATCGGTACGGCGGCTGGCAGCAGTTCCCGCGCTTCCCGACCAGCCGATGACGTGTCCGATGATCCAGACTATCAAGCTCTCAAATTCCGACGAGTAAAAAAGGCCCGGCGCAATTACAGGAACCATATGGATTCCGACTCGAACTGAACTGATTATATGTAGATAGATATATAAATTATGTTTGAATGGAGTTTCCTAGTTGTTCTGCCATGAGACTATTCGAACGACTGTAATCTTCTACTATTGTTAAAAAAATTGTTATGAGACTTGACACTTATAGATGTACCCTGAACCTTATGTGGGATCTCTACACCGAATGTATGTCTTTATACATCGTTTTTTTTTACTATATAATCGTATTATTATTAAATAGGTAAACTCCAACTAAAGGAATTAGGTACCTTAGTTACAACTGCGTTTATCAATAGAATAACCACGTGTGTAAATAGAAATATTTTAAACCTATGCCTACTACTACTTCCTTCATATATATGTACTTCATATGGATGTACTTAGTCATTATCATAGCATGGTGTAACAGGTAAGTAACGTGCAATAATTCCATTGAGGATTTAACAGAATTTGCATTTACCATACTATTTTAGTAGGTGTTTTAGATTATAGTGTTAAAGATTTCGTTACGGGATATACTATAGTATTAATATTTTATTTAAATCAAAAATATGTTTACTTAAATTATAATATATACATTTTTAATATAATACATGTAATATTTGGGAATTTTCAACTTGACAAACGTGACTTTCTTCTATGCTGCGTTTTAAGACATGGATATTGGTAGTAATGTAGTGCAAAACCTATTTCATATAGTGTTGAAACCTCTCGTCTTGGCACTTGATTTTTGTGTACAGAAAGCACAAAGAATCTCGATTTTTTTATTTATTTTTATCAATAGCAAGTAGAGATCCAACACTGTTTAGCTTTATGTATAGATATTATTATTATTCTATCAATATATGTGATCATTATTAATAAATAGATTATTATTAAATAAATAGATTTAAGGTAAATACATCAATGTTCCGTGGAGGGTTAGAATGACATGCATTACATTCACTTGAAAAATATATTTCTTTTATTATTCCATATATTATTTAGAGGCCAGTGTTTTAGTTTTTAACTTTATACATTTCTTTTTCTAAAGTCAGGCGCTAAAGCATATTTAAAGAGCTACTCAATATAGAATTGAATTTGAATCAACTTGAATCCTGAAAATCTATGCAGTACTAGGAGAGGAATGGGATTGTTACTAATGTGGACTGATGACCCCTTTGCTAGCAATACACCATGTCAGGTTGACCTCCACGCGGTTCCACTTGGAAACCATCGTGATAAGATACTGGTGAATTTGTCACGATGTGCTAATTGACCTGACCTCATGTTCATCTTATCACTCTTCACTGGTGCCCCGCCAGCCAGAAAACAAGAACTACGCAACTCCATGGACAAATGAGTTATGAAATTAAAATGTTGTGTGTAAGTATAGAAATAGTACGAGACTCCTGTCTACCTGTTCGTAAGAGACATGCCATGAACATACATGCCAAGATAAAACTAAATATGTGGCTATAACTATAACCAATATTAGGATGGTATTGTTTTATCACCAGACCTAACAACCTACCTACTTCCATTCGACTATGGTTTCCAGAAGGTAACACGTGAAGATCGACCTGATATGGTAAAGGTAGTCATAATTTCATTAGTTCCTATTTACTGATAATCTGCTTCCTTCCTACGATCGATACAATCGAATCGAACATAGTATATGTTTGTTATACAAATATTTTTTGCGCCCAGAAATACAGCAATAAAATTAATAATGCATATATTTTCTGATAAATATGTCATAATGGACTAAGTGTTCGACCTCATGATCATATCAATCTCTATTGGTACCTCACCAGCGTAATTTGCGCGTGTACCATGCCATTATCGCCCATTTAAAAAATCGTAGACAATGTAGTATTTAAAAGTGTGTGTGTAGCAAAGAATATACTACGCAAGAGTGTGGTGGTGTGTAGATTCGTAAGTGATATTAGTGTTATGATTGATCCCCCCGAGGTAAACTTCGCTTATTTTAAGACTTATTGCAAATATGTAAGGATTAAAGTCGTATGGCAAAATAATTTACGTATGGAATGTGGAGCCCTCTGGTAAGGAGTAGAATACTAAACTTGCCATTAAAAATAATATAGGACTGTATCTGACGGACTTGGGTCTTTTACATTTTGGGTGCAGGTTGGAATCTCGGGGCGAGCCTCTTTGTTCCGGTATATTGTCCGAAGACTGAGAGAGAAATCTCCTCACCCTCTAAGTACAGCACTTATAAGTACTCCCGCACGTTTATAAGTGCGTATCCCCCATTTAAGGAGATATGGGCAACAGAGGCGAGAGGAAAAGTAATTGGAAAAATTAATATTGGTTATTGTTACTACACTGGCAACTGTTTCCTTAACAGATCTCTTTTTTGATCTGTGGTTTTCTATTTTTTGTCATTCTAGGACTGTCAAATTGTGGTTATCTCCCTAAATTTGGGGAACAAGTTTTAATGGAAAACAGAGGAATTAAAATTGGGTATTGCTGGTGGTTCTGGGCCCGGTCAAGCTTAAAGGAGTCAAGTAAAGACTAGTTACGGCCAACAACATTAGAATAGGTCGAAATAAATGAGAGCGGGTTTGTCAAAAGTTTGCAGGCTAAATTGAGTAAGAACAGTTATGAAACGGGCATTTATTTTTACAATTTAGGTAGCTACCTCTATATATATTTTTTATATTCCTTAAAATGACTCAACTTTTCGGAATACCTAAATAGATTTTACAATAAAATTATACACATATTATTATTCAATGTTGAAATAATACTTTTTAAATTAATAAACAAGAAAGAAGAAACTGTTTAGAGATTCTATTAGTGACAGACGTTCAAAATATTGTTGGTTTTTGTGTGGAGTGTGAACTTGTCCAAATTTCGTTGGCAACACTGTTATTGCAAAATTTAGGGGAAATACCAGGCAGTAATCTGACAACACTGTTTGCATCGATTTTAAATTTCAGTTTGTGATCCATCCATTCAATTAGTATTGTCATTTTGGATTGATTTGATATGACTTAGTAGTGCTTTTAATAGAAAAAATGGATGGGATATCTGCATACAGTTACTTTTTGAGGGCACATTTGCCTCAATTAATGCTATCCAATGTTCCTGAACATTTTTGGGAAACGTTGTCGAAAAAGATTACTGATAATATCTTTGATTGCGGTTTGACTTTTCAATTATTAGAATTAGATTATGAAGATTCTGATTTTATGCCCTATGATCCTTTTTGGAGCGTAGTGCCAATATGTGACATTAAACGTTCAGATCCCAATCATATATATTTAATAGATCATGCTTGGACGTTTAAAGCAAACCGCATTAAAAATAACCTAAGGAGCATACCGGCTTTGTTGGATAGAATGTGCGCTCTCATGAAAGTGGTTAGTGGGAGTATTGAAGAAAAAATTGATAAGGTATCTCGTGGACTGTGGAGATATGCACATACTTATGCTGTTATTGGTGATCAGTTTTCTCCTGAGCAAAGGGTGCCAGTGTGGTATGTATTAGATGAACTGGGCTGTGGAATAACACATTCTGATAACCCAAACTTCAGAACCGTACCTTTTATTTATGTGCCCACACAAGTGACATATACAATCATCTTTCCAATTCGAGATGTAAAAGAGGGTGATGCCATCACAAGGAATTTTGTTGAAGGAAATTATCCCCATTACCGACAAAGAGATGCAATGCTTATACCATGGAAACATTATGACTATTTTGATGAAGACTTTACTCAGCAAGAACCAGAGTCAGATTATTTCCTAGAAGGTCATGTATATGAAGATTTACCTGATTTGGAAATATTGGACATTAGGCAAAATATTCCTAATAGGCTAAAAGTGTTCTCTCAATACAGTTTTATAAATGATCATTTAACATCACCACATTTCGAAATAGTTTACAATGAAAATCAAGCTGACATTATGTGGTATACAGAGCACTATAAAACCTTCAATGACCTTAGTATCAATTCACCAAATACATTCATTAACCAATTTCCTTATGAATATATTATAACTGTCAAAGACTTGTTGCCAATTGTGGCCAGAAGATGTTCAAGTGACTGTAAAAATCCAAATGATCCCTTTGAATCTAATCCTGCTTGGCTTCCAATAACATTTAATTTAAAGACTGAACTTTGTAAACTTGTATCATATTATGTACAAAGGAAAAAGGCTGGGTTGGACAACCTTTGGATTTGCAAGCCTTATAATCTTGCTCGAAGTTTAGACACCTATATCACAGATGATTTACAATTCATGTGCCGTTTGCCGGCTAGTGGACCTAAAATTGCACAAAAGTACATAGAGGACCCTGTTCTTTTTGATAGACCAGATGTTGGTCTGGTAAAGTTTGATATACGATATGTTATATTATTGAAGGGTGTTAATCCTACTGAAGTTTATATTTATAATAATTTCTTCCTTAGATTTTCAAATAAACCATTTGGTTTAGATAATCTGGAGGATTTTGAACAACATTTCACTGTAATGAATTATTTAGATGGAGTACCATTGTATAGAGTGCTTTGTGATGAATTTAAGGAGGCATGGGCCAGACAGTATGCCAATTATAATTGGTCTGAAGTTGAAAAATCAATCACTGAAATGTTTTCACAGTTATTCATAGCAGCCACTAGTAAAGAACCACCTTGTGGTATTGCTAAGAGTCCTCAATCTAGAGCTTTATATGCAGCAGATTTAATGTTAAGTTGGAACAAAAAAAATGGTGATACCACTATACAACCAAAGTTATTAGAAATTAATTGGATGCCTGATTGTCAGCGTGCCTGTGAATACTATCCTGATTTCTATAATGATATTTTCTCTGTGTTATTTTTGAATAGAGATGTTGGTTCATGTACAAAGATCTTGTAAAATGTAGGTAACCACAGTAATCATTAATATAATCAATATTTATGTCACAATTTGATTAAGACTGTAATCATGTTAAGACTGTCTTATTATTGTACTAGGATTTTTGGAAATCCAATTTTTATCCAAAGAAGTATTATTAAAAATATTTGATATATAAGTTGGACAAGTCTCTTTATATACTGGTGACCAGTCTTAGCTTGTAGTTTATACTTTACAATAACTTGTAATGTATTACTTTAAATTATAAGGACTATTAATATAATATTTATGAAATGCTTAAAGCAACTAACATTTTTTATAATATTACTATTGTGTACTACTGTATCGAGGGACTTTCAAGTACCTAACATATATGTAAACATTATTTATAAGATAAAACGGGTATAACAATCATTAAAATATCGACATATCCCATTGTGCCTTTTTTTGTAAACTTAAGACATTTCCACCATACTATGATTTTGCATGATAATCCTAGTCTTGATTGTTCCTAATAATTATCATCATATTTTAGACATTCCTTCAATTTTCACAAACATTCCCTAAAAAGGCTGTTGATAAATTAAAACTGCATGAAAATCCCATTAGTAGTTTTGAGATTATTGTGAACATAGAGGCTGAAGAAGACTCTCAGGTAATATGTAGTAGAGATGTTACGAATATTCAGCTTCTATTCTGTTTTCGACCGATTATCAAATCACAACAATATCAAATACTATTACACACCATAGATAGGTGTGTTATAGAATATAAATTACATTTCTAGTGTGGCGAATTTGTTTAATTACTTAATAGATTTATATATCGACCATTATTTAATCAATATTGCAATATGGGTGTAGGTTCAATAACAGTCTGAATTTGATTACTGATTGAGAAAGTCGTAATGCTTTCAGTAGCGGTAGTCAGATTTCCAAACTGAATATTTTTTGTTTCACGCATATTAAGGGGAGCGAAGTTAAACAAAATAATATAAATCCATTAATTAAATTAAACAAATACGCCACATCTGAAATGTGCCTACTTAGCGTTGCTGAATCTTTAGTAGTTGTACAATAATATGTAATATGAAGTGATTGTGTTTCAAAAGACTAGGAATATATTATTAATAAGATTTAAAGAAATTTTAAATTAATATATTCATTTATAGTACATGTAATAGCTTTACATTATCACTTTACAAATTGCTTCATTTTATAAATATTGTTATTAAGATTATTACATACATTAGTTTTTCTGCAATATCATTCGATCGTCATCCTGAATATATCCAAATGGGTTTTCTTCACTGACTTCCCTATGACTGAGCAACAATAGGATCACTACAATGGCTATTACTGCAAATAGTAAAATCCAATAGCGCCGGTAGATTCCACCCGCTCTTCTCACACGTGATGAAGGAAGTGTGTTTCTGAAACAATGTTAACAAAATTAATATTTACAAATACTATCAATTACCAAATAATTTAAAAAAGGTAAATAAAAGCTTTGGTGATCTCAGGTAAAAAAAGTGCGACCACAGACCAGCAATTAGATTGCCTTAATCATGATACTCTCGACCTGATTGCTTTTTGTTTATTATGCTATTGGTTTAGCAATGCAATGAAATGTGCCGATTGGAGTTCAATAAACTCATGGGTAACCATGTGTTTTTGTTTTTAATGGTGCAGGACTCCATTAAAAACAAAAATACAATATTTATTAGGAATGTTACCACTATTACAATAGGATTTTTTTAATGTAATTGGATTGGTATAGAGGCTGATGGCTCACCAGACAGTAAGAAGAACCATCACCTATATACATAAATAACAGCATTAGATACATCATGTTATCTTGTGATGTATGCTACACTCTTTCATGTGTGGCCATTCAGTAAGGCTAAAATGTTATTCCTCTTATTTAGTAATTTCACTGCCTTGTCTCACTCTTTAACCAAACAGCAAAGCAAGCTGCTTGACAGTTGATAAGGTACGCTTGCAGACTAATACATCAATATTAATTTCACAAATTTGTAATAATCTAATCACTTACTTCCACCAACGGCTGATCCATGCAAATGTAGATTTTTGTTTATACTTGTTTTCATCATGATCAAAGTTTGCTATTTGTTTCGAATTTTCTAATAATTTTGAAGATTTTCGTGAAGCCTGTCCTCCTGGAAGACAATTTTTATTTTATTAATTACACTCTCTTATTATGGATTTATTAAAAGTACCACACTGTTAGACACACACATTGTAGATATATGTACCTTGTAAGCTATCAGTCCTCTTTAGTGATGTGTTGTCATAGATATTGATGGAATCATCAGGCATTTGAACAATGGAATGTGGTGTGCCATTAGCTGCTCGACTAGTGGACTCATCATCACTAGCCCCTACTGGCGTCCCTCTTTGACTGTCTACTGTACTTGAATAATATTGACCTTGATCTGGAGACAAGCTACGTCGCCCTGCTGCACCTTTTAAATCTTGGTCCTCAGACAACTGAAAATCAAATAGTAAATACAAGATTGGGAAACATTTTAAGAATTTTCTATTTGAAGGATTATTTAGTTTTGTTAGTAAGTTTAGTTTAATATTAACTTAATTTGATACACTTATATACATTTTTTTTATAATAATTTCTTTTAGTTTCTATTTAATGTAATAGGAAGGGAACCCTACATGATGTAAAATGGTAACTATTACCTATATACATGAACCACACTATAGACATCTACAACATATGTCATAGCTATTTATTATAAATATGATATAAACCTTCAATTAACATTATTTTTCTTGAACAAGTGTGATAAAACCAATGTATGCTAAATATGTGACATTATAATGGTTGGTCTAAATACAACAGAAAACAGTGGTAGGAATGTAATGATATTCAATATCTACTTTAATAATTACTTTATTGAATTAAAATAACATAAAATGTAATACATACCAATGGTAACCCAAGACCAGCACGAGCCCAATTGACTCCAGCTAGTTTTTCTCTCAACACATCTGCAACCGGTGATACAAGGTTGGAGGGTGGGAATACAGGTGTGGCACAAGAAGGGCACTGGTAACCTGCAGGGGCTGTTGTTTCTGGTAAGGCACGGTAACGAGACTCTGCACATGCCCAATGAAAAACATCTGGGGAAGAAGAAATGATCAGACTTAGATTTCTTATTACAACAATGTTTCTGTAAGAAAATATTACATTCAGTAACAACAGGTTTTAATTTGAAGAAGTTTATTGATTTATATAAATTAATTTGACCATACATATATCATATTACATGGTGTTAGAAGACAAAATACTAATATACATATTCTCTACTAGCAACCTTTGGTGTGAACAGTAATTCAGGTGGTACTTAATAGAATAAGTGAATATAAAAATTATTAAATGAATCTGTTTTCAGAGTAATAATATGGTAGTTTCTAATGTGCATGCGGCTACTCTGGAAACGGAGAACTTCCTTTGGAGTGCCTTCTGCACTAGTCACCTTTTCTGTTATAAAAGCCTGCCGCATTGACAGCATTAAATTTTCTCCCAAATAAAATACTTATGACATTCTTGTTCATGCTGTATAAAACTGATGAAAACAAACACACTAAACACATTTGTTACATAAACCATACTTACGATAACAAGTGAGCCGAATACACTCTCCTTCACTTAGATTCTTCGTGCAGATTTCACAAATAGGATTGTAATCACTGTCTCGCAACCATTGTAAATAAGATTGGACGATACACTAGAATTGAGAGAAAACTTTATAATTCCGTTACAATATGTTACCATCTATAACTTAAGAGTTATTGACTTACTTTTGGGTGGTTCGTAACCATACAATATTCACAAACATTGACTCCATGTTCAAAACAAAATTGATTAGTTACTCTCCGTTTTGGGCATTTGCAAAGACCCATTTTGTACTTTTATACTACAGTACCTCTCTTAATCATATAAAACTATGTAACATTATTTGAATCGAATATTATGAATTGAATTTCAAGACAAACAAGAAATACAACTAAATAAACGTCGGCCACGTAAATGACAATGAATAAGAAGAGAGCAGAGCACTGCAAGTGTCAAGTCTATCAATGTCATCCTGGCATGCCTGACATTAACTTTGGTATTAGTCAATCCAATGTATAAAAAAACGACCGATTGCCATAGAAGAACTAGAAGAAAACAATCTATCAAAATTATGGTATAGGCATCCATTATTTTCAGACAAAATTGGAGATAACAGGCGTTAACATCAAACTACCAGAATATTATAACAATGTATTAATTTAAATTTAAATAAGATAATTATAATCTATTTGTTATTACGCACAAAAATATTATTGTACGATTATTATTTGTTGTAAAAGATATAAAAACATAGGGCGAACCAAAGGTGGAATGTTAGAGTTTTAGCTATAACTAGCTATTCGCCCCGGCTTCGCATGGGTGTACATGTATCATATATATATAAACCTTCCTCATGAATCACTCTATCTATTAAAAACCGCTTCAAAATTCGTTGCGCAGATTCAAAGATTTAAATGCTTAAATCTGCATACGTAAGGACGGACAGACAGCGACAGCGACTTTATTTTATACTATGTAATGATAATGATAAAAGGGTGCATTATTAAAATTTTGTGAATGATGTAGTTACCGTATTATTAAAATATATTTTTCAGAACGATCTGTAAAAGGGGAAACATGTGTAATATCTGTGTAATGGGCGAGCTGCGTTATACAAGGATTTTGCTTTTACTTAATTTTTACTAATTTTTCAATTGACGAGCCATTAGTTTTTAATTTTTGTGGCTAAACAACAGCCGATAATGAAAAATGAAAACTACCTAGTTTGTGTAGATTTTCATTCTCTACAACATTTACTTAAAACATTTTTTCATATTTTTTACTGTTAACGAGTTATTTTGAATACAAAAACATTTTTCAACCCTTTTTTTAAATTTTTTCATCCTTTTCTCGTCAACTCAAATCAAACTTTATTTTTAAATAATATTATTCATGTATTTTCGGACTTTTTTTTATATATGCGCTAAAATTGAAATTTTACTGGACTATACAATGTACGGTAATTTTTGAAGAAATGCCATATTTTAACAAGTTAACAATGACATTAGAATTTTGACAACTTTGACTTGAGAAGCAGACATTGAGTGAAACAGTTCAAATAGTATAAGAATGTTATTATAAATTAGAAGAATAAATTTATTTATTTAATTGGTTTGAATGTTTATTTTTGATAGTCCAGAAGAATAAAATATTCGTTTCAAAACGATGGCTTCGAAACTGTTAGCTATAAGAAATATAGGATATAAACCCTTGTCCTTGCTAGTTAAGCAAATTCCTATTCAACCTGTACCATATAACCTAAAGTTATTGAGCACTACTCCAGTGGTTTCTGTTAATTTTTTCAATAAATGTAAGTATTAACCTATTTTTTTAGTATAATCGGAATTTACTCATTGCAATAATTATACTCCTTTCCTTTTTTTGAAAATTGAATGTAAAAAATTCATGGTTCTATTTGTGACTAATGTATTATTTATTAACTTGATAGCCGGCACATAATATTTTCATATTCTTTCCCTTTATAGTACCAGCAGATAAGTTATGGAAATCGGTGACCTCAGTAAGTAATGCAGGTGCGAAAAAAGGTCGTGGTAAAGGTGCTGGGCGTATTAGAATACGCGATCTGAACAGAGGTCAGATTATTGGTGTGGGAAAAATTAATATGTTATGGCCAGGCCTGTCAGCACCTGTTATCAGAGGTAGAGAATTACTGAAGCAGCAAAGACTACCTGATGATCCAGAAAGGTTAGATCCTGTATTCTTCAGAAAATATTTTGTGTATTCACTTTGTAAATTGGTTTTAATAATAATAGATGGTTATAATTACAATTACTAAAATGATATGTAACAATAACAATTAAGGATATCAAATAATAGAGATATTTTAGAAAAATTGTATTTAAAATTCAATTCATATCTTTATGATTACTAAATAAGTAATTTAAGATTTTCTACAGAGATAAATCCAGCATGCAATATACACAATAATGTGCAGCTGGTAGTATTCAATACATGTTATTTTTTAGGATTGAGAAACTAATTAAGCTTAGAGACTCTATGACCAAGTTTCGACGTTTGAAGCTTAGTCCTATTGAAAGAGGATGGTCTGGATCACGAATGCCAGGCCGTAGTATTGGACCTCCAGATCCAGTGGGAGAAGGTAACATTGTGCTCAAAGACATAAAAAATATCTTACTTGGAATTAAAATCAATGAATTATAAAAAAAAATATTTATAACACATGAATACATTACTAATTATATACAACATGGTAATTTTTAGATAAGTAGTTAGTAAACCCTCAATATCCTTGGTGATCTAACAGTTTACCACATTGTTTTACTTCTGATGGTCATGGGTTGGATAAAAATATACTCTCGAATAGAAATATTTGTGCTATCCAAAGATGATAGTACCAATGTTTATAGTTTATTTATAGTATGTTTTTATTGGTCTATGTTATTATGTATGTATTTACAAAAATAATGTATTAAAGTAGTACTATTAGTTGTCTAAAACACATAACACAAGCCTTGCATAACTTGGGACTAGATGGAGATGTGTGAATTGTCTTGGGTTATTATTATTATAAACTCATCAGATAGATGAAAATATACAAATTCAGGCACTTCTGTCACCATGTATTTCAACTGCAAAGTAGCATGCTTCATAAATTGTGTTACAGATAATGGATTATGCCAAGAAAATTACAAGGTAGCAAGGTAGCAAGCATGACACTTTAGGCCCCTGGAATGAATGATGAAATCATATTTATGGTCTTGTTTATGTATATAGGTGACAGTTGCTCCCATAATAAAATTGAGTAATGAAGAAAATAAAATGAAGCAGAATAAATATGTTTTTATCATTCTTTAATACTGTGACATTTTTGTATTGCAGATGAATTTACTGGGTTTGATACAAAAGTTCTACAGCTCAGGTCTCTGCTAATCATGAAGGGAAGTTTGGGCCGTACTAGAAACTATCAGGCCATGGTAAGGTTCTCATTATATACCAACTAGATAGATAGAAGACATATGGAACATATTTTAAATTGTTAGGATGTATTTTATATAGTTAATTGATTTCATATTGTGAGTAAACATATAAGAGTACAATAAATATATGTAGAGTAATAATTGAGCATTGCAATATAAAAAAAAAACCATTACGACTAATCCTGTGTCCTTTATATTAAAATGTAACATTTTAGGTAGTCACTGGGAATGGGCAAGGTCTTGCTGGTTTTGGATTTGGAAGAGCTAAAGAAGCACCTGCCGCATTAAGAAAAGCCAAGAACAGAGCTGGACAAAAATTAATGCATTTTGAAATCTATAATGGCAATACAGGTAATAATTCTGCTCTAAACACAACATAAATTCTGATTGGGCCAGATTGCACAGCATTCATACATAAAACTGAATAGCTTTCCAAAGTCAGAAGTTACAAGTTTACCTATAAACCATATACATATATTTCATTGAGTAGTTAATTTAGTTTAACCAGACGGCCATTTTCAAAAGGTGCTGATTATGCAAAAAACATCCAGAACAATCTAAGGGGCCAAAATTGCGTCAGAAGTAATTTTGTCATTCTTAGTATGTGCGAGTAGGCATTATTGTATTCAAAGTAATTTATACTAAAGGAATTAATATATTAAAAAATATTTTTATCGGTTTTGCTACCGAAATAGATTAAGTTTGTCCTTAATTACTAACAAATAATAATAATTTATTAGCTTCTTTATGAGGTGCACCTTTACCTGATCAATTTAGTAAGAAAGTTCAATATATTGAATATTCAGATTTCCAATTGATCGGTGAAAATGATTGTTTTATGTGTATTCTGCCTGGCTTTAGCTTTCTGCAACCTTTATACCTAACCTTACATAACTTGTTTCTGTTTTAGTTTTCCATGATTTCTATACTGCATTTGGGAGAACAAAGATATTCGTACAAATGAAAAATGAAGGATATGGTTTGAACTGTCATAGAGCTATTAGAGAAATATGTCGAGCTATTGGTATTAAGGACTTGAGGGCTAAAGTTGAGGGATCGAACAATCTACAACATATTGTAAAGGCTTTTTTCATTGGATTGTTACAACAGGTAAGTGACACCTTATTTTTATATTAAAAAAAAGAGACCTACTTTGTGGGATTGAGTATAGGTTATGTGGTTGCATGATGATGAAAAAGAAAAAAGACGCAAATATAATATACTAGTGCTTATCTGGTTACGCATGGAATTTAAATTAAATTACACAATAAGTTAACCTTAAAATTTCATTAAGAAGGTCTATTCAGACGTAAGATAGTAGATAATAAATAGACTGATAAACTTTTACATTTATAATAGTAGTTTAAATAAGTATGTATAATAATACTTTTACAGAGAACGCATCAACAGCTGGCTGAAGAGAAAAAGCTTCATCTAGTAGAGTATAGAGCAGAGAATGAACGTTACCCAAAAGTGGTTGCCAGCCCAAGTGAGGTGAGAACCAAGGAACAGATACCACAAACAGAAACATTAGACTTTAATCAATATGTAATGAATGACAAAGTCATACTAAGGAAAAAGAAATTCCCTCGTTTCTACGAGACTATGCCACATTATGACATTTACCTGAAGAAATATGAAAGGTATAGAAACCACGAGAAAATTCGACTAAATCTCAAAATGGAATATGGTGAAATTAAGAGTTTTCTAACTGATAAGTATCCTGAAGAAAAAACACAAGATGCATAATTGTAATTATTTAGAATAGCGTAGTTGTAAATAAACATTATAGAAATTACACAGTTTTATTCTATATGGCTCTAGGTAGGTTGTTTCTAGTTTTATATTTAATTAGTCTCTTATAATACCTTGGCGTAAAAAATGTCTACCCATGAAAACAAAAGCCACCCTTCTCTTTAGATAGGGTTAAAGAGAAAGTAGTTTTAATTGCGATAATTGTAAGAGGCCCAATTTATGTTGATGAGGCTTAATTATCCATTAAACTTTTTTTTAATATGTGAGTATAGATTGGTGCACCTGCCTGCATTAATTGTTACAATATATGGTTGCTGGTCACCACAGAAAACTGAGAAGGGTATAAAGATAGGTTAAGGTATTGTGGCGAACTCATCAGGGATTACGGGTACAAATTTAAAATTAATTGATTTGACTTATCACTTTAACCGAGACAGGTTTTTATGTAGAATAAAGTAAAACATTGAGTTTGAATGATTTATTAATAGTTATTGATTCAAATATCAAAAAGGACTAATTTTCTTACTCCAGTTCCAGGAAAGACACAAATAATGGAATAGTTTCTTACTAATCTAGTAATATTTGAAAATAAAACACACAGAATAAAATGTATTTCACGTAAACAAAATAACCTTACTGTCAGTTATTATAGAAATAAAACATATAATTACCACAACTCTCTTACTACCTTCAAACAAGTCATTATTTGGTATAATAGAAAAGGAAAAATATATTTCAATAATTTTTACATTCATGTCATGGCACCCGAGTCATACCAAAATTTAAAAATATTTACATCATTATTACAGACTTAATAAGCCACTAAATGCTCTAAAATGCCAGACTGCTATTTAAATTAAGCACCACAGTCTTGTGTTGGAAAGCATTTTAGCCTGCGTGGCGTTACTGTCATCGTATACAATAAAGAAATTAAACTATACAATGCAAGCCTCCATAGAATTTGAGTATTATTGTTGAAGTATAGACAAGTTGTACAGTAGTTTTTATTGCTGGATTTCATGTCTAAAAATATAAAAATGACTTCTATGGCTTTTCATATGAATTCTAAAGTTGGTCATAGGTTTTTATCTTTAGCCTTTAACGACTCTCCACGGTTAGAATTTAAAACTGTATACCTTTATATACTGTTTTAAACTTAACGCGGTCATTATTTATACGTACAATTAGTAAAAATCACGGGTACACGGGTAAACTGTCAGTTTCATCATGGTGGTTGAAACACTGCCGAAATATCGGGAACTCAGCAAATAAATATAAAACGTGGTAAGATCCCGTGATTTTTACTAATTATATGTATACCTTTAGTAATATAATATTTAGGCATATCATTGTAAAATACCAGGTTCTACAATTAATAGGCGACGTTACCATTCTTATTGTAATTGGCTTTCTTCTGACTCTTATTTGTTCATATTTACGATGACAGTAACATGTTCCGTGTAACGTAAGTTGTGATCAACGGTAAAACCCGTACAGACAACATAGTGGCTGTATATAGTAGATATTGTAGCATGCATTGTATTATATATAATAATATGCTTATGTCGTCGTTATGTGTATAAATATATATTCCTTTTAGACCTGAGTGATGTGTTCCCAAACCAGTCAAAAAGAGATTTTCAAACGATTAGGTGATATAGTAATCACACGTATGCCTGGGCGATAGTTTTAGATAACCAAACTGTAATTAATAAAAAATACTCAGGTCTGAAACTGATTAGAATCTACTACGAAGGAGAATATTACCTTAAAACGCAATGAAGTAAACATAAAATATATAAATGTTCGTAATGTGTGAGATAAATAAAAGATAAGAATTTTCATTCTAAGAAAAGAACAACCATGTGCACACGGACTGAAATCGCTGGATCACAACTTACGTGCCAGGAAAAAAACACTATTATAGTGAATACACTAACCGAAAAACATTTTTTACACTATACTATATCACTATTAAATTAGTTACAAACATACAAGTTAATACCAGCATTGAATTATAAAAAATTGACATACAATATTGTAAGTAATATAAATACAAAAATTTGTAATATTTGACATATATAACAAAATAATTTTGTAATTCTTTTGCTAAATATATAATATTATCGCTGTAATGTTTGTAACTTTGTTTCTATAACTATACATCACATATAACCACTGTTCTACGTGGCTTTAAATAATTTTCAATAAAATTTTATATAATATCCATTATGACATTTAGCCGCCCTTTCCAAGAGTGCCTTACACCACATGCTAACTAAACAAGAGGAATATTTTTTTAATTCGACACATAGTTTTTGCGTGGATTGTAACACTTCTTGATGATTAGTGGTAGCTCATTAATAAGATTTATTACGAGATAATTAAGATTCATTTTTGTTCACAACAATAATGGTAAAGCATTCAGATACGAGTATAAAAGTATTTTTTATAAAAGTAATTTATATATTCTATCACTTCTATTAGAACCTTCACCGTTATAGCAAATAGATGATTGAGAGTTCATCGCACATACGCCGTAAAATAACGATAGAAGTTTAGTCGGTTCCATCTTCTGAAACAATAAAAAATAGTAAGTCACAGTGATGAAGCAATAGCAAAAAATAAATAATAAATTAGTAGTAGCGGTTTGCCTCATTTCCGATGGCCGCTAGTTCGATTCCTCGGATAATAAAGTAATAACAGTGGAATTCAGAAGTATGATTATGTGTATTTCTGCGTGTTTTCTATTTATACTATGTATGTATTACAGAAATATTTACATATTTACATCAGTTGCTTAGTATCCATAACACAACCTATGCTTAACTTGGGACTAAATGGCAGTGTTGGAATTGTTCCGGACTATGAATATATTATATCGCAAAATAAAAATAATTTAATTCATTATTTATTAGGGCTCAGGTTGAGACTTTGGGTTTTAGCCCCTTTATAGGAAATTAAAAGAAAAATAGAAATGATTTAGGATTAGCGTTGCGAGCACCTCGCTAACTCTGTGTAGAGTACACCAATAAAGAAGCGATCATTCTGTGAAGCGTGTACGACTAAAGAAGAAGAGAATTTAGGGTATTAGGACAACATACAATTAACTTAATTTAGAAACAATTACGACTAAAAAGAGAATTTAGCGTATTGGGACAACATATATGTAATTAACCTAACCTAGGCACTAGTGGTACATTAAAGTTTGTATTAGTGGGGTACCTCGTGCGCGTGGGGGGCGGCGCCACTTGTCGGCGAGGTCTCTGCGCTGGTGCGGCGCGAGGTGGGCGCGCACGCCGCCCAGCACGTCAGCCGCGCCCGCGGCCGCCAGCGCGAGCGGCGCCACCGCGCAGCCCGGCAGGTGCCGCAGCACGCCCGCGCCCGACGAGCTGCGCGCCGCCAGAGCCATCGTCTCCGCCGTCTCCGCGAACCCCTACCGCACCGCGCAACGAACACACACAACAACCTGATGAGTAACTAAATAAGAGTAAGCCGTGCGAATGGGGTAGGAAATATATAGATAGGGAAGGATATCAGAGGTACAGAAAGGACTAGCGCTTCTATTCCTTCCTGATATAGTTTACTATTTAAGAGTTAGTCCGAGCGGTACTAACTCTTATTTAGTTACTCAATCAACTATATATTTATTATTTTGACTCCAATGAACTCGTGCTACTTGATGCGTTTGTATTTCATCAATAAATCACATATTCATACAATAAAGGCACGCGCAATTGCGTATGAATGAGTGAAACAAAAAAAAACCGTCAGCATAATTGCCTGCATGGGCTTTCTTGCCCTAGCCGTATCCTTTGCAATCTATCAAAATAAACATTATGTCATTTCAGTATTCATTTTGTTCTAACTGAATGTTTTGAATATTGAAATACATATAATTTTAATTCAATGAGATGGGAGAACTCCCATTTTGGTTCCAAAGTACTTTTTAAAAGATTAAGTCAGCTTCTATGAAAATATAATGACTGAATTTAAATTACCTCCTTGACAGTCTGATAAGCGGTTGCAACGCCTTCCCGTATATCGGCTGGGTGTCGTGATGGATCCTGTTGCCTACGTCGGCGCCGTTGACGACGGTTATATGCGTCTTGTAGTTGCAGAGTAGGGCCCGGCGTTAACATATCGAAAGCAGTCTCTGCTGTAGCCTGTTTAAAAAAAAGTAAACGTATTAGACAACGTCATCTGTAGTCTATTTGGGATCTCAGAGACAATCAATTGACATTACTCATGTTGCCAGCATTTTGCAATTCTTATATAGCGTTGTTGCACTATCGAAATCTTCTCAACCTTCCCTCACGCCCTGCGTTAGAAATTAGCTAATACTCCCACTCTGAGGTTGAGCCCTCGCATTAATGTGGGGGCACGGCGCGATAAGGAACCTAGTAGCTTAAGTAGTTAATATGTGAGTGCCATACTAGGTCGACTAAAATAAAAAATAAATTAAAATAATACCTCAAGTATGGTACTACCACTTAAGATAGGATAAGTTAATTGTAATATATATATATTTTTTAGGTTATATTTTAGAATTTACGTTAGTTTTAGAATTCCGCTCCAAGTGGCTGGCAACTCAGTTACCCGTGGGTTGTTGCCTCGACAGTCAATGCCAGAGGCCCTAACCTTCACCCCCTAGGCGGGCGCAGAAGACCAATGTCACTTATTTACCGAATTTTATAATTATTCAGCCATAACTCGTGGGTATTTATTTAAAACGCTATTCAGAATGTATGAGGTGCAGCAGGTACGTGTATGTACCGCAGCAGGTACTTATATGTACCGCAGCAGGTACTTATATGTACTGCCGTAGGTACCTGTATGAGCTGCAGCAGGCGCGTGGTGATGTCGAGAGCGGCGACCGCAGTCCGCGCCGTGAAGGAGGCCGCGCCGCGTCGCAGGCCGTGCACGAGGCGCCCGTCGCGCCTCCACTGCTCCACCGGCAGCCACACCAGGTCGCGGATGCCAGTCACTGTTCCCGTATAAATGTCCATACTTTAATATTTACGTCGCTTCAGTATACGACGTCCCGACTTCACACGAGCGGGTGTACAATAAAAGTAATTAATTTTTAATTTCACTGTTACGATATCTGAGGCTATTAAAATTATGTGTGTATATAAAATAGAATATAAAAAAAGAAAGGAAAGGAAAAAGAAACATAGATACGATTTTGGTTTGTGATTTTTTCTAATATATTTATGTCAGTTTTATTTTCAACATAAAACCAGCAGTTTTTCTACCTACAATACACAGACATTTTTTGATAGATCTAGGTCGCTAAATCCAACAAGAATGCAGTTGTGCTTAGCGACCTATGGACAACATTCTGCGACAAAAATGCGTCAGGTACCAGCAATTTATTCTATCTATATAAAGCCGATAAATATATTAATAAATAAATAAGCATTATTTCGTGGCCTTAATAGGAATGGATTTCGAGCATCATGTTGTCAGCCTGTACTCACATAGTTGTAGTAGCGAGTGCATAGGTCCGATCCCGCTGAGCAGACCGGGTAACTGGTGAGCCTTGATATCCGTCAGCCATTCATGTAATGCCCACTGGACTAACTTCTCCAGGCCCAGTAGTCCAAGCCTGCATTAATTTAGAACACACAGATGAAAACTGTGGCTACTTTTATGGGAATTTCGAATAGTAGCAATAGGTGACTTATTCTCCTATAATATCTAAATAGTTCTAAATTGGTTTAATACTAATCTTCAAATATCAATTAAGTCTCGTATTATAAATCATTGCTTTATTAACAGATAAAAAATTATACATATATAATCTGAAACAGTGCCGTCATTCCGTTGTTATGTCATTGACATTGTGAATATTGTATATATGACGTGTATATTGAATAAAAATGCATTTCCAGTATTTGTCATAACCAATATCTATTCATAATTTAAAAGGTTAATTATTTCAGATGGACACTGGTTGAAAAATATCATTCGTTTTTTGTATATACAAATACCTGTAGTCGAGCCTTTTGAGTGTGAGTTCTGAGCAGTTAAGTTGCCCAAGTCCCATAAGCAAGCCGGCGACTGGCCCGGCCGACAGGTCCACTCGCTTGCCCACATAATCCAATCGCACTGGTACCTCAGGTGAAAACACCACCCGTCTGTCAATAAATTGGGAGCTCATAAACAATATTATAACGATAAATATCACGTTTATATAATATTTCTCATTTATTAATTGTAATAGTAAATAATGGTCAAAAAAGTTTAAAACAATATTTAATTAGCCAAAGTTATATAAAATCCTTACCAAGATTCAAGATTCTTTATTTTCAAAACATGCGTGATTACATAAGGAGATGATATACATATAGTAGGTAGGTAGGTAGGTATCTATATAAAACTAATAAAACATTTCGTCAAATTTATCATCCAAAAAATTCGATATATAATATTATATATATTCGATAGATAATAATATTTGTCAATCAACAACCTCTTTAATTTAAGATCCAGTAAATTCATTGAAGAATGTGATTTATACATAAATTCCTTTTAGGAGTGAGAACATTTTTTGATGAAGAAAAACTCGCGTCAACGTTATGTTTTGAAAGCAATAAGAAAGTATCTTTCACTTTTAGAATACGACAGACAAATTGTTTAATGGTTAACGTTATTTATTGAATTTAATTTAACATTAAGATGCCAAATACCTTCCAATTAATTTAAAACTGTAATTAAATTCACCAAGCACAGAGTATTGCACAAATTCACATAGTTTATAGCACAGTTCACAGTATTTACATTATGTACCTCCTTACATAAGATAAAACAATCGTACCTGAAATATATTGGTGAGTCATCAACCGGCTCTGTGTCAACGGGCAGTTTGGGTACGGGCTTTTCTTGACTGATGCCGAGGCGGTGGAAATCTTCTTCGAGTTGAATTAGATTGTCGGCGACCAGTCGCTCCGCTTCGTACGTCTCCATTAACGGTTCTTCATTGCGTATCACTATAAAATTAATAGTTCTATTCATTTATATATAACTAGCTGATCCCGCGACATAGTCCGCGTGGAATTATATTTTATTTTTCTAAAATAAAAGTAGCCTAAGTTACTCCTTATTACATCAGCTACCTGCCAAAAAAAGTCCCGTCAAAATCGGCCCAGAAATTTCAGAGATTAGTTGCAACAAACAGATCGACAGACAGACAGACAGACAAAAATAGTAAAAAATATTATTTTGGTGTATGTACCGTATTTATAGTCATATGCATGTAGTTTATTATATATTACGGTTATTTCAATATTACAAACAGACACTCCAATTTTCGGAATTCGGATTCGGAATTTACGAAAGTTGAGTCTTTAGACTACCGTGGCCGCAGTTTATTGTTGTAGATACAATTCCAATTACGTTTTGCAGAGTAACTTTCATTTTTATAAAAACATAACACGTATAATAAGCATATTATAGCTGTTGACCTGTGTTGTCCTTAATTCTAGGGTTATTTTTTTATTTAAGACAGAAAAAATACTAACGCTTATTGTTACAATGGGGTATTGTATATTTTTTAATATGAGAGCACACTTAATAATACCGCAATTCAGACAACTTCTTCTAATTCCATGGTAAGCTTATTTTATGGGTATTAGACAACTGATATAAATACTTAGATTTAAAAAAAAAAATACGTATATAATATACATAGTAAACACCCAGACCGATACAAACAATCATACTCATGAATACACATGTTTGTATCGTGCGAGGAATTGAACCGACAACCACTGTAAAGCAGTGTACTAAACCGCTAGACCACCGAGCAGTCCGTAATGGCATAGGAAGAGAGTAAAGGACTGAAGTTCACGGTGTCTGCTATAGGCTTGCTGTAAACTAGTGAATGTAGTAATCCATGAGTGACCAACCAGCTTCATTGAGGGAGAGTGAATCCGCGTCGCCGAGCGAGGTGGGCGTGGGCGGCGGGTCCCGCAGGTGGCTGGCGATGCTCATCACGGGCGGTCGGTGTGTGGGCGTCGTCTGCCGCGAGCCCTCCGCTACCGTCGCAGACAGTACGCCGCCAATATCCTCATCTGGATGAGAACACGCTCTAATGTTATAATACAACATACAATGAGATAAATTTAAAGAATGGTTGGTCTATTTCCATTCTTTTACCTATCAGCAAGTTATATAGCTCGTATTCCACATGGATAGGAGTGGGGGGGCGGAATGGGATAAATTCCTGGTGAATTCAACACGATGGGTTAACTGACCTGACCTCATGGTCATTTTATCAGCCTCCGCTGGTGCCGCGTCAGCGTAAGCCGTTATAGCGTAGACGGGTGCACTATTCCATAATCATCCATTATGAAATATATATATTCTGTACATATAAACAAGGTCGCCTCTGCTGAGATTGTATGTATATTTGCGATAATCTGAAAAAGTACTGAACGGATTTTCATACAGTTTTCTCCGTCAACCGAGTAATTTTCTTGAAGTTTCATATAAATTAATTGGAACACTATCGCGAAGCCGGCACTGGTTGCTTGTATAATATAAATAATATAACAGACAGAAAAAAACATCTTCAAAAGTAAGTGATTGCTGTAATCGTTTGATCTAGACTTTAAAAAAAAACTTATATAACGAGTTTGTTATTAATATTAAAATACTGTTTTATAAGATACCCACTTACCACCGGATTCGTCGGTGCCTAATTTAGAGAAGTACCCAACCAGAAAAGCTAGCGTATCTTGATCTAGGTTAAACCTGAGCGGCAACAGCGACACCTTGAGACAGCACTCCTGCGCAGACAGGGCCGGCTCCGGTCGGAGATGTACCGCTTTTACTATTAACTGCGGATACAATTAATTAATATTAATATCCTTCCATTATAACGTACAATGTACGACGGGGTTCTTATTTAGCGACTTGCGCTAGAGTGGAAAGATGGAGCCCGAGCTACTGCGGTTACTGTCCCAAACTAAGTAACAGCAACTCTCAATTGCAAGTCCTGTACAATGTAGATCTGTAAATCCAAGGTTGAATATAGAAAGACATTTGATATACTTTAAAAGAAATTGTTGTTGAGCCAACAATTTCTTTTAAAGTATATCAAATGTATCTAAGGCACTCAAAAACTAAATTACTTCTTATAATATTATTAAGGTGTAATGAATATACATACCATATGTGCATTTTTCCTCTCCGGTTCATCCTTTAGTTTGTATTGACTGAGCAGTTTGTTGATATGGCTGCACTCGAGTCTGTCCAGTATTTCTATTTTGCTAATGGCCAGTGTCTGCCGCGACGCGTGGATACCTCCCGTTGGATATATCTCGTGTTGGAACTTCACCTAGTAAATTTTATTTAAGTCGTACAGTACTCAATACTTCATTGATATTTTGGTTGTAAAGCATTAATTAATATAGAAAAATATTGAAATAGATTATTACGTAAATAATTACTTTATTGCTAAGAAGTCTATCTATATCCGTAATTATTTTTTATTACGTACAAATAGTTTAACATGCAGTATGCGTTTAAAATTTACGTTAAAAACTAATCCTACTTTGTCAAAGTGACATCACTGGTAATTCGTAACTATTTTAAAACTACCTTTGTTGATAATAATTGTGACAGGGTACTACAGTATTTAAACAAATATTAATAGAGTCGATTTTACCTTGGTGAGGCATAATTTGACACACGTAGAGAGGTCTCGGCCTGGTCCCCCACGCGTCTTCAGCTCTGTTCGGTTGGATCGCGCTGTCCGAACATGTGTTCGAACACGCTCGGTGCCCGTCGTCCAACTTATGCCTGTCGTGTTGGCCGCTGCACTTGATGTCCGTATACTGTCGTACGGCTCGTATTCTTTGTTGCGCCTATGCAAAATTAATGTTTTACCTATTGTACTGACCATTTTTACGAAACATCGCTGTTTAATCGAAATACATCGACGGTTCTAAATCATGTTAAATATCAACATCATCACATGTATCGATGCTAATACTCGAATAATAGATAAAAAACAAAAACAAAAAATTGAATAGATGCAAAAAGCATTGGTTATACAAAACGCAAAATCATACGAGTAGGACTTGAACATCAAAAAAACATCATTCCGATTTCATACGCATAATGATATGAAATCAGATAGGCTAAGGGGAAACATAGATGTTTGCCGGCATCTATGTTTATCATATATCAATGCTCATATGTCGATAAAAATTTTTTTTGCCACGCACAACCACACCGTAGAATCACCTTACAGCAATGGTATTTCAGAAACTATATAAGATAGGCAACGCACTTGTGCAATTATCCTGATGTTGCAGGTGTTCATAGGTGGCGGTAATCACTTACTATCAGGTGAGTTATGTGTGCCCTATGCTTTAAAAAAACCTATTGCTTTTTCTAATATAAATCATGCCTTCATTCTACACACGACAGCTACAAATCAACCGTTACATCAGAAGTTACCCAACTTACTTGACTGCTAAAGGTGACGTTTGTTTACGAGGATCAACCTCTATGGTCACTGTTTTCTTGTTTGAAGCCGGCTCGTTAGCCGACCGGAAGTCGTTCCCACCAAACATGTGCCACGTCACACTCATTTCGCACAAGCTGTATCTGTTCGTGGGATTATGTTTATTTATTAGATATTCAACTATATCTTATATATAACAAAAATTATGTGTGAACATTTAAAATAAAATCAATTAAATCAACAAATAACACTATTAGAGGTTACGAAAATATATAAACAAAACCATAAACAATAAAATGTATGCAGTATACACTTTTTTTTATACACTATGATATTTATATAATATAAAATGACAATTCTATTAAAAGTTTAAAAAAATCTGTCAATTATTGTTCAATATGTGTATTGATGTATATTACTACATAACCTACGTACTAACATTCATAGACAAAGAGAAAATAGATCGTTTTGGTCTATCTTGAATTTTTATTCTTCAAATACATACCGTGCAAATTTTAACATACCTATAAGTCGGAGGCGGGAAACTTTTGGGTGCCTTCAGTACATCAGTCCTCGCAGCCGGTACGGAGAAATGGTTATCGAACATGTGTGCCGGTCCATTTCCGAGCCAGTGTACGACGGGCTCAGCTAAGTCATTATCCTGCGCCGCTTGCGCTTCCACTATGCAGTACTCATCGTCCGTGTTGCTACCATCGCCGCCAGATTTAACCTGAGTTAAGATTATCTATATTAAAATCTATAAATTTTAAATGGAGAGCAATAGGACAAAGAGTTATTAGTTTGACCGTACACATGTTGCATCTAAATATCTAAGTATCGCGTAACGACGAGGTATCTTCACCTACATTAAATGTTTTTGTTTGTAATCAATGTGGTTTACGAGAGTTCAACACCAGGGGGAGGGGGTCTGAACGTAAATTTGTTACAAATGTTGTTATAGTTGTAAGTAAATAAGCTTGTTGATAAATATGTATTTCTTTTATCTATATCTTCACGCCAGATTTTCAACGGAGTGGGCAGATAAAACTTTTATTTGCCTACCCTGGTAGTCTGAAATTGGCGAGGTTACTATGATCATGACAGGATAATCGATAATCATCCGTAAAGATGACTAAATGATAATCAATTTTATTGTACGCTTTTTGACATATATCATATTTTAGATAAAAAAATAAGTTTCCTGTATGATTTTATCGATATATGAGCACATATATTTAAATAACCAGACTATTAAATAGGTAAATAAAGTTATTTCGTTCTCTCATCTTTTCGACTAGTTTGCACTAGCTGTGGTGGCGTTATTCGTGTTAAAACCCTTTTGACTATATTAATAATGACTAAACTAAACGCGAAAGTTTAAAAATAAGTATCAAATAGTTATCTGTATGAATGTCATTTGTAGTGACAATTGCAAGCTTCGACGTTTTATTTTATCTTTGTTACATCCACCCATTTTAAACAGTATCCAGTCCTATGTTAAGAGATCAATTATAAGTACCTTTTTCCGTTTTGGTTTCTTTGGCGTCGCTTTAGGTGTGGAAGTGGGATCGCCCAGTTCATTCGCAACTTGAACGTTTGTCGGCTTCATGTCTAGTTCATCTTGCGTTCCGCTGTGGAAGTCTTCATACTCTATTGATTTAGATTCTGAGTCTATATCTGTGAGTTCTATTTGCTTTTGTCTCATGTTTGACTCATCAGGGAAGAAGAATATTTCAACACCCTCTTTTTCCGTAGAACTATTCAGTTCGTCTTCATCAACTGGAAGGAAATATGATTTCCTATTTATATTCACAAGTAAAATGGGCTTAATTTATTTAAAAGATTAGTAAAAGCTACCTCTTATACTAATATTTCAAATACAATATTATGTAGTGTTTAAAAGTAATTATTATTAGTTACCAATAACATATGTTAGAGGTTGTCAATAAAATTATTTATTTCTTTTTCAAATATAAACGAAAGAAGTGTGTCGTGGGTAACCACCCACGACTTCTGCTTTTTGAGATAAAAGATAGCCTATGTCCGCCCTCGTTACACAATATATTTGTATATTTATTCATGAAAATGTAACAAACCAACAGACAAATAGACACACTTTCGTATGTATAAATAGTACGAACACACAAAGTGGTAAATCAATATTTAAACACGAGACTGGTTGTTCAATATAGTTAAAAGTGACATTCTGCCAGAGAAAAGTAGAATCTCACTTTTCTCAATTTTTATTAAGTATCCACTGTTAGTTAAGTAAATGTAAATTAAAAATATACTTACGTGTCGTATTGGGACTTTCTTTCAGCGCTTCGGCCATTAGATCGTTGACTTGCTGAATTTCATTGGGCGACAGTTCTCTTATTTCCTCTATGGGACGGTTTTCTAAACCTATAAATAGAATAGCATGTTGTATGACCAATAAAAATTTATGTACATTTAGTTAGTGAGTGGCAAATATCTTTTTATTATTATTAAAGTTAAAAAAAAGTGTTATCTTTACGATTATAATTGTATGTCTCAGTATATAATTCATAGAATGAACAACTAACGTCAGGACTAATTCACCAGCACTTACAACAGTAAAATAGTAAACATTTTGAAAAATAAGAATGGAAATCATTTGATTCTGTAAAGGCGGCGGTGGCGGGAATCTGGTAGCAATATATCCTAACACAATTCGTACCATAACCGCATAAAAATATAAGACTTCGTACTTTTGTTAAAGTTACATAGTTTTTTGGTAACTTTATTAATGTAGTAGTTATTGAAGTATGACTGTATACATAATAGATCGAATTTTCGTGAAAGCACAAATTGGAACAAATTTATGTATACTAAATAATTAAATACTTAAACTGTAAATAACTCTTAAAACAAATACAACTAGTGCATCATATCAAGACTGTAAGATTACGTTGCGTATTTTTACTAGTGTCTACGTACCGACTAGCTGCTCGATTGGCTGGTCCGAGCATATGCTGGTATGACGCGAGGAAGGATCGAACGGCGGTTGCGAGTCACCGTCGGCGGCGGCGTATGTCAGAAGTCGGCACAGCGCCGACGCGGAGTCCCAGCATGTATACAGGCTCACCATATTGTTAGATGCGCTTAGATCCACTTGCGGTTGCTCACTTCCCTGTAAAACCAACAAACAATATGATACAAGGCAACTACCTGTTACGATCTATCAATACTTTCAATCATTAGAAAGTTTGCTCAACGAAAATTTTCATAGACATCATTTCATGACATCTTTGTGAATCATCTATGGTTGTTAAAAAAATATGTTCCATTGTTTTGAGTAAAGTAAAGTATCAGTAATTACGATTGGGTCGAATCATGACATATTTAAAATAGTGATGCGTCTTTGTAAAAGGCAAACACATTTTTAATTATTTGTAGGAACTTGTTTTAGTTACTTAAATCATCTATCATCATCACTTAAATTAATAGTTGGGAATATAAATATAAAATACGTTTAACAAGGTAAGAAATAAGGAATAGTAATCTCATTATCTACACTAATAACAATGTACACAAGTGTGTGAGCGAGACAGTTAATATCCAATGTTTTATACCAGTAACAAATATATGAACACAAAATATTCCATATAAAATATAGGACTCACAGAATTGGTTTTATCATCCTTCCTTAAGGACAACTCGAATAAACCGACATCAATAACACAAACGTAATCTTTCATCACGTCGGGTAGTTTGTCGTCGTCTTGCGGCACCGCTACGTGGGGCTTCGTTCCGTGCAGATGCATCAAGAACAATGTACACTCTTGAGCGAGGAACCGGAGACATGACGTGTTTGTTTCAGCGATTAGGTTGCTAGATATAGCGAAGTTGCCGAGAGTAAGAACTGTCCTTATCGGCAGGTAGAGAGGTCTGTAAAATAAATAAAACGTTAAAATTATTGACTTGGCTTGAGTCTTCTCCTTCGCCAAAGGACACTTAGTACAAAGTCTTCCGAATGGCTATCTCTGTTTCATCTATTTATATTGTCAACAGAGATCTGAAGAGTGAGATACGAAAGACAGAGAGAGATAGTATCACTTTTTCACGGCTGTCACATATGAACGTGATGTCTTTGTAGTTGTTTACGTATATAGGCGACGGGTATAAGTATATACGTAATACATATATACGTAATACGTATACGTATATAGCGACAAAACATGTTAGCACTCAAGCATATAAATAATGGTTACACTTTCAATATGTATGTCATTCTAGTTTATTAAACTTAAGGGGGTCTTCCTATGTGACGGCCTGTTTTTTAGGGATATTTTAGGATTTTTTTTCTACGACCAGTAAATATTTAGAGCTTCAAGTTTTTTATCATTTATTAACACATATTTGGACAGTATAAATATAAAATTTCAGCTAAAAATATTCAGTCAAACTAGAGTTACAGCGCTCTGAACACCCCCGCCTCGAAAAAAAGAGCTCCCACTTCCTCCACGATTCCGGCTGATCGGCTTATCTGAAAAAAAAAAAAAAACGGCGTAAAACGCCGTTTTTTATTTGTAGGCTTAAAAGCACGGAATGACCTATAATCAAATGAATATAAAAAAAATTGGATTTTTGATAGACATTTGAAATAAAAGTTGCAAATTAGGCGTTTTTTTTTTGTTTTTTGCTATAAAAAAATCGAAGTTTTGAAAATTTTCGATTGATAATAGTTCATTCCATGCGTTTACATATATTGAGTGTGCCCTGTAAATTTCAAGTAATTCGGTCCAGCCGTTTCTGAGATACAATGGAGGAAAGTTTGAAAAACACAGTTTTGAGAAAAACGCGTTTAAAGTTTCAAGTCCGTTAAAAACTATTAAAATATCAACTTACTCTCAATCGGCGATGCCTGGTCCATAGAGTATCCTTCCTCTTCCTCGTGAAACTCTTTTAAAGCAGATTGTTCAGCTCTTGAGTCAATCCTGGCTTGTTTAACGACATCACTTACGCGCCGCTCAGAGCGTAAGATTCGCTTTTCATCCCGTTTCTCAACATACGCTTGGGCTTCACGACCAACAGGGCATCCCATAATCGACATAACTTTTAAAATACCTTGAAAACCTTCATTAAAGATAATAACTGCTAAGTAGCTAGCAATTTCAACAACTTTGGGACCAGAATGAAGATAATTTTAAAGCCTAGGCCTCGGAAACTTGATCGCGAAATAGACACGTCACTTTTACAAGTTTTACATATAACTATTTCAGAGATTGCAGCAAATACAGAAACAAACTCCAAAATGCAATATGCGAAATTCGAAGCGATGGGAACATTCATGTTCATGTTATTTTTAAGTTTTTTGGCCGAAGCTGATGTAAATACCGTATCATTTTGGTGGGTAAAACGGTTTCCACTAAACTTTCTTTTTTTACTACGACCAGGATGAACATTTCCACTCGTACTTCCTTTCCGTCCACTCATTATGAAAAAAAATAATTTGTAGCTGTTGCTCTCTTCGAAGTTCAACCAAGACTAAAATAACTTCGGTAAAATATTATAACAATAGAAATTTCTGTTTAAGTCTGTAGAAACGTGTCTAAACTTGTATAAACAAATATATTAATAAAAGGGAGGCCAGGTATAAAGCCGACGGTACACAATAGGCCCGGTCTCTAACTGCCAACTCACCGCTCCGAACCGCTCTTTCTTTTACCTGCTGTATCTTTAAAACGACTTCGAATTTTCTAAAATCGCTTTACTACCGTATTCTAGACATGTTAAGGGAGCAATTTATGAAAAAAAAAATCGATTTTTTCAACCCATCACATAGGAAGACCCCCTTAATAGATAAGTTACCTGTAGTCGACAGCGCAGTCCCACACGTGTACATGTAGTTCCGACAATACTATAGAGGGAGTGTATCCAGGAACAGGGTAGTCAAGCACATCTATTACGTCCATCAGTTGTGTCAACCACGCAATACTCTTGTCACCTCTGTGCCTCAACGTCGCTTGCTCTATGCCCAGCGCTATACAGATCGTCTGAAGTAAGAAACAGAAAAAAGCATTGTGCATGAGTTATGTAGGGTTTTCATGATTCATGATTCATATCTATATATGATTCATGATTCATATCTATATATATATGATATCGATTCTATACCTTTGGACAATTATTATAATAATATTAGCATACTTTACCTTCAAGTTTGGCGTTTCGGAGTCAGGGTCCACTTTAAGGGCTAGTGAGAACATATCCTTTGTTTTTATATTTTCCTTCACAATCACACCTTTTCCCGATGGGTAAATGGTAGTTTTTAAATGTAACGGCAATGTGGCTCCATACAATCGTAGGCCTGGCTTCTCAGATGGGATGGTTAGCAATGCTGCAAGCAATATACACTGTATTAACAGTTTTTAGGTATCAAGGTTAGTAAATGATTTATCTATTTATTACTCCATAAATATAACATTAAAAATATATACTTTATAAAATAAAACCTATATTTTTTTAATGTTTTATTTATTGATATACAGTATATTCAGCTACATGTTTATTTCAGTATAGTAAATTGATATTATTAATTCTTTTTGTTCAAATACGTATAAATAAGCTGCTTGGCGGCTGAAATAGGTGAGACCCAGAGACCGACGCACATAACTTTTTACAAAATTAGACTACAATCAATACATTGTTAATTACACTTACATTCGTGATACAGAGTTGTTTTGCCGGCACGTAGGCACATTTGGGCAGTTTTTGGTCGCCCATAGAGACCACTCACATGGCACATATTCAATTTGTGTGCTTCCAACACCAGTTCGCCCATCTGACCTGGCACTACACGTTTATTGCTGTCCTGCGTAACCATTAAAGACTTTATAGAAACAACATAATTCAATTTAATGGATACAACTAAAAATATATAATATTAATTTATTCAGATCATTATACACAAAAATGTGGCATAATATTACTTATATTATGCCACATTTTTGTGTATGAAGACGATTCGATAGTTATTAAAATATTTATTTTATTTTATTACTTAAGCAGTTTGCTGTGATAAAAAAATGTCAATTTTAGACTGCAATATATTTTGAGAATTAACCATAAAATGCTTTCTCGCAGTTCTTTGTGACATAGTTGCGATAAAAATGCTATTATTACGTATGATCAATTGTTGAAAAACTATATAATGGTTGTATACAGTGGTTATGGGTACATGTACATAACATGTCCTTCATACGGGCTATTATAGCCCGTATGAAGGACATGTTATAAGGACACCAGTAGGTCTACCACGAAGTGCAATTCCGAAATTTAGGATCGATATTTCGTGTGATTCGTACCATGAAAAACGTTCATTCCGAAATCGTGCCCGAAAACGGAGAATATCGTTTCGATCGTCCCACAGATATTTTTGTAATATTGGGACTTATGTAAAGAACATATCATAAATACATAATATAATAATAATATTCTTATAACCTGCTTGTTAAGTCATATGTAATTACTATCGGAAATATATATTTGCAATGTATTTGTTATAAGTATCAAATAAAAACATATTTATTACATTATAAATATTTATTATATTATATAAACTTATTTTGTAATAAACATTAATTTAATAAAGTATTAAAACGAACTTACCCGCACGGGGGCATATATAGTGAGTAGTCCACTGCCGATTTTTAGAGAAAAACAGAAGTTATGTGTGTCTTTCTCATGCACAATTTTTGGTGTACCAATTCCTTTCTTTAATTTATTATCATATGTTGAATAGTAGAGATTATCTTCTTCTGATGACGTGCTGTCTGTGTCTGAATCTATGTAAATGTTATTAATTTTAATACTGCATTCAATGATATATTTAAAAAAAATCCCAGGTAAATAAACAGAACTTCAATTTTTATATTAGAGTTTTACAATAAAAATCCTACATTGAAAGAGCTGTTTGTATATTACTTCTAAAGACGAGCCAACCAATCAAGCGTCATTGCCTTATGATATATTACCTCAACTTACTTCCAATGTTCAATGTGCATGACACAAAAAAAAACTTTGTGCCAATATACATTTTTTACTGTCTCCAGTGAATGAAATACCGAAAACAAGTCATAAATTAATCCGATAGAAGGCGGTAGATTCGCTGCTGTGTTCGATTCAAATATACCCAGCAAAATGTGGGTTGTTGTTGCGTTCATCGCGACATCGACAATTATAAATAAATGGCTCTCACTACCCAATCTGGCATAGGAGTTATGACGGTAAACTATTAGTTTTGTAACCCAAAAAAGTTATATATTCTTACCGTAACCAGAGTTTTTACAAGCGCCAAAGGCAGGATATATGGATGCGCACATGAGTGGGCTGATTTCGTACGGATCGTAACTCTGCGGCTCCCACAAGAGCAAGTCCGAATTGATACGGTTGTATATGATTTCGTATATTTGTTTTGATCTGTGGAATTATAATAACCAAAATTATTTGTTTTCCTGAAGAAAAGTCCCTGTTTTCTTCGTCCTTAAAATGTAGCATTAATCAATTACAAATTTGGAAACTACGCGTGTTTTTAAAAATTAACTTATTGTGGGTAAACCGGCAATGAATATATAGAGAGTTTTTTTTAATTAAAACCAGGAAACACTTGTTTTTAGTAAAGCTTGAAAAGTCTATTAGTCGCGATATCCAAGTAGTTACACATCCATTTACTTCCTGTTATCGCGGGTTTGATTCATCGCATGATCCAGGCATTTGTATTCCTGAGTATGATTTTTTGTATTGGTCTGGGCGGTGGTGTTTCTACGTCGACTAATATTGATGTGTTTGTGTGTGTTTTTCATATGTTTTCGGATTTTCTAGAGTACTGGGGCACAAGATGCCGGCTTATGAAGTGACTTGGCCAAAAAAGGCATTATACGAGCAACCGGCGAACGGAACGGACAGAACAGCATAAGTTCTGAGCAGGTTTCTAATACATATGTTATTATATTTGAAACTACTGGTTGAATTTTTCTTAAAATACTATTATAATTAGGGAAAATAATTCTTACTCGAGTTGCAAGCTTAGTACAGGCAAATTGAATTCTAAATGTATTGATGAATTCTCTATGGCGCTGGTAGTGAACTCGGCCATTTCTTCGTCGGTGCCGGGTACTATTAATTCTTCTTCACGACCTGTAATGAATGTTTTCATAATTAAATAGCTGTTATTATTAACAGGTGCCCGCAACTGTCCACGCGTATGCATTTGTAGATGGCTATTAATGATAATCAAACGACAATAATGAATAAAGATATACGAGGTTATCTATAATAGTTCCTCCTACCATTTTTATGTAAATCCTTCCACCACAATCAGGCAGATTTCGCTTCGTCATTATTTAGTATCACAGAAACATTTAATTACCTTCAAACAGTGATGTAACTATGAAAAAAGAACAGCTAACGATAGGGGTTTCATATTTTAACTTAAGCTAATAACATAAATGATCAAATAGCTAATCAGAGTCACAAACCCATAGACTATAATTATAGATTACCAATCTCAACGTCTGTCTGGCTATTTGATTTATGTTCAGTCAGATTTTTGCGCAATAGACTCAAAATAAACAGACATAGCTGTGTGCATACAGTTCCCTTTGCCTTTATTACTGACTAAGCAGAACTTGTACCTTGCGTGTTATCACTCTCGTGTTTTGTGAAGCTTTGATGCGCCATTTTCTTCCCGCTGAACGGACTTGGCTGTGCACTATGTAAATTGTGCATTATGTACATAGATGTGGTCATTGGGTTGGCAGTCGCCGGTTCAAAATGTGTGTCATCATCAAATGGACCTTTGTTAGTTTTGGTGGGTTTGAATGTTATAGATATTCTGAAAGATAATAATAATATTGAATGCTTTAAAAATACACTAATAATACATAGAGACTAATATAGGCTGCATTTTTTAAATTAGAGGTCCCTAGAATTATTGCTCCCAAGTGAAACTGAAACTGATCGGTATTGACAACTAAATAACAATGGACATAACATATAGTGTTATATAGTTTCAAGCTAAGTAAAGCTGTATAATTACTTACTAGAGAAGTGAAAGATCTTATACAAAAATATAAAAAAAATAATACGGTATAGAATGAAATCATACAAAAAAATGTATTAAAACGTAGAAAAACTTAACGCAAGAAGGTACATAACATAAGACGAGAATACAGTATATTCCTAAATAAAAAAGTAGCTTACGTCGGTAACATGGTTGTAGTGTTGCCGCTCAAAATATTGCCTTCAGAGGAATCGCTCATTGTTGTACGAGCTATATGAGTAGCTGGTAAACTGTCGTTTTCCTGAAATAAAAAGATTTTTTATGCCGTATTCAAATTTACCTGATGGTATATGACAATCGTCGCCTATGCATAAACAACTCTACGTACATTACCCCATCATGTACCCTCATGTAGCAGTTGATGGTGACTAGCAGGGTAGATGCCGTTCTAGAGAGCGTAGTCCCACAAGATAGTCTGACGAAATTCGCTAATTGATAGACACCATGTTGCATGATGCCCTCCATAACGAAAAGACCGACATAAATGAAGGGTGTAAATAGAGAGAAATTAATACTTCGGGGCTGTTACGCTCTTCAGGAATGAGAAAAATGAATTGAAGAGGAGTACTCCTCATGCGTTAATTTCCGGAAGAATAAGATGTCATGCTTCGTAACTCATATACTCACTGCAATATTGCGTTCCCAACATCGTGTAACTGAAGCTTTATGCAAGTGTGAATTTAAGCAAATAAAATTCTTATGCATCTATGGAAATTAATGAAAACTCACGTTGTAGTATAAGTCTAGCGTGGTAGCTTTTAGGGTGACGGTGGTTGGCAGAGGGCGGACGCTAGGTGACATTTGAGAACCTACTGTTACATTTTGGAATTTAAACATGAGGTAATCACTTCTCACACGACGCATTTCTCGGTTTACACTTGGCCGAAGGTCTGCTATAGGAAACCTGTTAAACAGAACAATATATGAAAAATATGATATGAATTCATTCTTTCATGATATATTGAAATCATAAAAGTAGTTTTAAATATAAAATATCGGTATATTTATATTTGTGTTTATGATATAATCTATACATATAAATAAAATTAGAGTGTCTGTAATATACTCTACTCTATATGTTGTAATATTGAAATAACATTTTTTACAATTTTTGTCTGTCTGTCTGTTTGTTCCGGCTAATCTCTGAAATGGCTGGACCGATTTTGACGGGACTTTTATTGGCAGGTATTTGATGTCATAAGGAGTAACTTAGGCTACTTTTATTTTAGAAAAATAAAGTTAAATTCCACGCGGATGAAGTCATCATCTGCTTCTTCCTTATCCCATTTATTTGGGGTCGGCGTAATATGTTTTTCGCTTCCATTCATCCCTGTTCGCAGTCATCGCGTTATTTACTTCCTTTCTTACCATATCATCTTTCACACAGTCCATCCATCTCTTTTTTGGCCTTCCTCTGCCCTTATAACCATCCACCATCTTTCTTAAAATATTATCCTCGTTCCTACGCATTACATGTCCATACCATGATAGACGATTACTCTTCAACCTCTCTGACACCGGTGCCACTTTCATACTTCCTCTAATGTATTCATTCTTTATATTATCCATTCTTGTCACACCACACATCCACCTCAACATTCTCATTTCAGTTGCATGCAGTCGTCTTTCATCCGTCGCCTTTACGGGCCAGCACTCTGATCCATACAAGACAGCAGGCCGGATCATGGTCTTGTAAATTTTGCTTAAGGGGTCACACGTCGTTGCCGTAACCTGCCGCCACTTCATCCATCCTGCGTGAATTCTATGCTTTATGGCCCTGTCTAATTCACCATTAGATACCGGAAATCGGAGCAAATCGGTAATGGAGCTCCATTTAGTGATATGGCTGCAGAGCCGGAAAGACCGCCAAAATCACAAAACATGTATTCCGTTTTGGAAACACTAATTTTTAAGCCCCCGCTTTCCAGCTTTTGCTTGTCCACGCGGATGAAGTCGCGGGAACAAATAGTTATATTATATAATAGCGCTGGCCGCGGTTTCACCCGCGTGAAATTTATAGCCTATCTGTTTTTCTTATATATTATTGTAGAGTTTAATTCAAATTTATTTAGTAGATTTTGCGTGAAATATTTATAAACATCCATTCATCCATCCACAATCACAAACTTGAACGTTTATAATATTAGTAAGATAATGAAACGGACAATGAAAAAAGATTCTGAAATAAGTTACAAGTTAATTTGAATCGACATTCCTTCACAAATTTACCTTAATGTTGCGTCTAGATTTGGACAGAGCAGTGAGAAGTTGAATTGGTTATTTGGGGAGGTGGCTGCGGGTGGCTTTTGAGAAGCCGAACCACCAAAGAAGGTCGCTGACATGCGTTCAATTACCGTTAACTCCACGTCTAAATGGCATGGCATACATTTTACACTGAAAAGAAGAAAAAAAATAGTACAATTGTAATTTTAATACTACTGTTACTAAACTAATAATTTCAAATTTACAAAGTAAAAATTTTAGTACCCTTTCAGTATACTGGAAGGGTGCTAAAATTGTTAGTTTGTGGATTTGTGAAGCATATTTATTTAAATGGTTGCCAACTACATTCAATATTTTATTATGATTTGTAAGGTACATTATTATGGACAGAGATACAGAATATATTATTCAACCCAAATATAAGTGATCAAGGGTTGGTAGGTACATATAACTAAATTGCCTAAAAAAAGTTATTACAAAGGAATACTCATGATTAATAAGTGTGTATATAGTAGTCGACGGGTATAATTGAGACAAGTATGATAGACACTGTAAAAGAATAACATATTACTCACACTACTTCAGTTGTTGGATACACTAGTTTCTTTTCTCCAGACACTCTCATATATTTGGAAGTCTGTTTGAAATTTATTTTTACATTTGCATTGGAAGAAACCGATGTTTTCTTGGCGCTATCTTCATCATCTTCTGACATTGACAAACAATAAATTAATTAATATAAAAATAGTAGTTATACAGTCTATAGGAAATCAAAATTTGTGATTATCATATTCCATTTTTTATTCAATACTAGTGAAATTACATGGTACATGGTAATATGGAAAAGTAATATCTTAGTGCTTTGGAAATCAACACATGTATGGGCAACGGGGATCATATGATGACCATGGCGCTTACATGATACATGTATATAGGCGTGGCTACAACATACCACCAGGCAGTTAGTTACTTTATTTGCCATTCCAATTACAGAAAACAAAATGCTCGCCTCGACTATCTATTTTTCATATACCTAAGTGATAAGGGTTGTCCACCCCTAACATTTTATTTTATTAAACACGTCATAATGTGGCATTAAAAAATACATACAATCCCAAATTTTAACCCCTCTACCATCAACGCCTATTTTTTAACAGCGATTATATGGCAAAATAACATTTGTGGGGTCAGCTAGTGCATCTATAAATTACATATCTGAAAATATTTAATGGATACCGGAAATCATTACAATTTTTTAAAGATTTCTATTTACCTATGTGATCAAATCGCAGCAAATCATAACTTTCTGGTTTGTGGTTATCACTTGGTGTGTAGAGACACTCTCTTACTAAAAGATGTCGTATCGATGCCTCACATAAGGTTTGATTGCCGTGTGATGTGGTTTTATCACTGCCGTCTAATGTCACCTCTGATGTTATTAGCCTGTCAAAATAAGGTATTAAATTTATTTACATAGCATAGCTTTTGCTCGCATTACTTTCCTCAAGTTACAGTCCTTCCTAATAACATTTACACATGTAACAAATACATATATAATTTTTTTTCTTTACAATTTCATACAATATGCTACTCTAACAATGACGCCGATTTATTATACACGTAAATACTCTTCAAGTACATTAAGAATATATCTATAAAAAGCAACTCCTTTACATCCATAGCAAACAAATAGTATAAGCGAGACCAGCCATTCTAAGGAACTGTTATAAATTTATGCAAATTTGGTAATTTGCTTCTAAATTTTTTAACATCCTATACGATTACTAAGCCAATAATTATGACCAAAAAATATCGCAACTGATGAAGTAATTTTTTCAATAGTATAATCTGGAGGCGTCACGGATCCATACTGTGCTCGACTTTTCAAACCATAATCAAATTGTCTAAATAAATATTTCTATTAAGTATCATTGGAAATGTCTATTTAATATTGTTTTCCAATACAAACTTCGAACTCCCGTATTACCCATCATAGTGAATGAAAATAAAAAATATTTTTTTCATTCTTTGTCAGTCTCAATAACATTTTGGGTGTTGATAAGTCAGGCTGAAAATGAAACGACTCCTAGTTACTTAATTATATAGAAAATTTGGTTGTACCTCAGGTGACTTCTTCTAGTCGCGTGATTGAGAGCTTCATTTGCCAGAGAAAACTCTTTTTTCCCACCATCTGTGATTTGGAACGGCTGCAGATGCTCGAAAAACGCTGTTGACACCTCATGTAACGTGTGTGCAGAGGCAGGCGATATACAGTCTCCCATTGGCAAAGTGGTTAATATATCCTTGAAATAAACATTTTTGTATACAATTACATATACGAATTTCGTGAATTCCGTACACCGAAGCACAGAAAAACCTTAATTGTATGTAAATATTATGTTATATCATTATGCAGTCTATACCAGAAAATATTATGTTCTTAATTGTAATAATTTAGGCTGTGCTAATTTAGATAGTAAAATATATTACTATTATATAGTAGTTTATTTTGTCTACTTTTAGGTGTAACTAAACCACCCTAAGGGTTGTTTATATATTGACAGACTCGGTGGTCTAGCAGTTTAGCACACCGCTATACGACCGATCATTACAAAAAATTGTATTTAAATGTTTAAAACAGTCGTTGAGTGCCTATAACTCAAGCTCTTCTTAGCTTGGGGATATATAACTACATATGAATTATTCAGGGTTATTATTATATGTATAAATAATTTGAAGACAATGAGAGTCAGTCATCATAATAAATATAATGAACTACTTACCTTATGTAGTAGAACACAGGATATTGAGGATATCCTTAGACTAATGTGTGATACTTCCGCTGTAGGATCACCATCGATTTGAGGAACTAGAAAAAAAAAAACTCTATTATATGTCAGAAGAGAATGCATACTACTAGGAAATATATTTGCTATGTTAAAACTTTAAGACTTTGTTGTAAAAAATACATTAAGACTGCACCTTTTTTATTTCGCTTAATACGTGGCTGCGACACCGGCATGTTAAGGCTAGACGTCATGCTGTTGTTCATAGAGCTGACTGATGAAGTAAAGCTCTCCATCATCTCCCCGCGTGACGTCATAGGGTGAAACCTCTCGCTATCCGTGTCGCTTTCTTCTGTGAAAGATATTATGTATGTAAATCACAGATAACATAATATTACATACAGATACCCCATCCCATACAAGAAAATGGTTCCTTCCTAACTCGGGCTATTCTTCGGGCTATTTTATTTCGCCACCGTAGCCGCTAGATGTCGCTAGATCTGAAGCAGTTCGGATTACTAGTGGGTGCTTAGTAACAAAGCATGAAAATAGATGGCAGTGAATTCAGTCTACATGACATCTGTTTTGCAAAGATATGTATATAATAGATATGTAGGTAACTGTATCGTGTACCTCATTAGGGACGATTCAAGATTCAATGTAAATGTGTAGGTATAATATCGTTAGCCGACACTCTGCAGATATGGCTTATGTGCCAATGTATATACCTATTGTTTTATGGTTTATTTTACATTCCATGCCTATTTTTTTTGATATGTTGTAACGCGTCTGCGCTATACGTATAGCCTGATTTTGATACATTTATACTCGTACGTATCAAAATCGGGCTATACGATTTTTTATTTCAATCGTTATATGTATGAGACTGATTTTAGCTACAATTAATTTACTGGTATATACCTCATGTATTCTACGATGTACCCCTCTTTTACCTAATGAGAATTCCGCTATATCTTATATATAAATTTTGTATCACAGTGTTAGTTGCCATATTTCTCCCACATTTTGATGAAATTTGATATGTATACTTCCCAGGTCTGAGGTAGGGTTGTTATCTATTTTTTATACCCCTAAGTCATAGGGGTGGCCTACCCCGAAAAATATTTTTTTGTATTATGGACAATTTTTTATTTATTTATAATGTTACATTGAAAATACATACACGCCTAAATTTTCACCCGTCTTTCACCAACCCCTATTTTTAATAGCGATATTCTTACAAATATTATAAATGCTAAAGTAACTCAGTCTGTCTGTTTGTCTCGCTTTCACGCCAAAACTATTGAACTGATTTAATTGAAATTTGGTAGACAGATAATGTAGACCCTGAGAAAGGCTACTTTTTAATGCGAAAAAGTATTGAAAGGGGAAATGAAAGGCTATATGAGGATATCGTAATTTTTAAAGTCAGATCTTGTAAGATTAAGTGAACAGGGTCGGTCTAGGTTTTTCATTATTAGAAATGTGTAACGGGGTAACACGTTATTTAGTGCGAAATTGTGTATATTACAATAAAATTTAACGAGAAAATATTATAATGATATCACTGGGACACTCATTGCCTTACTACTATATCGTCCGTTAGGAGCGAACTTTCTGGAAACACGAGAGGCGCTATCCTATTGGTCGGTCGGCGCGGTTACCGCGCGTAGATGAGTAGATGAAGTACTTAGACGAGTCTCACGGCGCCGCAGCGTAAGTACTTACTATACATACGTAGTATACATATGGGTATTACAAATGTTTTTATTACTAGTAATATTACTCTGTTATCTAAGCAAGTAATGTGTGCTTATTTTGAACTTGATAACATTCTGAATTACTCGTATATCTTTCAATATCTTTAGCGGTATAAACCAGGTTATGTACTACTACTAGTATTGTTAGTGAGGGATAAAGTTGATGAACAAAAATAAAACAATATTCGTATTAAAAATATATTCATCTAATATTTTTGGCATTATTTTTAAGTTTCTTCCAAATATAAGGGGTCTGACATGGGGTGTTATGTACCTACATTAAAAAATACTTTTTGAAATGTATGAAAGAAACGTATTGTATGAAATTTTTGAAATGTGTGAAATGTATGCACCTACATTAAAAGATAATTTTTGAAATGTATGAAAGAAATGTATTGTATGAAATTTTTGAAATGTATGAAAGAAATGTATGTACCTACATTAAAAGATAATTTTTGACATGTATGAAATGTATGAAAGAAATGTATGTACCTACATTAAAATATAATTTTTGAAATGTATGAAAGTAATGTATGTACCTACATTAAAATATAATTTTTGAAATGTATGAGATGTATGAAAGAAATGTATGTACCTACATAAAAAGTTCATTTTTGAAATGTATGAAATGTATGAAAGAAATGTATGTACAATAAAATATAATTTTTGAAATGTATGAGATGTATGAAAACAATGTATGTACCTACATAAAAAGTTCATTTTTGAAATGTATGAAATGTATGAAATAAATGTATGTACCTACATTAAAAGATATTTTTGACATGTATGAAATGTATGAAAGAAATGTTTGTACCTACATTAAAATATAATTTTTGAAATGTATGCACCGTACAATAACAATACACGTTAAACATCATACCACAGAGTCATACGCAAGTTAAAAACAAACTGCTATGATATTAATGAGAAAGGAAAATAAACTTTATGGTATTCGAGTTAGGGTCGATTTCTCTCTTTTTTTAAACTATTTTAATCTTACCAGTTGCCAGTATTCGAAGACAGCTACGATTCGTACTCGATATTTTAAATTATTATGTAATCGATTTTTCAGTACAAATGTAAATAACCAACGACACTAATAATGTACTACTATATTCCGTTCTTTGAAACGGAATACTGCTATACTTAATACAAAATAATGAAAATTTACTGTTCACAACGACTCATTAAAAGCATCATCGAATAATGCGCTGTAATAAAATCCTGTTATCGATTATTAAAAAAAATCGATAATACATGTATTTATTTTTAATATGACAACACTTCATACATAAGTATTATTGGAAATAGTATTATTTGCTTGTTCGGCTATTTTTAATTTACTTAAACTTTTTTTATATGTTTAATTTACAATAATAATATATTAAGTGCTTATTATTGGAAAATATAAAAAAGACATTTAATTAGGCCGATACAAATGACAACAATGCCATCTATGAAAGCATTTTGAAAACATTGAGCCCCGTATTAGCACTGATTAAAGTGTAATTAAGTACTGGAAAATAACAAAATGAGTAAATATATGAAAATTACTTTCCTAAACGCATTATTTCATTTTAACATGTATATATATTTTTTTATAAATGGATTAAACTATTTTGAAAACACAGTTTTGTTTTTTAAAACGTTTGCAAAACTATGAAGAATTCCATCGATACCAATCACGCCATCTATATGCAACTTTTAGCAATAATAATGGCTATTTCCTCATTGAGTGCCACTGATGTAAATATACTTAGTTCTAAAAAAATACAAGTTTATGAATCATTCAGTATCAATCGCAAATCATCACTATTTGTTCAGTTTCAATGAAGAGTTGAGTATTAGTAGTTGAGTATATTGTGTTATACCTATATTCTAAGAAATATCTTCGAATTAAGAATCCCTATTGTGGCTTTCGGTTGAAAGGAAGTGGTATAAGTCTTTTTATCACGGTAAATGCAGATTAGTTGAGAAACATAATACGTTGTAAACAATAGTACAAAGACAGGGCTATGATGATATTAATTAACAAATGTAATTAATTATACGTAATTAAACAATTATATCAAAGGCCAAATTATCATGCAAAGTTAGATCAGATAATGATATTTCGAATTTCAGCTATGCCTTGTTCTGAGCTGAACATATGGCAGACTGCCATAACATAACACACGCAGACAGTCCTACCTTCCTGTATATTAATTTCTAAGGAGTATTGACCTATTACATTTACCTGCATTCTTCCTCTTCAGTAATTTGCTAATATAGCTATCTTTAGAAATGTCTATATAGTAATGTAATGTGGACTCTATTCTTTGAAATTAGCCTCTCATTTAGGCCGATGTGCGTGTAGAGCCGAGACTACTAAAGTAGCCAGCAAGCTCCTCCTAATTTCTAAATAGATATCATTACAAAATATAAAAAGAGGTATAAAGGTTTTGCGTTTCCGATGAGGAATTTTTTCCAGGAATTTATCACTATGGTTTTGAGGGGGAAACCCGTGGAGATTAAACTAACATGGTACATAGATAGCAATGGGGTTGTTAATACATATTATTAACAATCCCCAATGTTCCCTTCCTCATCATTGTTTAAATACACTGTGTAGTTTTAGTACAATTAAATATTAATTCCATACCATAACTGGGTCCTGACCATCCACTCATTCCATGAGGTTTAGTGCTCTGCTTCTCCAAGTTGCCCAGTAATTGCGCCTCAATGAGTTGAAAATCAGCCCGCTTCATAGGTTTACATTGGACATTTACACCACTTGGTCGCATCGGTATGTTGCTGTAAATTGTATTATGTATGATTTTATTATAAAGCAGTTACGCTGCAATGACCTCAGCAGAATTTGTGTACTAGATAATTACTACTTACATATGTTCTTTTAGAAATACAAACACAACATAGACAAAAAATCCAGATCAATACAAATAATTATACTCATGAATACAAATGTTTTTACCGTGCATGGAATAGAACCCGTGACCATCAAAAGTAGAGCGGAGTGTTGGACCAACGAAGTAATAGTAATTATAAAAAAAAATAGTAAATATTATTAGGATAATAGCACAATTAATATTTTTACAAGTGATTAATAATTAATAAAAACTACCTTGTGTCTTCTAGTTGAGGTTCATTTACAGCTTCTATAAGCTCGATTAATGTGTGTAGTTGTCTTGGCGTTATGTATACTATGAATGAACCCAGCAGCATTTTGACTTCGACTTTTGGGCCCTCAGCCTCTTCTGTATGCTTGATTTTAAGCGCTAACTCTTGGTGTCCCGTAAGCTTAGCAAACAGTATAGGTTCCGGTTGATTAGTCTTCTCATCTGGCGTTGCGCCTCGTGTTTCAGTCTGTACATTATATTCCATATCAACTTCTTTGACAGGATCTGATTCTATAGTTGATATAACACTTCTAGTCTCATAGAATACATCAGATATAGTGCTCTGGAAGTTAATATCAGCTGAGTCAATTTGTGAAGACTCTGATTTGTCTAATTGCGACGAAGTCGATTTCTCCATTATAAGACTGCGAGCCATAGTGCGCAGTTTAGACGGGAACTCGTCTGTATAGAATGTGACACCATCAAATCTGATTTTTTTATTTGTATATGTAGCGACAATGTAAGTCTTAGGTTTTTCTGGATCTGTCACTTCTGGCGTGGGTTCCTCTCCAGCCTCATCAAAGTAGTCAACTCTAGAAATCATATTACATAACTCATTTGTTATAATTAAACTTTTAGAAATTTGAAGGGTAATATTGGGGTAGTAATGTCATATCAACGATTATGGGCCAAAGGCAATGAAGGGTGATTGTATTCCAAGAGTGATTCCTTCTCATTATTATTATTTAAATTACAATGGTTCTGTTCGCAGTTTTGCATGTGTGGAAAATATATCATAGTACCATCCCCTTAAAGGTCATTTTCAAATATTGACGAAAAGGAAGTGAGTGATTTCAGTGGCTAAATAATTTAAAAATAAAATTTATAACAATATTAGGACAGACTATACAATATATATGTAGCATAAAACGAAGTTACGAATTTGAATAATGATATGCAACATATATTCATAGTTTATTGACTATAAAATAGGCAATTAGCATAGTTTTCGCTACATATATTAAAATGACCTCCCTGACAAAATGTCAATTCAACTTGAATATTATACTAACCACTTAAAGTTGAATGACTAATTATTATAATTATCAATATGAGAACAAATGAGTAATATAGTTTGTTGAGTTCTTAACTTATATGTACTTTAAAACAATATAAAATTATTCCTGTAAAGGCATATTCTTCTTTTCCTACTGTTGTATTTAATTGTACAAATGTAAATACTTACTTTTGTATATGAATATCTAAGGCAATGCCTCTATCACCATTTTTAGGAACATGTTCAAGTCTTATTCTAGTGTCCACAAATTTAACTTTCACTCTGCTTAAAACTGAAAAGAGATTAGGCATTTTCTTAATGTATTTCATACTTCATAGATATAAAATATTCTGATATTTATATATTAATTTAAAAAGTATTATTCTTAATACTTTTTAAATTAATATGTTAAGAATACTCCATCAAAATTTCCACTTTAAGAAAACTTATTAATTATCATTAAGTACTAAATATACTTTTATTAGGTACATATATATTGCTGTTATTTATATATGATAATGGAGTTACAAAAGAATGTATCAGCACTCTTTTTCATCTTTAGGATAACTTTGCAAACAAAGTATCAGTTGTGTGATATTTTGTTTGCTAAGTTATCCTAAAGATGTATTAGTATTGAAAAATGAAAAGGTCTCTATCAAGACATTGGTGAACAGAATTAAATTTAAATGTGATAGCTTAGTAGGATCTCATAATAATTTATTGACACTTGTCATTGTCAGGAGCCTTACTTGAGTCAATAGCATGGGCAAACATTTCAATGCCCTCTACTGGATTTGTCTCTTGTGGTACATCTTCGTCACGGAGACAATCTGCAGCCAGCTGCATGGATGAGGACATAGAAGACCACATAGACTCCAACATTGATGATGCTGTTCCAAGAAAGATTTTCACATCAAGTAATATTTTAAGATTATATGTAGTGATAAGCTTAAGAAATATATGGAAGTAAAACATTATCAGACCATCTTGTTAAGAGTTCCAATATTGCAATTTTCTCCAACTTTTTTTATTATATTTAATGTTATAAATTAATGTAAATGAGACTAAATAAAATGTATTAATAATACCTACTAAATCTATTTTCTGTTTTAAATAAGGATATAAATATTAGTAAGCAAGCACATTTAATACATGGTTCAATTGATGATAATCAGCCTGTATGTCAAAGGTAGGATAAATATAGTAGATTCACCTATTTGGTAATATTTTCATTATGTAATAAATTATGCCAGTATACAGTATTGATAACATAGAAACTCCCATATTTTTACCTGGTTCTGTCCGTACTTTGGGTTGAACGGTGAGTGACAAGCCATGAACTTCCACAATGGAGTCATCTTTTAACAATGTAGACCATGGTATTGTGACTGTGATTTTTTGCATATGGCCATCAACTATTTCAAGTGGCCAGTTCTGAGAATCTCCAAGGTTATTTAGTGCCTAAAATTTTCAGTTATATAAAAATCCAAAGAATATTATTAATACCCATGTAATAATTAAAAAGAATAACTAACTAAAGTTATTAAAAGTTACAAAGTAGTTATGAAGCTATTTATTATATATAGCATATTTTTGTACTAAGTTTGATGCACATTACTAAAAAGACATATTTGATATAGAATTGTGTTGTACATTTAAAGGAATTCTAGAACTGAAAATTATTATTTCAGCAAGTAAGACCAATAAGCCTTTTTACCAACCAAACGAGTATAGTAAGTTTGCCTGAAAGTGAAGTGAATATTTTAGAAAATTTTATTTAAAAAGGGAAAATTTTATTTAAGATGTCTTTTGTCACAAGTAAATAAAAACATATTCATATCAGGTTGATTGTTTTTAATATACAATATATATTAATTGTTTATACACAAATATCTCTAAAGTTAATTATATTACTGCATAAAGTGGTAAATTTACTATTACTATCTGTGGTATTTACAACATCTGGAATAACTTTTTCGTGCGTGTACTAATAATTGAGAACATAACAACAATGAAAGTTGTGTTTTCTGTTTAATTTAAATTTTGATATTATTTATTATTACAACATAATATTAAAGTATGAATATTTTTAACTATGTTCCTTTGTTCTAGTGATTGATAAACGCACGTGTTATTTTATTTATTGCGCACATCGAATTGGCAAGTGTACGATACTTTGAAAGGACTAAATTAAGTTGCTACAATGTGGCTATGTTTATACATATGCTTAAGAAATATATTTAGGCATATTACTTACATCGCAATCAAGGCTAACATCGCAAACCGTGCCTGTTCCATTGTAGAGATCAACACTCAGCTGATCCAGTGTTAGCTTCTGTTCGAGAAAATTGCCCAGGTAACGCTGGAGAAGATACCTGCAAGCTCTCTTCTTGATGCTCTCGGACCATGGCAGATACCACAACATTTTCATAACTTTTTTAAGATCATCACACTGAAAATTTTTGCTTTGTGCGTATAATGACTATTGTGAATTTGTGATTGTGATTACGTTCAATTGACTCGCAACTGAGAACGTAAATAAACATGACGTTCCGTTCTACTTAATGTCAGTGTTGATTTTGACATATGTCGTTTTGTTTGGTCTTATGCTGTCACTGTCAAATTCTATTATATCGTAAAAAATTTGCATTTAGCGTAGACAGAATAAAATATAAAATTACTTTTAAACTTACGCGTTTAGTATACAACCGTATATATTTATATACTATATATAATTAATTCTAAGTATTAATAACTGATTAACTATATTCATAAAGAGTATATATTTTTGTCATTTATAAAATTTCATCTTAAATAAATATATATTTATTATATCCCCAAAACAAAATAATCGCTCTCTACCAATTTTATATATTGCTATTATATATTGCTCTCAGTATACCCGTACGTCAATTACTGCGTGTGTCGCAAAAAGTATATTAATAGATATACATATCTACAATTTCTGCCAATATTCTAGTGATTCTCAAAGAAAAAAATTTACATATTGTTAATCATACTACTTTGTTACAATGACGTTATTGACAAATATGGGATACTTTAATAGAAACAATTTCTTAATATGACAAGGTACTAAAACATGACTCAAAGACTAGTACCTAGTACTAACCAAAAGATAAATGTGTAAAGAGACAGAGCAGCTTTTTATATTGAAAAACTAAGAAATCAAAGATCACAGTCTATGTTTATATTAATAGTCGTTAGGAATGCTTATTTTTTATTAGACAATATTAATTTTATATATACCTACCTACCGACGTACGTGTCACGTGTTGTATTGTTGTGATGATGAGATTTAGCTAGTAATTCAGAACTCTACCTAAAATAATAGACAAAGTCTTAGAGATATTATTGTTTATTCATAATTTTAATACAATTTTTTTCTTTTAAACTCTATATATGTTACATCAGCCTTCATACGTATAATTAGTAAAAATCACGGGATCTTACCACGTTTTATATTTATTTGCTGAGTTCTCAATATTAAGTAAATACTCTGTAGATACTGTCTTAAAATAAAGCAAATGTTACGTTCACCTAAGGACAACTTTCCTCTACAACATCCTGGAGTCTATAAGGTGGACTGTAGTTGTGGGAGCTCATACATCGGACAGACAAAAAGAACAATAGCCCGTCGCATTGCTGAACATATAAACGCTATTAAAAACAACGATCCACGTAAATCAGACATAGCGGAACACTTGTTGGGATCGGGACCCAATCACTGGATTGAACTACACCGACCTGCTCGATAGTTAGTAGTTAATGAATTAAATATTATAGACTACTCGATGGATTTATATTATTTTGTTTAATTCCGCTACAATTATATTATAACTATTATATTGTAGGAATTAAACAAAATAATATAAATCCATCGAGTAGTGAAATGGACTTCCGCAAAATAACACCTAATTCGATTAAATAAATACTATAGACCCTCAACTAATAAATATGTATATTACAAAATATCTCTGTCAATTATGTGATTCCAAATAGGGTCGTCTAATTTCGTCATATTCTTCGTCAGCCTTACTTGAAGTTGAAGGTGCGTCCTTATTACAGGTAAAGATATTTAAATTGTAAAGAACAACTCCTGAATTTAAAGGTAAATATAATATTGCGGAAAATTCAGACGAACCAACTCCAGTTTCAGATTGTGCAAAGCAGTCAGTGTTGTTTAAAACTATCTTGATGTCCACTCTTGATACTTTGATAAAAGCTAGAAATGAGTAATTAATTGTTCATTATAAATAAAAAACATGCTTACAAATATAACCTCAGATGGATTAGTCTTTATATAGTGAACTGTGCCGGTATTTATTATCTACCAGTGGAAGGTCGATGTGATTTTTATGGATGGTAATGAAATAATGCACTCGCCTACGTTAATGGTTTAGGGGAAGGGAGGGCAAGATGGAAGGTGAGGGCACAATGGAAACTACCTACAAAACCAAATAAAGTAATCTATTTCAAGCATCGCCACGCACACAGAGACACTCGGCCGCGACGCCTTAACGGGCGAATTTTAGTCAGTTTCACAGCAGCCATTGATGTGTACGCGTCGTTTGTTTATTTAACCGTGAATTATTACAAAAACCACAGATTTTTGCAGTGACTTTGTTTGAAAAATGTAAGTAATATGATTTTTTTTGTTTTATCTGTAGTAATCTATTATAAATCAAGTATTTGAATCAATGCGTTTACTTAAATAAAACTAGTACTAGAAATTCGATATGTCAATATTATTATTACAGTTAGTGTAAAGGCAAGATGGAAATTCTGAATTTAGGGTAAGATGGAAATGTTTCCATCTTGCCTGCGTGATAGTGAATGTTATTTTTTATTTTAATTTCTATCTTTAATTGAGCATTTTTTTTTCAGATGGTCTACAAATATATAAGAAAGACTAGTAGAGGATCTTGGTCAGAAGAAACAATGCGGAAGGCCATGGATGAAGCACAAATTTCAACAATAAGTTCAGCTTCAAAGAAGTATAAAATTCCCATCGGTACTTTACATCGTCACATAAAAAAATGTGACGCTTCCAAAAAATTAGGTAGATTTCAGCCTGTTTTCTCAAAAGAGCTTGAGCAGAAGATCTGTGATCTTGCTATTGAACGTGACACACTGTTTTATGGGTTAACGAAAAATAGCCTGCAAGAATTAGCATACGAGGTGGCGAAATTAAATAATATTTCGCATGACGGCTTTATGAAAAGACACCCCCAATTAACGTACCGAACGCCAGAACCCACTGCTTTAGCTCGCTGCTCTGCTTTTAATCGTACTCAGGTAGAACACTTCTATGACAACCTATGGGACGTTATGTCACAACATCAATTTCTGACGAGACCTGACGACATATACAATATGGATGAGACCGGTGTCAAAACGAGCGCTTCTCGACCCCCACGAGTAATTTCTGTAAAAGGCAAAAGGCAAGTGGGGGTTATTGCTACAGCGGAAAAGGGACAACTTACTACTGTAATTTGCGCATGCAGTGCTACCGGTCGATTTATTCCGCCTTGTTTTATATTTGGACAAAGAAAAAGGATGAATGAGCGCCTTTTGGACGGTGCTCCTAACGGCTCTCAAGCATGGTGCTCTGACTCCGGCTGGATAAATAATAGCACTTTTAACAATTGGTTGCAAATGTTTATTGAGAAAACAAAACCAACAGCAGATAAACCAGTCTTATTGATTTTAGACAATCACACTACTCATCAGAACTTGGAAGCCTTAAACTTAGCAAGGGGAAAAAATGTGATTATGGTCAGCATTCCTCCACACACAAGCCACAAGCTCCAACCATTAGACGTGTCAGTCTATCGTTCATTAAAAATAGCTTTTGAACAGACGATTGACACTTTCCAAAAAAATCATCCTGGAAGAAGAGTAACCCAGTTTGATGTTGCCAGGTTGGTATGCACTGCTTATGAAAAAAGTGCCACCGTGCAAAATGCAACTAGCGGCTTTAAGAAGGCTGGAATTTTCCCATATGATAGAAATTTATTTTCTGATTTGGATTTTGCGCCTGCTTCCGTTTATGAAAATACCCCAGTTACCAAAACTATCGATTCAGACATTGCAGAAGACGATTCAGTCATGGTTAATGAGAACCCTGCAGTGACAGACGGTTGTGAATCAAAAGATGTATATATCGAGACCAACGACATTACAGTAAACACTACTACGCCAGAAATAAACAACGTTACCGAACAACTATGTAATGCAGAGATAGATAGCATAGAAGAGATAGATAAAAACGTTGGCATGACTGGACAAAAAGAAGTTACTTTCGAGAAGGAAGTAGATTGCATTATTTTTGAACAGCCATCCACATCTTGCCAAATTTTAATATCTCCAAAAAAAATACTGCCTTCTCCAAAAGTAACTTCTACTTTAAAAAAGCGTAGAAATAGATGTCAAAAGTCAGAGATTTTAACCAGTTCGCCCTTCAAAACATTGGTTGAAAAAAAGAATGAGCTGAAAAAGATACCAAAATTAGATTTAAAACAAGACATTAGGGGAAAAGAAAATAAATGTTCTAATAACAAACTAAAATCTGACAGTAAAAGCAAGGGGAAAGGGATAGGAAAAGGGAAGGGAAAACAAAAAAACACTAAAATAACCGAAGAAGCAAATAATAAGAATGAAACTGGAGAAGAAGATGTATTTTGTCTATTTTGTGGAGAAAAGTACGAGCATCCACCCATAGAAGACTGGTTACAATGTCCTTCGTGTTGTGGATGGGCGCATGAGATGTGCACTGATGCAGAAGATGGTTGTTTCTTATGTGTTAATTGCCAATCTTAATTTTATCTTATATATTCCATATTGCCCACATAAGCTTTCCATTTTGCCTACAACGTAAGGGCAAAATGGAAAATCTCAGGGTCTGTGTTTATGGATCGTAATTCATTTTCTACCAAATATTATTAATTAAAGTTTATAAGTTTATTTTTTACTAAATTGTATATCAAGACTGATAAAAATAAAAATTTCAATCTAAATACTTTTTTTACTATTTCCATTCAAAATTAGACCTTCCATTTTGCCCTCCCTTCCCCTATGTTGGCGGGACATCAGTGGAGGATGATAAAATGGGCATGAAGTTAGACTATGGATCAGTTAGCCCATCTCGGCTTATGACACTCTACTACGATGGTCTCCAGAGGGAACTGCGTGGAGGTCAATCTGACATGGTACATTGTCAGTAGTGGGGTTATTTGTCCACATTACTAAGAGTCTCCTTTGCATCGAAGAAGATCAGTTAATAATAACAATTGCAATGGTTTACGAAGGGAACTTGTGCTGGAAGTGATGAATTGTTAGCAATAAGGTATTTGTTGGGCTGACTTGATAATTTTATCTATCCCTAATACTTACAAACATATAAAAGATACATAAGCTCGTTCCTTCTTTGTTAACTTAAAAATACTTACGATCACTACTTTTGTAGTAAATATCAAATATGCGGTTTAATTTTACATTTCCCCACACTTTGTTATCGATAAATAGTAGTCGTTCTAAAAAAATAGAAATAATAATTAGAATATACGTTATAAAAATAAAATTGTTTGTTTCGTTATTCAAATAAATAAACTATTAAATTAGACAATGCAACGACGTTATTATTCTTAGCACAGATAATATTATGTTATCTGTGGCACAAATAACATAACATTATGTATTCTTAGTAAGGACGACCAGCAAATGGTAAGGTGGTACCTACTTAACTTACTTACATACCTTTACAACTTCCCAATGTCAACATCATCTTGTAGAAAGGAAATCCCACTGCTTGTATTGTCCGAGTGAATCTAATTTCATACGTGCTTCGAATTAATATTATTAGAACAATTATCGAAAGCGTTTTAATGCAGTTCATCATCTAACTAAGTACAATAGGTATTCACGGTGTTGGTATGACTAATAAACACTAGGTATACTTAACAATCGAGGTTCGGAAATTATATGCACTTTCAGTTTGTAGAGTTGGCATATTAAACGATTCTTAAATGGGTTTTTAAATTCTTATTAAAAGTTTGTAATAATTGTCCACATTGAAACTTCTCTTTGTGTCCAGTCTTATTTTTTGAAAACCAGTTAGATATATAAATATTTTTACCTAAAAAGCGGGCTAATGATGCCATGTAATACATAGTTTCAGGAATATCAGGGGATATCGTGAAAAGGTATTTAGTAAGAAAATCGAAGTGATATTTTTTTTTACTTATAAATTTATTTGTAACTAACACTACTATACGGGTTTACCTACTTATATTTATACGGCATTAGTTAATAGATACCAAAGTGACGCCAAGTATAATATTTATTTAATACACATGGATTGATAGATAAATAGATAGATATTTATTATTGAATTGAAAATTGTGAATATCCTGGTCCATTCTACTTTTCTCTTCTCTCTTTAGACGCTGTTATAGGTATGAATGAGTAGGTAATTTTTCATTCAGCCACTACACTAGGTATAATACTTCCAAATTACAGATGTATAATTTAAATCGTCATAGTATTTGTATTTGGTTTCATTTACCTACGATGCAGACATATCTTTGCAAAATATATTCTTTAGACATGAATATTTGTTTTGCTAATCATATGCAAACATGTATTGTATCAAGTATTCTAAACATAAAGTTAGCTACGTTGCGTCTACTGTCCGAATATAAGTACCAGTCAGTAATGTATATACTCAGTGTCCTAGTTCATTAAACAGTCAGTTTCATAAGAAACTAACTTTTTTAACTTTAAACCGCTAAACCAAAGCGGTCGTGAATAGTAACGAAATATTTAAAAAAAAGTATTATGTTATATTGCAGCTATATTAATACATTAGAATACATAATTATAAATCAGAGAGAATAAAATGACCACCGGCAGCTATTCCTTCCCAGGTTTCTGTCACGATTTGTTCAACGTACTCCGGTGGAACGAGGAAACCGTAACTGTAGCCGGGCAACTCTAAAGTGTATGTGAGCGGTATTCCAACAGAGCGAGTCCAGTCGCGGGATGTGCCGGTGGTGAAATACAACACGTTGGCAGCATTACCCACGATGTATCTTGGGGCTTCATTCAGGGCTAGTTCATCAATGGCCGTAGCCATGGTAACGCCGGCGAGATGAAGGTTTAAACCATTCGACGGCAGAGTACCTGTAAACACGTGTTTGTTAATTACGTAGGGTTTCCGTGTAATATAGATTCCAGTATCGAACTTGTAGTGCACAATTGATTGATAGTTGCAGAGTTACGTAACAATAGTCTAATGGAACTGCAGGGTAATTGAAAATGTTACCTAATTTATTGAAGAAATGCACATTAGTAATTATTTATCTGCTTATTCAGGGATATATATTTTATGAGTTTAGTTAAATTTATAATGATAATTTATTGATTTTTATCGGATTATCTCTGGATTTACTATGACTCATTCTCTTGCTTCCTGTTGGCACGATGTGTTACATTTATTGGAAGAGATCTTAATTAGAGGTAAGTCCACCTCTGCTCACTTTGTATCTAATTATAAAGTAAAATAAAGAGTAAAGTAAATAGAGAAGAATAACAATGATTTGTTAACGTAATATCTAGAACAACAATAAATGGAGTAAATAGAAACATTGTCAACTGTCGAAGTAGTTAGTACTTGACGTAATATTTGATAAGCCTATATTTCACTCGTTATATTTAAATGCAATGTGACAGGTGGTGAAGTAACCGCCGTCTCTGGAGAGTCTGCCATAAAAAACTGGAGAGTCAGCCATAAAATTGACAAACAAAATTTGTTGTACAGGTTTGAACTGACGAATACTCCATCTAACAATAAGTCGAGGTAAAACCACTGTACTAAAAAGTTCTTACTTATCATTGCACCTACCATTATTGCCCCAAGCATATAGGAACATGTTGCCAAAACTGTGCAGTGAAATATACAGTGAGGCCCGAGAGAGCTGTTGATAAACTACGTCTCTGATGATGCGGATTTCTGGTTCGGAAAATACGCTTGGTCCTTCGAATGTAATGGCGCAAGGGTTTGCTGCCGCGCTGTTCGTCCCCCAGTGGTGGTCGAAGTTGCGGTTGCCGTCAACGCCAGGACAGGCTTCAGTGTTCGGGGGGACCAATGACCTAGTCTTACGCCACATACGATCCTGAGAAAATTAGTTATTGAAAGTAGTTATTAATAAAATGAATATATATATATATCTCTATAGAAATTAAAAAAAAATTAAATGTCACAAAGAAATTTAAGTTCATAAATATAAATAAAATTGAAGTGTCTGTTTATAATATTGAAATGACCGTTTTTTACTACATTCATATGAATATAAATACGATACTATCTGTCTGTTTGTTTGTTCCGGCTAATGTCTGAAATGGCTGGACCGATTATGGACTTTTTTTAGCAGGTAGCTGATGTAATAAGGCATAACTTAGGCTACTTTAATTTTAGACAAAATCTTTTATTTACGAGATAGAAAAATAAAGTTAAATTCCACGCGGACGAAGTCGCGGGTAACAAGAAATGGTTACTACAGAGGAGAATAGCAAAATACATTAATAATATTAACAGGATTAATATTAACAGTTAATATCATTTAATTTCAGATAAGTTTAACGATAATCCTTACATTAATATTTTAATACATTAAGCCTGTTTATTTATCAGTGGCAAGTGAATTATTAGATAAAATGTATTCATATGACATAGACTATATGTTTATCTTATTATCCATCTGTTGCTTTATTCGCTTATGTAATATAACATCGTGATAATTCACTAATGCTACAATATTATTTGAACATAGTTTTCTATACAGTTTATAATGAAATTTAAAAACGGCACGGGATAATAGTGTTATATATGCGTCTAACACAAGCACGAAGTGTATTCCGCTGATGCATTTCTGTGAATTAAGAAGTTAAATTATCCGTATTGATTGATTTTTAAAATGCTAACTTGTGTTTTATCGGATTTATTTTAATCTGAGAATAAATCGGGGTTTAAGGCACGTATAATAATCTGTCATAAGAATGATTTTCCAAGATTTAGTACAAGGTTACATACAATACGAACATTATTATAGAATTTTATCCTTTTGACCCTTGTTTCTTCTTAATAAGTCACGTATAGAGGTAATCTATATTTAAAAATAATATAAAACTAGCAACTGTCTTATATAACATCTCGGTCGCTCTAACAAACAATATTGATGACACTTTCTCAAAAAACGTTACCGTTTTTTAGTTAAGCTACATATTTCTTGGTCTGTCATTTCATTGTTCTTTTTTTAACTAATGCGGTTGTCCGCAGCTGGGCTTTATCGCTGCACTAGAGAAGAATTGGTTCCAGTGTAGGAAGCACCACAAACCAAGGAAGGACTTGAACTCCAGCCTAATACGAATTTAGTCTGAGGGCACCACTAGGTTCGAATCTTGGCTCAGGTTGTCGTAATTTTATTCCCGTTGGAACAGGGAATAGAACAAAAGGAGGAAATGATAGTACAGAAGAAATAAAGACGTTGAATATAGGCCGTGGTACTAAACATAAAAACCGAATAACATCCTGTTTAACGAGTAAGAGGTCCAAGTAAAACCATAATCAATTATTGGACTAAATAAATTAAAAGGAATGTTTTTTAGGTATGGTATAATTTAAGAACAATACAATACACACACAAGTAAGAAAGCTACCGTCAAGATAATCGTGATGGTATGGTAACCAAATAAGTGTATCAGGGATATATATAAAGCGCTTGGTATCTATGTTTAATAAATAGTATAGTGCAACTGTTTACGCTAACGGCGTACATTGGCGAGGCACCAGGATCATAAAATGAGCTTTAAGTTAGGAATTAATTACGATGGTTTTCAGGGAACACCGCTTGAAAGTAGACATGAAACATTACAAATAGTCTCCTCCATGGTACTAGTGTAGAATAATTTTTATGTCTTAATAAATGCTAATATTACTTACTACTTCTATAGAGAACTCGTAGCCATCAGGGTTGGCCAAAGGAATGATAATCCAGTCGATCTCATTCGTGAGTTGTCTGTCAACGATATCAACTACCAGCTGGTTAATGATGTATAAAGCTACAGGTGTTGTGACCCATTCCCTGGCGTGAACGGCTGCATCGATGATGATTACGGGTTTTTGAAGATTTTCGAAACCTGTACTGGAAATTCTGACATATTTGATTTGGCGGCCTTCGTAACTCAAACCAGCGTTGATGACGGTCACTAACTCAGGATATTCAGCGCCCAATTCATCTATATACGCATTGATCTAAAATGTAAACAATATTTAAATAGTTTAATTTTTATATTTTCATGTACACATTATTAACATGTATTGACTTGGTGTTAACACAAATAATTTTATGGTGAATAACGGCTAGTGAGCCGTGATCAAGAGTTGTTTTTGTTCAACTACTAACATTAATAGGGGAGGTGTATGCTTTATTTACAAGAAACTATTAGAAGTATTAGTTATTATTATTTAGATGTAATAGGAAATCTCATTCTCTAAATAAATAGGTAAATATAGACTTCTAATTTTGATACGTACTTCTTCGTAGTTATAGTAGGTGTCCCAACTGATCGAACGTCCTTTTTGTTTTGCAGCTGCCTTTGCACTTTGAATCTTGGTTTCTTCGTCCCGAAGAATACTGAAAATGAATAATAATATTTTATTTTTTTGTATTAATTTGAATATTTAAAAAAATACTCAAATTCATTGAAATCGATTTAATATGATCATCAGATAAATATTTGCATTATGCGTATTTCTAATCCGCTAAAATAATGAATAAACTTACTCTGCAAGATTGTCAGCTATTTTCGTATACGGCATACTCCTTTCATCAAAATATTGTAGCCATTGTTCCTTTACTTCAGGAGAAAGTCTTACCAGAACTTCAAGTTTACCAGAAATAGAACGTTCTGCTGGGGTAATTGATATTAGATCTAAACTTGCTTCCAAATATGCTATTTCGTCAGCCGGGCCACCCACTCTATACAATTGGTGGCTGAAGAAAAAAATATTGTCATAATTTGTGTTAGAAATTTATAAATATAAATATATTACTAACTTTATTAATCAAGTTCAATGTAGTGACAACAGAGTAAAAAGAAATTAATCATCGATTTGCTTTTGATTATTATTTAATCTGGAATAATAATATGGTACGTGTAAATTACATAATATTCTTTAACAGTTTTAAAATAGTTAAATAATAGAACCACTAATTTCTTTAAAGAATTTAATAGATTATCTATTAAAAAAGTAAATAAGCAATATGTAATTAATTACAGTTGTAGAAACTTACCCTTCATATTGCTCATGGCGAGCATAAACTGCCGCTATTAGAAATAGGAGAGACCCCAGTAGTCGACCCATTTTCACTAATGAATGGCATATACAACTTCATTATAACTGAATCCTTTTCTGATACGTCGAATTATCAAAATGATAATTATATTTTTAGATAATCCGATTTAATATAATTAGCTGATGTTATTACAGTTAATGCTGATATATCATTATAGGGTGACACCAGCAGTAGTCATTAGGCATAAAATCAGAATAATGGTACTGTGATAAATTTGTAATTTCTATTTTAGTAGTAACCTTATAGGTATTATATTATTTATAAAGAGCCATATATTATGCCTCTTCATAAATAATATATTATATAGTTTGTAGTTTTGGATGTCTGATACTACTGATATGTAGAATAGGTAGAAAAACTATATACCATTATCTTAACGACTAATGAGCAGAGCTGCAATAAAAAATGTGAAAAAAAGGAAAAAAATGTGATGTAGATGAAGTTGCGTGTGTCAGCTAATGTAATATAAAATATCATAAAAGTGAATATTAGATAAGTAATATCAGTTCTTTTTTATGTTGGAGTTTCTAGTTCTACATTACAAATCACATAGAGAATAACAATTATTAAGAAAGGTAACAAAGTACCAGTAAAAAAAAACGAAGTTACCAAACATTACCACAGTTATGGCACTGCAATTGTTTGGTTCTTTTGCTGTAATTGTCATGTTTTCGCAATTCATCTTTGTAATGCATGCACTACTATTCCAAAATATTGTCTGTTCCGAGTAATTTGGTATGACTAGATGCTCAATTTGTTTTTATTATACATACACATACAATATGGGGTTTTCAGAGTCATTGTCAACTATCTACATCGTGACGATCACAACACTTGATATGCGGTGATTAACGGTGTTTCCTTCACCGGAGCGTCAGTTGTAGATATAAATTAACACACAGTTTGTTTAGTGTCAGGCTAGATTGTAACTCACTACTTTCTCTTCATTCTGTATGTATGACGGACCACTAGATTCTCAAGATTTTACTATAATTATTTTTATATTTCAATATTACTAGTTAGTAATTTACTAGTTACTAACTTTTTAGTAGATTATTTTTTTATGATTTTCTCACAAGATCAATTATGTCAAATTGTACCTATATTATGTCTTGTTCAATTTTTACTACATTTTTAATACTCATTTTGTGCATTTATTCTAGGAATGTCAGTGTTGTTATACGTTTCGAAACATTTTACATTTTTACTTCATACGAGTAATTTGTATTTATTCAAATCTTAGGACGATAAACGATTGATTTTTTACATCCATTCAACCAACTTCAAGTCAGGATCTTTGCGAAATTGGCAAACCAAATTTTTCTATCTCTATCAAAATTTATCTATTATCTCCTTTACCGCTTTTTCATAATTCACTTTAAGAGACATACTCAAAAGACTCAATACTCTTCCTTTAAAGAGTGTTTGACTGATTGATTCATTAAACTTATCGATTATTAAAGCTTATCGTTTTATGAAGTTGCTTTCTTCTATTCTACTACTTACTGTTTGAACATTCTTTTTTAACAACATACCTGAAATGGTTGAAATAACATGGTACTCTCTTTTTTGTTTATTGCATTATTTAATAGTATTACAATTATAATAACTTGTATTAGTTAACTAATATTCTACAATTTAATTTTACATATATATTTCCAATACATTCTACGGATAGAGTTTTTGAAACCAGAATGTCTCCAAGCATATATTAGCGGATCTAGCAGGCTGTTGCATACGCCTAATAGGTATAACGGTCCTAGAGTTAAAATCTCTAATGGAATACAATCATAGCCATGCACCATTATGTCACATTTTACATAAATAATGACAGCTACATAGTACGGTGCCCATGTACCAACGAAGGAGAAAGTCACCAGTAAAACAGTTTTCACTGCTTTCAATTTACTAGGATTGGAATTTAGAGCTTTTGCTTTGCAGTATGAACGGGATATGTTTGAAATTTTTTCTTTAAGTTTACTCTTAGTACGTTTCTGCTCTATATTGGTTTTACTAGTATTCCTCATCTCCATCGAGGTACCCGCCTCTTGTGTCACTGTTGAAACTGTGATTGTCACAGTGGTTTTCGATATTTGACCACAGTCGTCTTCAAATGCTCGATTCACGAACGCTATGCTGTTACTTTCTTTAAACTCTCGTATCTTATCCACAGTTTTTACTGCACTGTGTAATATAATAATATATAGAACACAAACTACTATGATTACTAGTAATACGACAATGGAAACTATGATAAGTAACGATGGAGGGAACACAGCAATGTACCAACATCGGTAGTCTCTGAATGTCTTTCCTGTCCATCCCATGGCTGGTAAGCATGAGATAAATATTCCTGCAAATAATAAAAGAGTGTCAAAATTATAGCACAAAGGGAAAAATATATACCTACCTTTAATTTAAAAAATATACAAACCTTCTAATGTTCTCTATCTATCTAAGCAGAGTAGGTATACATTGGAAAACTAAATACTCATATAAACAAAAAATTACCTTGGGTAGATAGAGAATTAAAATATAATAATTAAGTGTTACTTATTGCAGTAAAAAATTTAGAAATATTTCAACTTTTTAATTTATTTATCGTATACACAAAATTAAAGCGTAGTGGTGAATGTATTAATAAGAAGAAGGACTTGGTGATGGAGTGGTATTGTACCTATACGACCATGGACTGCAGCGACAGCGATTCTGTCGACAAGCAGTTGGACTGGTAAATACCAGTCCGACTGTATGTCGACAGGATCGCGTTTTAGGTATAGAAAAAATACGAATAAAAAAATTGAAAATAAGCTCTAACTATTATAGAAAATAATTTCAGTACATAGAGCAAAAAATATGAACTAGTTTAGTAAATATGTTACACTGTATGTAAAATTTGTTATTTACTTACGAATAAGAGCTAGGATTGGCAAGTTAGAGACAATTAAAACATTTAAGTATTCTATATTATCTTAATCTAAGTTATCTATTAGTAATGCCAAGAAATATACATACACAAAAAATACGAAGTCAGCCTAATATTCTTACATGTAATTTATTTTAGTTATAAATAATATTAATAAAGACGTAATAATATTAAAAAAGCTTAATTTACAACAGAGCCTTTTGGAAACGTTCTCTTCGGTAATTTTTTTATAAACTAATAAAGCATAAAGGAGACTTTCATTAGGTTCACAACTAAGCAGTCCGTTGTTCTACTTTCAATATAACAGGGACTTAGGTATGAGGAGGTACCTACTCTACCAGAGTAGGTACCTCCTCCTCCACCTTTACTTTAATGGCTTTTAATGAAATTAATCCTTTTTGTAATTAAACGGCGCACAAAATCTTCATTCATAAGTCTAGGTTTACATTATGTTCACGCCTTCTTTTTTAAATCATAAAAAATTACCAATAACACGTATGGCTCCATTTAATATGATCACGAGTGTATGATTAGCAGTACCATTAATTGTACATGAATATGAAGTTGTAAAGTCACAATTAGTATCAGACTTACACATATCCGTCTCAATTATTTTCGTACCTTACTGTACAAAAACATTATTGTTAACTTATTTGATTAATCTTACTAGTGTTTGTTTTTTTTGTCGCCTTACATTTATTTCTGTTGCAACATCTTTGTAAATAATTTATATAATAAGTCTTAAGTGATCTTTTAAATCCCTTATGCCACCATGCATATATCAAAGGATTCAATACACTGTTAAGAAAAGCTAGGGCTGCTACCGGACCATTGAGAAGTTTACGTAGTTTTAAACATTGAACATTAGTTGTTTTTTCTTCACAAAGAACGTACAATATCATAATTATAAAAAACGGCATCCACGTTGCTATGAAACTACATGAAGTTAACATCACTACAGTCACTGCTCTGCATTTATTTGGCTCCTTAGCTTTAGGGTTTGTAATTTTAAATCCATTCTTTTGTTTCAATGTAAGACTACTTAAAGACAAATTGCGGTCCGAAGAAGTTGATACGACCGTGTGTATACTAAATTCTGATTGGTTTAGATCACTCTCAATTTGCTTTGTCTTATCGCATTTGAGAGTTTCAGAAATATTTCCATTAGAAACAGTGAGATCATCGATGCTTTTGGCTTTTGAACATTCACTCTTTTGTACATTGTGTAAATTTTCATTGACATAGTTTGTATTAAATGAAACACTTCTTTCCAACTTGTTCATGTTACTCCTAAGTGGATAGTTAACTGAAACAGTATTAGTTAATTTGTTTTTGCCGCGATAAATTCTTAATTTAGGTTTTTCTTTTGTTTTTGTTATTGTCTTTACATTTTTCTCCGCGGTCTTTAAATTTGTTAAATTCTTTAAAGCTTTAATTAAAATGATTGTGTACAAGATCGCGACAAGTATTATAGGGATGACGCTAATGAAAGAATTAAATAGTATTAATGTGCTAGGGTACACAGCGATGTAGACACACGGAGCATTGTTTAGTTCTCTGGTTACCCATCCGGTAAGTGGCATGAAACCGAGGGTGATACCTGTAATAATACATTGTAAACGTACAAACAAAGCAACATTAAATAAAATTTATTATTGACAATTGCGATTAGTTACAGGTCTACTCACGACACAATTTGGGAGTTGATGTTTGGGCCGATATCAGACAGAGATTGTGCATTTTATCGAAATATCGGCTTAACTTACAAGAAGTTAGGGTAACTTATTAATCTGTCTAATTCGGTGTCAAATTATGTCATGCGTAGCAATTTATTGCAAAAGAAATAGATAGCACAATCTGAGCCCAGCTTCAGTCGCAATTTAAAACTAATTATAATTAAATTAACTAAACACAAATTTCTAAATAGTTAGAATTAAAGAAAAGCATTTAAGAATTATGAAAATAACAAATGAAATGTTTCGCAACTGTTTATGGCGTGATGTTAAATATTCATTACATACAACTTATTTACTATTCGTAATTGTTAGGGTTTACCTATGATCCATATGCACAGAATGCCGATTCTCACTCTGGTAGTGTTGAACCATCTCTGGTAATATAACCCATGTAGTATGTAAATGTATCGATCCACGGCTATGAAACCGACGCTAAAAATTGATACCATCGTAGGACACACTAGCAAACCTGTTAACATATTTTATAATTATATATAATACAAATATACTGTCGCCACTGTTCCTAGATATATAAAATATGGAATCGTTGTCAATCGATGTCTGTCGATGCTGACATGACATGAAACTGAATAGTCAGTCAGAAATTAATAATAATAATAATAATAATCTCAGGACAATTCACACAGCGCCATCTAGACCCAAGTTAAGCTAGCTAAAACTTGTGTTATGGGTACTAGATAACTGATACAAATACGTAGATATATATTTTTTTGTAAATACATACATATTACACATAGAAAACACCCAGACCGATACAAACAATCATACTCATGAATACAAAATGTTTGTACCGTGCGAGGAATCGAACCTGCGACCATCGGTCGTAAAGCAGTGTGCCCATATTTTTTTTATTAGTTGAACTAACAACCTTTTTGATGTAAGATGGGGTATACATATAAATGAAAAATGAATATAAAATTGTATGTAAGATACATATATACAAGAGAAATTGAAACTCTTGTTTGTTTAGTATCTTGCAAACTGACTTTCCTGTATTATTATGATTTGTTATATAGATTATGAAAAATGTTTATGATAGGTTTCCAGTTATTCTATACCCACCTAGTTGGAATATACACAGAGGATCAGAGTTTATATTATTGTCCATTGTGGCGCCAAAGATGATTGAGATACCAATAATAGTATCTGCAAGTGACACGTTACCAAGCAAGAGATATGTGCTCTTGTGTTGCTGACCTGAAAATATTGAAAATAAATGCACTAATTTGTCTTATCTATTAGTCTGAATATTCATAATAGTTTTCCACATTAAAAAAATATCTCTCATATATTTAAGCCCCGTCAGCAGTCACGAGGTGCTGTGCTTGTAACCCAATAAACTAATATTAATGAGAGTATATTTTATTAATTTAGGTTTTGTAATAAGTATAAATAAAATACGAAACTTAAAATGTAATATCTGGGGTGGTGACAGCACTTTATGTGAGTCATGGCGGGTTAATGGTGTGGTTTACACAATTTCTGATTGCAGAAATCACGGTATTCGCTACTACAAAGTATATAATTGATATAAAATAACATATTGTAATATCTAAACCAGGAGTGAGCAACCCTTTTAATTAACGAGCCAAATTTATATTTGCGGGCCGCACGTCAATTTACAAAACTTTATTTATAATAAACAAAATTCGAATTACTTTCTTAATTTGTAATTCTAATTTTGATTTGATGATTTAACTTTGAAAAAGTAAAATTGCATATACAAATTTTAATGCAAAATAAAAACAAACAAGGAAAGAACAGAAAAACATAGTATTTTATTATAATAATTTTATAATAATGTATTGATGCGAAAAAATCGAATAAATAAATATAATTTTTGCATTTACCGCATGTTGCTCATCCTTTATTTTAACTGTTATTGAAATTGTGTTAGAAATTTGAAGTATATAGTATACATATTAGCACCGGCATATTTGGAGAGACCTAATTCCATTATTGAACAGAGCTCATAAATGTTGACCACTACGAGTAAAAATGTAATATCCGAAAAAATCAAATGTAGAAAGACAAATTTGATCTCGTATTTTCAAAATGGCGTTGGTCACTTAATAATATCGAATAAATGCACATACCTACCTTTCTTTAATATCAGTCCACTGGATACGACTACAACCAAATTACTTAAAATTATTAATGTCCCCAGAACGTACGCTACGATCTGGTAAGTCAGTAATTGTTCCTTCTCTTTAGTACTATACGCCTCATATAAATCGAACAGGTGAATTTGTGACACGTCACTCTTATTCGTTATATTTGTTATACTCAAATTAAAGTACTCCATCACTTGGTCCAATGTTACGTTTGATTTGAAATCTGAATTATTTAAATTCATTTTTGCTACTTTATACATAAAGTAAATATAAAACAATGCTTTTTGAAGTTTTTGTTTCAAATACACGTCAATATGTTACTACTATTCCCCAATAATGGAAGAGATGACCATCACTGCGCATCTTGAGTTATCCTCAAAGCAAACATGAAGTTTTGTTTATTATAATGGAACTATTTATTGTTATGGTTCCTTCAGAAATAAACAAGTTCTCGAAGTACGTAGATTGTTTCTATTTCATTTTAATAAGTTAGCCCAGATAAGATAATATTACATACAAACAAGAGTTTGAAGGACAAAATATGTAAAAATTGGAAAAATTAAAGCTTTTTATGTATCTATTACCTAACAACTTGATACTTGACTTCAAATTATATATAGATTTTTTATAGAAACTATATTATGTATATACATTTCGAAGTTATGTGTTGCCTGAAACAGGCAAAGCCAAGTGAAACAGTTAGTTTAATTAATACATTTATATATATAAGTACAGATTAACATATGGAACCCAGCTATGAATTTTTAAGTTTTCATTATTTTGTTATTTTCGTGGGTTATGTATTTATTATAACAAGTGACTGTTATTGCCAATTACTCTTATGGCTCTCGCTTAGCGCTTTGAATACAAATGTGAACGTCCGTAATGAGGATGTGGTAAGTGTTCATTTTTATTGTACCTACATAGAAAAAAAAACTACAATTTACATAGAAATATGGTCCCGAACCAGTAATAATCACCGATTTGGTGCACTGCTAACAAATACTAATGCAAAGGAATGTTATAAATAGATAAGTTAAAAAGTTTGTCAACTGATTTAAAAAATTATTACCTTATTTTTTCAACGACCAACGTGGGACTGTATTTCAAATAAATATATCTATTATGCTTTTCCGACTGCCATCTCATATGAGGTGGTTTATTAATGTAACATTTAAATTAAATTTTATATAAATTTTAAATAAAAATTGAATCCCCTACAATAACTGGCCTCGCGCGAATCCGTAATTGTATTAATACATACCTATATGGGTATATCGGATTGTATTTTAGTATAAAAATATGATTTCTTGCTATCTGTAGTTTCCTTCCTAAAGTTAAACTTTAAAGATGAAAAATATTTCTAAGTCTATACAAATATTTTGTCTTGTAGATATCATGAAGATATACATTGATAACTATTATAATAGCTATATCCATAGGCTTGCAATATTCATAATGTAGTCCTTACCAAACAATGTATTGACGTGATAAAATATCGAAGATATGGTATACGTAAAGGACGGTATTTAGATACATATTTTTTTTAATGATTGATAATGAAATGGTGCACTCGCCTTCGCTAACAGTTTACGCTGGCGGGATACCAGTGGAGGATGATAGGATAGCGTATCGTGATAAATTTATCACAATGGTTTCCAGGGGGAACCGTGTACCATGTTAAAGTGACCTCCACACCCTAACATGGTACATTGTTAGCATAGAATCTTTTTTTATTTTTTTACTAGATGTCCCGGCAAACGTTGTTTTGCCTTAAAATAAAAAAAGAATTTTTGGGGTGGACTATCCCTAACATTTAGGGGGATGAAAAATAGATGTTGGCCGATTCTCAGACCTACTTAATACGCTCACAAAATTTCATGAGAATCGGTCAAGCCGTTTTGGAGGAGTATGGGAACGAAAACTGTGACTCGAGAATTTTATATATAAGATTTATATATTTATTTAAACCTTCATCAGTGTACAGTTTGATGCAGTCCTAACTCCCAAACTATGTTCCTTCCCAAAACAAGGATATCAGTTTTAATGAATTTACAAGTAGACATATCTAAACCTAATTAATATTTTATACAATATACGTGTATGTGTGTGTGTGTGTGTGTGTGACTGTACGTGTGTGTAGTATATTGCATATATACACATATACATATATATTATATACTGTATATACCCTTATATAAACGTATATTGATTTAGTGTAGTAGTTTATACTCTACTCTGCATATTAATGCTTCAGTCTCACTGTAATTTAATTTCTCTAGCCATATTTTAATTTTTTGTCGAATTTGATAGTAATTAGGCATACTACAATTAAAATCTGCGTTAAATACATTATATAACTTAGGAGCAAAAAATGTATACTGTTGTCGTTCAAAATTACTTCTAATATTAGGCAAAGGACACGGTCGTCTCCCAGTTCCTATTAATGGGAGTGCACCTTTATGATACCTACGTATACATATACAAAGAGTGTAAGAACTTTAAGCCTTTAAGTAAACCTCAAAAGTTGGGTGTCTCTATGGAAAACGCATCATTACTTTAAGTACTGCCCTTTGGGTACGTTCAAGTTTTAAAAGATGTGTTTTAGCTGCTGCTCCCCATGCGCAAATACAATAATCAATACACATTCCACCAAGGCTCTATAAACCTGTATCACGACCATATGTTCTAAGATTCAGCGTAATTCTTTAAATATATATATATATATAAATTTTGGCAGGCGCCCAGTAACTACTGTTATATGTTTATTCCAGTTCAGGTTGCCATCAATCGCTCGTTCCAAATATTTTGTATCATAGACCCTATCAAGTAATTGACAATTACATGGTTTAGCGTATACACACTGCCTATTACATGGAAAAGTATGCATCTTTATCGTATTTTCACTGGGTAATCTACTTCGTCTACGTCCGGCGAATATATATAAGAAGGGAAGGGTGATTAGTCCACATTACAGACATTACACATACTAAGAATTCCCTACCCTCCGAAATACTAATGTGATGTGGATTACAATAAGTCAACTGTTCCAAAATTAAATGCACATTCGCTAAATCGTTATTTTTTCAACTTTGGAATTGGAACAAAATTACAAAATGTAACCCAATTGATTATAGTACAAAGAATAAGGTAAGTATACCAGAAGCTATACAGTAGTAGTAATAGTAGTATATTTTATCCACAAGTGGATAGGCAAAGGTACAGCAGCAATACATATTACAAAATTTTGAATTATAGTATCACCACAGATAAAATAATATTACATAATCACAGTGTATTTTTTTTTGGTTGTGTTTATGCTTTATCGGAAAGGCAAAGGGTACTGCGCCCATACAGCCATGTCACAGAGTTTTTTATTTATACGTGACAGTTGACATGACATTTCTCAGCTGTTAATCTGTGTGCACTGTCAGTATTTGAAAGATTTGTATTGAATAGGTTATTTCTTAAAAATATATGAATAAAATACTTATTACATAAAAATATTATTAAGTGTTTAAATTAAAAAATAGATCATGCTTAATTTATCGTTACTACGGCAATTTTCCAGGTATTTTCTGTAATAGAGACATTCATACGTCTGAGTTTCAGAACCTACATAACCTAAGTATAAATATAATAAAATTAATCGAAAAAAATATATTTACAGATTATCAGTGTGTTCTGTTACGAAAATACCCATAAATACTCGAAATATAGTAACATCAAGTGCTCTACAATTCAAAATTTCTGATCAACTATGGTAAGTTGAAGAACATTAACATTCTTGTAGGATATACAATTTTTACCTAATAAATAGAGCATTTTAGTACATATGATTTCAATATATATTTTTTATAACTTGAATTAGGTATTTATTATACTATGCTTACTGATATTCATTATAGCCTATTACACTGTAAACAATTACCTAGGGTGATGCCCATCTATAGTTTAGTTTAAGTTGTTTAGTTATGAATTTTTTATTTATTATTACAGTGTTAAAAAGAATAGTAGAAAATGTTTCCGCAACCACTTCTTCTTGTTATGCTGTGTTACAAACAATTATTATAGCTTATTATTCTGTTTTTTATTTTAGAGATATTAGACATTTTCTATGTAGCTAGCTTTTTGTAATTTTTAAATAGTGATGTGGCACTTGTAAATTAATATTAATACCATGTTTATAGGTTTCTCAGTAATTTGTGTGTGTTTATTTAATACACAATAATACAAAATTAATTAAGTATACTCTCTATAAATATACTTTGGTTTTTGTATTTTCTTTAATCTCGACATCCATTTATAGGGCTGAACCAATGAAAAAAAAGAAGAAAATAGACCCTGCTATTGTTAAAGCCCGAGAAGAGCGCCGCCGTAAGAAGTTGGAGAAACAAATTAGGAGATTGGAAAAGAATGCTCAGCAATTAAAACCTATTGATGAAATGGAGGTGCCACTACATTTGTTGGATAATATGGAGTATGTAACATCTGTATTATGAAAATTCATATTTAAAAAATTTTCAAAAATTTAAAGGGAAAACATGAACAGTACTATTAGAAAAAGCATAAAAATGTTGTATACTTACTTTAAATTAGGCACTAGCAGTGAAAAAATTAACTTACTTTAATGATTAATTATGACATTTGATATGCCTTGTTTTGAGGAATGTATTGGACTCCATAATTATAAGGTTATTACCATTTCTCAAAATAATGATAATAAACAAAATGATAGCGATCATAATTTCTATTTCTAGACAGTTATCTGTTATATTAAAAATCAAAAATAGTGTCTTTAGTGTCTATTTAGTTGTATTTTAGTTGTTGTTTTAGAATAAATAATAATAATCTAGGTTTAAAAAGAAAGAAAATATCATTAAACTGAGACACTGTGTGTTGACTAGTAAATTGAAATATTTTCTAAAAATTGTCAAAAGGGATAGAAAATAAAATTTATGAATGTACAGTCTATGAAAAAACTTAATTAGAATAGTTTTGAGTAGTCTAATTTCATATTTTAATTATTAAAAATAATCTGTTTCAGAAAACGCAAAAGACCTCAGCCACAGTTATCAGCAGAAGTATTGGAGGCACGAGCATTGCTGCAGAAGGAGTGGGCTCGATACAAGCATAATGAATATGTAACACATGTGGCCCAAATTGACAGGATCATGGCAGCACAGCGAAGAGCTCTAGATAGACTATATGAGGAGTCCGAAGACTTGTACAATGAGGCTGTTATGGTAACATTCTTACTAATATAAAAATAACCTTTATGATTATTACCCCAAATGGAAAAGATATCTGAATATTTTTATTTGGACAAATATGGTACCCTCTTGCTGCGCTTATGGTACACATACGCTGAGTATTAGTGGATGATGGTAGAATGAGGATACAGGTCACCGTGGTGAATTCACCATGTGTGATGCGTAGAATTCATTGTTATTGTATTGTGAACTGTTGATGTCTGTTGGTCTCATCATTTGACATGCCTACATTTTACTCTGTATGTTTGTATCCAATATGGCAGGGGTATATATATCATAAAAACATAGCAGGAATAGACTGGATGTGAACTGCCATGGATGGAGAGGGATGGCGGAACATGGAGGAGGCTTTTACCCAAGGGGGGCCACATAAAAAGAAAAAATAATAAAAATAAACCAAAAGTATAATGTTTAAAAAATATTATGTGGAAGTTAAAGCTATAATAATAATAATAATAATGGCTGGGGTAAGGCATACCACTGTCTCTTAGAGTAATCTGGTTTGTATTCGGTGTTCTCAAAACTAGATAGTAGGTCCGAAGTATTAATAAATGTACTTTTTAAACAGAGAAATATTTTTTTTAATTGATCAAGTATTATTATTATTATATTCAGTTGAAGAATGTGATATTACAGTGAAATTACAGGATAAGAGGGATGACATCTGAGTCCTCTATAGTGGTATTGCATGTAGTAGGTATTATATCGAATACGTCTCATATTAACTTTGTGCCCATAGTGTTGTTCATATATAGGCGATAGAAAAATGTATCTTCTTTACTAAATTAGTGTAATTGTGCAGACTATAATTTAATTCTAATATTAACAAAAGCAATTTATATTTTTGATGTTTATGTACCATTTATTGTCTTGCAGCCAGATCTACAATTGTTACCTTTCTCAGTGTCTGGCCCAGTGGACACTCCACCTATCAAAGGGTATGACTCGCCCGATGGTGAATACATCGACATATCTAAAAAATGGGACCATTAAAGTGTATGAATTGTAAAATTTTATAGTTAGTAGTGTACATTAAATATTTAAGTTATTTCAAATGAATTTTTATTATCAATAACTTTAAATTAATAAAAGTATATGTATTTGTATAGCAACTCATTTCTACATTATTAATTACGTCAGTTTTAGTGTAAGATATTTATTGAATAAATAGTATTTTTCAGTACAGTATCGTACTGAGTACCTAAATACTAAAATCTCGTCAGAGTTGATAAGAAATTAATTAGAACTGAGCTTTTATAACTATTATTGTCTTTTCGTGAGTACTAGCTACTCGCCCCGACTTCGCCCGGGTGAACATGGATTATACATATAAACCTTTCTCTAGAATCCCTCTATCTATTAAAAAAACGCTTTAAAATCTGTTGCGTAGTTTTAATTTAAGCATACATAGGGACGGACAGAGAGCTACGGCGAATTTGTTTTATATTATTTGACTATGTAATAATGATAGTCGTTGAAGTATGAAATTAATTTTTATGCATGATTTATTACAAAAATGTATTTTGTTTTTGATGAAACAATCAATTCATGTAACCATAACAATAGATATTCTTAGAAATTCAAGCGATGTGACGCATTCAAATTTAACTTACAGAGCCATCAAATGTAAAAATGGTATTTTATCTGATTTCCTGAAAGTAAGTGCCAATACTAATATTATTAAAAAGAAAATTTTTCACTCTTAAACATCTGAATTAATCTTAATTAACGTATGTGAGTTTTATGGGTGTCAGAGTATTCTTTAATGTTTTATTTGTATTTTAAATATTATCTAGTGGTAAAAGTTTATGTCCATTAATGAAAAGTCATAGAAAAACTGTAATTATTATATGTATTATTTTAATTTCCAGTGCGCATATTTCATATACTATACATTTTAATGATTTTCTTTAAATTATATAAATGTACAAAATGGCCAGAGTCTTCAGAAGACGATCTTGCATTCATCAATAATCCCATAGAAGCTAATTTGCCCAGTCATTGGATGCCGATTAGTAGCATAAAGCGTATCATAGAAATGCGGGTACCTTATGCCACAGCGAACAAGCATAGAGAAAATAAAATTATTAAATTGAACATCAGTAAAATGAAATCTGTAACGCCAGGTATTTCTATAAATGAATACGCTAATCTGAAGAATATAACTAAATCCGTGGATACAGGTAATAATGTTCCAATAACAATGAATAACAATAACAAATCAGTTATCGTTTCTGATCGTTTCAATAACATTAAACACGTGCACAATGAAACTTTAAATAGCAAATATATTCAGCCACCAATTCACACGAAGCAATTAGAACTTATATCTACTATTGATGAAATAACTGCAAAAAAATACAAATCATATAATGTATTTAAAGATTCTATAACTTTTACATTATCTAATCCTCCTACGACTCAAATTACTTTTATTTCACATATTGGAACAACTAAAAAAACTGAACTAAAACAATCACTACTCACTGTAAAAGATATTACAACCTCATCATCTACATATGAAAAAGGGACGAGAAAAGTAACTTCAGGTCCTGTCACAACTCAAATACGTATGAGTTCTCATACTGAAAAGACAGAACAAGTTCAATCAAACATTTCCTACACTATTTCAGAAATGACAACTAAAACTTTATTTATAAAAAAGAGCGAAAACGACTCGACTAAAATTAACTATAAAGAAATTACTAATAAAAATACAATTGATAAAGATAATTTTACTAATTTAATTCAAAGTACAGAAGCAATTAAATTAAAAATGAATACTACATCGGTCAGTAAATTTGATGAGACGACAACTGGTCGTACACAAATGTCATCTGTTCTTGATTCAGTAGCCTTAACAAAAGTTGTTAATTTAAATACTATGCCAGCAACAGTGCGTATTGATCCTACAACAACTACTTCAACTACAGAAGCGGAATTAGATGGAAATCCATTTTATTGAACACTCAATATTTTATAAAAATGGATTTTGTGTAAGTTTGTAAAAAATTAGTAATATGAAATTTGAGTTTATTCACTTCTCTTTGCTTGTAAGTTATTTATTTATACAAATAAACACTTGTCATTATGCAGTCAATATCATTATATAGAAATTGCAATTGTTTTTAAATCCTTCGGAGCACCAGTGGTGGATAATAGAATGAGAATGAAATCAAATTAAATTTAGCATATCATGGCGACGAATTCACGAGACATTAAGCACGACTATTTCTAGGGGTAGTCGTGTGTAGACCTGACACCAATGTACCAGGTAGAAATAGCATCACAAGTCCCCAAAACTAACAATGCTCTAACATTCCCATATAGCTACTAATAGGTGCATAAGAATAAGAAGATTAAGTATGTATAATCCATTGCATTGAATTTCATACTGGTTTCTGTTTTATAGCCGAATAACCGGAAAGAACTACATTTAACCGGAAATCTAATCTTACTTCACTTAGGCCTGGTAGGCCACATCACTGGGGACAAACTATTTTTTATATGAATCTATGTAACACTTTTTTTTTCAGCACAGCGTATTTGCTAGTAATTCTCTGCATCTATTAATTTTGAAGGATTATTTCGTACATATAAACCAATTTTTCTGTGAAACTGTGCAAACTTTTCTTTTTTAGAAGCATTACGGGATGTTATAAAGATTCAATACTAATTAATAAGGACTGTGTCATTACACAGTATAAAACAAAGCCGCTGTCGCTGTTCGTCCTTATGTATGCTTAAATCTTTAAAACTACGCAAAGGATTTTGAAGCGGTTTTTTAAATCGATAGAGTGATTCAAGAGGACGGTTTATAGATATGTATAACTAACTATTCTTCCGATTTTGTCCGCGTTGAATTTAACTTTATTTTGTAAAATCTTTTTTTTAAATAGGAGTAACTTAGGCTAAGTTACTCCTTATCACGTCAGCTACTTGCCAAAAAAGTCCCGTCAATCGGTCCAGCCATTCCAGAGATTAGCCGGAACAAACAGACCGACAGACAGACAGACAAAAATTTTTAAATTTTATTCTGGTTTATGTACCGTATTTATATTCCTATGCATGTAGTAAATAACGATTATTTCAATATTACGAACAGACACTATATGTATAGAAGATATATGTACACCTGGGCGAAGCCGGGGCGAGTAGCTAGTAACTTGTATAACGTACATAGATAATGTTAATACTCTATGCAAACAATTTAATATGTAATGTGATCAACGTTAAAGATAAAAAAATGTATTTTCTGCTGTATCACGTCTATATCCCTATCAGATATTGTACAGATGTACTGACAAGAAAATATCAGTATCAATATTTAATATATTAATAAAGAAAGAGGGAAACTTTACCGCGTCATGTTGCGCACACAAAAAGTATATATGAACTTTTTTGTGCATCAAAAATATTCCTGATGGAAAGGTTCAAATGAAACGAGAGGGTGTTTTTTTGTTAGCGTTGCAGAGCAATTATGCTAACTTATTCAAACCGATGACGGTTGCATTTTAAAATGCCAGGTGGATGGTTCCTAAATATTCATTGAGGTAAGGAGTACCTATTCACGCTTTTATTCAATGTTTAGTAATGAATATTTAGAAACATCTTAATTTTTTTGTATTCCAATTCTAACATGTATGTATATAAATATTTATAAAAATAAAATTTGTATAAATGTTAAAGTTAATTTGTTTGTTACGGACTAAAGCTTAAACATCGTGAAAAGTAGTATATTTTCAATGGATAATAATCAAATGATGCACCCGCCTGTGCTAACGGTTCACTTTGGCTGGGCCCCAGTAGAGGATAATAAGATGAATATGAGATCAGGTCACTTGATATGGTACAATGCTAGAAATGGGATCATCACTTCATATTAACTATGTACAATTTCCTTTCCCCCCGAAAATAATTATTACCTATGTGGTATTTGGGATGAAAAAAACTAAGGCTACTTTTTATTCAGGTCGACCATGGTTCAGCGAGTGAAATCACGGGCGGAGGTAGAGCTAGAGCAGAATCGCATCATACAATAATCTGTCATAAATAAGTATATTTACTGACTTCCTCGATGGTAGGCTTTAGAACAGCGTTTTGCTTACGAATGTCACGAGTTCGATTTCAGGCACGATGCAAACATTTGTATTTTTGTTTGTATTGGTTTGGATGTTTTGTATTTCCAAAAAAATGCTTCTAAATAGATGTCTATGCTTTACAAGTTCTGTTTACTTTGGATTAGTTAAGCGTAATTATTATTTTTGCTATATCTATGTATGGTAATAACTTTCAAAAAAATGTTGTTTGCAATTCTTATCAAAAAAATTGTTGCTCAGAAACGTCAAGATATAGACCATATGGAGTGCTATTTGCACTTATATATATATGTAAGAATTGCGGAAGGAACACTTTAGTCTGAGGGCACCGCTAGGGTTTCGAACCTCGGCTCAGCTTGTCGTAATTTTGATTCTCGTTTGAATTCGTCGGGGGTTCAATCGGAACAGTGTACGTTCGTAGACAAATACTAATGAGTATAAATCTAACACGAAAGCCAAAAACATCACATACATTTTCTTTGAGGCAATCGGTTAAATAACTGTATCGTTAGTTTCTTGTGATGTCGATGCCTTTGTTTACTTAATGAGTTAACTTACTGTGATGGTTAAAGGTACTTTTTACCTTTAACCATCACAGTAAGTTAGCTTGGTCTACTAATTGTCAGCAATGAGTTTATATCAAGTCATTATGCTTAATGGTGCTAATACAAACCAAATAGTAAGTAGGTAATGTATACTAATATTGCGAAGAGAAACGATATGACTTTTTTATACAATTTTAATTGTAAACAAAGGGGAAAGGAGATTGTTAGTAATGTTGATTGATGATTTTATTGCTAGCAATGTACCATGTCAGGTTGACGTCCACGCGGTTCCCCCTGGAAACCATCGTGATAAATTCTTGGTGAATTTGTCACGATGGGGTAACTGATCTGACCTCATGTTCATCTCTTATCATCCTCCACTG